ATTCGTAGGGAAAAACCAGTATTTCGTACTAAGACAAGTTCAATTTCTATTCCCAGCAGATAGTTTATATAGAACTTTGACTGCAATCTAGTTGATTTTTTCTTTGAATTGACATCATCCCGCAGTCTTCGAATACTACTTTCTATCATCTTCATCCCTTTTCTTGTACAATGAGCATTCTATTGTTTTTCGAACATATTACAACTCTAAAAAACAAGATTTTCACCATTCTACAATTACGCCGATGAAGAAGAGAAAAAACGAAATAGAGATATTATCCTATCCTTATCGACTAGATGACTAACTTCATATCAAGCTGGTCATAGGGTCGAACATGTAAGATAGAAATGTTCTGGAGCACAAATAACCATAAGATGGTTTTAACATGAGAGCATTACAATATATCCACATAGATCAGTAGTAAATTCAAGATCACAGAAAACAGTATGTTGTACACTTTCATGATGCTGCAAGTTCACTTGTCAAAGATTAATTGATTCAACTGACGAAATTGTCTCGAATTGATCACTTGGACTATCAATTGCCTATCCCTACAAATGCAACGCAACTATCAAGGGACAAAGAGATTCTATGTGATTGAGATTTCCAATGAAAAAATCTTCTGAAAGGTTGTACGTCGACGTTTTCGGAAAAGAAATGACGACTAGTTGCTTCATCATATTATCATGAGGTAACAAACAAGTTCATTTCAAGAATCAAAAGATGAAGATTTTTCTCAAACCGGTACAAGAAAAATCGAAAATCGACCAGTAAAGCAACTCGATACTCTATTTGTTGTTCAAAATCAGGACCGTATGTAGTTCTACTGATAGTAATGTGCAGGAATAGTCGTAAGTGTGCAAATAGTGCCCTTTTCTTTTGTAGAGTCAACAATTCAATTTTCCTTTATGGTAAAAAATAGGTCAAATTCGTACTTTTATGACAAAAACTATTATTAATATTCCATGTACTACTAACCAATACACTATGGCTTTCTCTTGTTGTTGTTGTTGTTGTCTTTTTACAATTCCAAGTAAATAAAACAATGACACTTTTCCGGTCATGCCAACAACGAAGAAAACAGTAAAAGATAGAAACACAAGTCATTCTCTTTGTAGAATTGATGACTCTGCCATACTGTACTAGGCTTGGGCTCATATTTGTTGTTGTTGCTGTTCTGGTTGAATTTCGAGTAGTGGCGAGTGGTTTGATTTTGCTGCGATAATAGAAAAATGTTTTAGGTTCGTGTCAATGTATGTGCAAACCACTTTGTTCGTCTGCGTATGCTTTCTAGGTATTATCTACCAAAAGTTGGACTTTATCTTCAGAGTCAAACCAAGACTCTAGTCGGACACGATGACATCAATGTGTGCACTTGTGTAACATTGTTGAAGTTCAACCAATCTTTCCTGAGTTTCTTTTAGAGATGCTTTGTATACTTTCCAAACGCAAGCTGTTTGCACAAAATGTTGTGTCTCCTTTTCGCTTTTTGAAAGCTACAACTACCACTACTTTGAACAGAATGACTTTCAGTGTGTTGGGAAAAAAACAGATCAGCAGCACTCTTGGCACGCAAATACTGTTTCACACAAGTCGCCTTATTTCCCATTCATACCGTACTACTAAGGTTACCCTCCTTTCCAACTATATTACAAACCAAAGACGATTTGCAATAAATGCCTTTCAGAAACACCATCAATACTAGTTCCAACTTTATCACTCTTACTACTAAAATATCGTTTTAGACATATTTCACCTTCGGCAAACCCAGTAATTCATAAAGACAAAGGCGTTTCTCAGAACGGACTAATAGCTACAGTCGCCATCGTCAAAACATTTTACCAGGTGGATACAACCATGACTTTCAACAGTGTCCTTTTGCTTGCTTTATTTCATGGTTCCCAACAAGTTGAGTATACTTTGAACTGAAAACTTTTCCCTTGCTATAAAAAAGCAAGTCTATTCAGCTTTCGTTTTCAATAACTGTCAAACCTTATGGGTGTCGTTTTTCCGCAAATAATATTTCAAAAGACATATTTGAATCAATAGAATTGATCTAAAAGCACAACAATATAAAAAATCATTAAAAATACCTTCCTACGTTATCCTGAGAAATGAATTTGTTTTACAAAAAGTGCAAATATCGTTTACACTCAAAAACCTGTTGCAAAGCTACAGACCGATTTCTCCATCGCAAAAAGAGTCACATAGAAGACCAAAAAATACCATACGGAATATAATTCTGTGTACTGACTAAAAGACTCAACTGAGAGTCTGGCTGGTTTCTTGTTCTTGCAGAATATCTTGGAAATATCAACCCAAAGACTGTTTCTCAACAACAGACTACAAGATTAGACTATCAACTGCTAATACATACGCAAAAATGCTCTGAAACAATTATCGATAGAAATAAACAAACTTGTGAGACAACTAGTTGATTAATGTACCAACACTCAACGACAGCTTATACTCCTTTGTCTTTGTTCTCTTCTCGACAACGCTAATCTCAAATTTCCGTACAAGACCACAAGTGAAATAACAACAAGTGTTGCATAAAGTATATAAACTCCAAGGAGATAATAAAAGTTGTAAATACTTAAAAGAAACTACAGTCTACGTGGAACTCAGAGCTCAGGACTCGATGGATTGTTCTAAAAGAAACATTTGAAGGGCTTTAAAAAGAAACGTAGATAATAGAAATTCACTTGTCCAACTAAAACGAACGACGAATTTGCTTTAGAAATTAAAGTCTGAAAAGTTTCACTAGCAAACTTGAATCAGGTCCACAGCCTTGACAATACTCACTGAGCCTTCCTTTTTATCCAACAATCAAACCATTGTGTTCCTTTCTAATTGGATTGTTATGAGAAGGATCGCTTTGTATTGTCTCCTTTCACTGGAGATATATTATTTTAAGTGACTAGTGAGTTTTATGAAAGAAAATATCCCACTTGGAGATATGTAAAAAGTTTCTGGAACAATAAGTGTGCTAGATACAATCAATCTCACTTTCAGTAATGTTGTGAAACGAGAAGAACAGTGTCGTAACAAAGTTCCTCGCAACTCCCTAGCGACAATGTAGCCCTTTAACAGAGTTGAGTTTGATCAATCTTGTCTCTGCAAGGTAAATTTTAAACTACTTGTGACCCTATTTTGATAACAAATCAAGAACGGTTTTGCTACAACCAGCTTTTGACTCGTTTTCGATCTGAGAACCTTTCTTTGTTGGTCACTCAAAATTTAGGAAAACTGTTTAGAGGTGTAAAATGGTCATTTTCTAATTTCAATGACGTTAACTCTGTTTGGCTTGCATTGTGAGAGCTAGAACCTTTCCTTCTATGCAAATTACGCTCTAGGAGCAATCTTGTTCGATTACGAGTTATAAAGAAGACTAAATCGTATATTCAACTCTAGAATTGGAAAGTATACAGAGGACAGGACAATAATAAAAAACTGACCAAAGGTTGGGAATACTTTTGTCTATACACAAATTCGTACGTAAACCTACCTACGATAAGGAGGATCGAACCTCAAACGATTCAAGGCTATTGGTTCGTTCTCCACGTAAAGAACTTTTTGAGAGTTTTTGACTAGTATAACAACGGTAAAAGTGGTGATGCTTTTGCTTCTCCTTGCACATATATTTCAAGATTCACCTTTCTTTGTTACTTTGCCAAGAGGAGATGAAAGATTCTTATTTTTCCATTATTTCTACGTTTATATTCTTTTCTTTTCACTTGTAGACGAAATTTATCTAGTATATTTAAGAGAATAAGACCTTTACCAGTTTGGATAATCACAGTATCAATTTGACTCTGCCACAATTTTATTCTGCTGAATAATACAAAGTTGAAAGAGACATTTTCCTTCTTTTTAGAGCAATTTGGATAAAACTATATCTTTTCTTCTTTCTTTATGTTTGACTTGTCCCTTTTGGAAATGAACGTTTCTTGTATTTATAGACAGTTTGTTTATGCAAAACTTTGAGTTGTCTTTGATTCTTGTTACAAATATCTAAGGAGAAGCCTCCACCATTGTATCCATCTGTTTATATTTCGCGAGAGTTTTCTGCCTAGTGTCTAACGCGAATAACTTTTGTATTATGACTCATGCAACGAGCTGATGTTTGAGAGAGTGGGAAAAGAATCGGAAACAACTGGAGCTAAACAAATCTTTCCTTGAATTTGCAGAGCTTTTTAAAGTTTTGTTTTCTTCGTACTGGAAGAAATAAGAGTTCTCTTGGAGTTATCCATGCCCTAAGGCAGCTTTGTACTTTATATAGTTTGCTTTCTTATATATGTTGACAATTTGTGGTTTTTACAAAGTTCAAAGTTGATGGTACAAGAGAAGGCAGTGAAAACCTTTAAACCTAAACAGTCAGGTTTACCTTCAAAAGCACCTCAACTATATAGTCGACTACTTGGAAGAGACAATTCAACTATGATTTAAATGCTATGATGAAAAACGAGAAGAGATTCGATAGAATAGACTCAGTTGGACTGAATTGAACTTTTTTGAAAATAAGTTTTCTCTCAGCATAATCCACAATATCAAATGTCACTATTGTCTGCACATATTTTCAGAGGAGAAAGAAACAGGAGTTGTTGACCCTTACAGAAATTGTGTATTGATGATATGCACTTGTGTGCAGGAGAATGATTTGGTTAATACACTAGTGCAATCTTTCAAATATTTCGGAGATACCTTTGAACAAGTTTGAAAACTAAAAGTTTTTCATTTAAGGCTATTTTTGGTGTCAACTTGCAATATTGCAGAGTTGTAGCAATGATTCAAAATGAATAGACTATACATACATACATGTTGAATACAACTAAAATGAAAAATATCCTTTCTTGTCCAAGTACTTAGTAAAGTGGTTACCGAAAGAATATCTCAAAACATTCTTCAAGTGTCTGCTATGTTGTCTTTCTAGTTTGTTGAAAAAAGACTAGTAACTCCTTTTATATAATTCTCAAAGACTGAGACAGAAAAAGTTGTTTGTAGATTTCACTTGGACTGTCCTTCCTATCTTTTGTTAACTGAATAGAAGAGAGTTTTCCTCGGTTTTAGACCAAAAGAAAAAAGTGGCGGCAAAAACTTGAGGCTTCAACTTGAGGACCTACACTGCGGTCTTAAAAAGAGTTTTAGCTTCTTGAAATTCCATAAAAGTTTAGATTCCTTTCGTTTTTAATAAGTTTTTTTCAAACTGCATTTCTAGCCTTGGAATTCAGTAAATGGCTCCCACAAATATAAAACTTATTGGAACTAAGAGAAAATATAGCAAAGATAAGAACAAATACTAAAAAAAGTATTTTAGTTTGCAATTCAAACTCTATCTCAAAAGTATTCACGACACTATATATTCAAATTCTGTTTTAGTGAATTAGACTGAAAACTCACCGACTCTTAGATAGGGAAAGTAACCCGGTTGCAAAGATGATATTCGATATAAAAAATTTCGTTTGACTATTAATAGTACAAGAGACATCTTAAATGAATCTATCCATGTGACAAACAGAGATAAAAACTTTCTGTTTTAGAAAGTCACTATTTACAGAGGAGTTCTATTTATATTGCATTGCAAAGGACAACTTTGAGAGTGGAACAGAATTGTTTCTAATTAGTCAGTGGAACCCATATCCAATCTTGAAGTATTGTCATTCTACAACAATCACTTGACCGATAACTTAGGAACTACAACGTCTTTCAGCCAAGAGTCATGTTGGGTAAAAGTTCTTCAATATGGAGTGGCTTTCAGTTGGAGAATTGCTGAAGCTTTCAAGTTGGTACACTACTCGACCTTGACTCAAGTATACGAGGCTTCTTCTTTAGCTAAATAATTTTTTGGCTCAATCTTTTACGTTTCTTTTCAGCATCGATGTGCAGAAAATGAACGGGTTATAGTTACTATATTTGAAGCCTTAGTTGATGTTTTTATATAAGACATATTCACAACTTGGTAAAAGTCGAACAAAGGATAGACAATTTGTGTAGCTATTATATCGATAATGGCTTGTATTTAATGATAAGTCAGTATGACAATCTTCATTATACTCTTCTCCAAACTCATTTAGATATTTTTGTATTTATAGACTGCTACGAACGGTTACAAACTAACAGACTTCCCATTCATTGCAATTCTCTGTTTCCCACTGTATTTCGTCTGTAACTTACAAAAGGTTTGTATCTAATTAGACTTGTATATAGGAGTTTGCGTGTAAGATGGTGTGGAAGATAGTAGAAAAACTCTCTTACAGTATACAAGCCATAGAAAGAGTACCCATCAATCTAATTTACCACAAAAACTCATAGAAAACTATTTCTTGTCTATTGTAAAAGAAAGTTTCTAGTTATGACAAGCAAGAAAATATTCCTGCTTTCTCTCTGTTGTCATTGTGAGTCTAGAAGTGTCAAAGAGATCAGTTTTACCAATCACCAAATAAAGCAACCGCTCGAACAATAAAACATACACTCTTTCCAACTCCTTTGTCCTCCTCCAAGTGTTTTGTTCTCGGCTCCTTTGAAAGCTTTTAGGTCATCGCTTTCATCACCCTTTTCTCATCATCACTCATTCATTGATTTTTGGTTTGGCGGCGTGGAAAATGGCTCGTCAAGAGATACGCATAAGTTTGCCTGGAATGACAAAAGTACCGTTAATAGATAGAAAAGAAGATATTTGCTCTATTCTTCGAACTTATTTCCACCAGTTTTCTCCAGTTGGGAAAGACTTTAACATACGCCCTTCAGCTTCCTTTTCTCCACATATTTTTGGAGCTGGCAAAAGCTTTGTAGGTCACAATTTTTTAGAGTTTTTAAAAAAATTCGCCGAAGAAGAAAAAGAGCAGAAGGAGACGGAGGTTTTCAACAAGAGCTCGTCGGGAAAAATTGATGCGAAGATTTTTTCTTGGAAGCACTTTGCGGAAAACATTTTGTTGGTTTGCTTTGAACTAGGAGAGAGTTTTTCTCGTGCTCCTTTTCCAAGGTTTCGAAAGGCTTTGATGTATAACATAGCTATGGCTACAGCCGAGTGTAATGGTATGACCGCCCGTGAAATTGTAGAATTCACGGACGCAGCGATGAAGCAACCTCGTGTTTTTTTATTTGTCCAGTATCTTCTCGAACAATTTCAGAAACAATATTTATTTTTGATGATAGACGAACTTAGCCACCTGAGTTACCTCACCACATACTATAGTGAACTCGACGAGAAACAGTTTATCGAGTCTGACCGAAAATATGTACCTTTTCGGAAGTTTTTCCGCGTTTTGCGTGATTTGTTGATTACAGGAAAGGTAATCGTCTATTTGGCAGGTCGAACCGATGAAATCTCAGCCCGCCGGACTGATGCCCTCTCGAGTGGCTTGAGTCTCCATATGTTGCGGTTGAATCCCTTTAACCTCAATGATATTGGTGAATATCTTGAGGTGGCAGCTTATGATGGAAAGTCTTTGAAGGACTGGTTATTGCCCTCAGATGATTTACGGTATCGATTCGTAGAATTGTTGAAAAAGAAGACAGGAGGTATGCCGTTGATTGTGAGGAACACTTTATTAACACTGATAAGAATGCAACACGAAGCCCAACCTGTTATCAACGATGACAATATGGAACCCTTATTAGATAGTGTCTTTGAAGATATACTAAATGAGTCGGGAACGTTTATTATTCCAGAGATACAAGATTCCGCAACCCTTCTTCGATATCAATTTGTCCTTTTGAATTATCAGCTCGGAACAGTTTTTCCAATCGGATTTGCAATTACTCTATGTGGAACGACAACTTATTTGATGGACTTGGTTGCAACTTTTGGGTTTTACTGTGAATTTTGTGGAATTGACGGGATTGATATGGGCACCGAATTCAAGATTGGTTGTTGTGAATTTATATTGCGAGCTCATAGCAGCTATAAATTTTTCCGTGAGGCTAGTGAATTCTTTCCTTTATCTCCGTTTAGTTATATTTCCGACATTGCAACAGCAAAAGGAGTCTTCTTTGAATTTATATTTATGAAGATCTTTCGCTTTCGCTTATTAACTTTTCTTCATTCTAATTCCTCGCCTATTGTACATTCTGCTATTCCAGGAATTTTCCAGGATTCCTTTATTGAACAGGACAATATTTCTTATTCTATGGAATCAACAAAATCTTATGATATACCCATCTTGAGAGATGTCCCTGGTTCATTTTCTGATTATTATAGAAATTATTTACAATGTTGTGGTATTTTTGTTCCAAAGGATGGTAATTCGAGTGGCCCTGATGCATATGTTGTATTCCATAATGGACAAACACGTTATGTTGTTGGATTTTCATTCAAATTTTATCACAAAACTGGATTTTCGAAAAGCGATATTAAGGAGGAATCAGAACAATTTTTTAAGGGAGTTGTTTCCGTTTTGAATTACGAATCTCTTTCATCTGTTCAACTTTGTTTTCAGTTTGTGGTGGTAGTTTGTACTAGTTATGATCGATCTGTAGGTTTCTCTGTTGAAGAACAAAATATTGTTGAAGATGTAAGTTATTTGGTTACTAAACATTCTTTGAGGTCAACTTTGAGTGAAAGTAGTCGATCATGTCTGCAACTGGTAATTGTTTCCCAAAGGAACCTTGAACGATTTTTGGGAATAAAAAATTACGAAATTTTGAGGAAAATTGGCGAGGCAAGCCGAGGAGAGTTCATTAAAGACTTTTCAGTATGGTGTAAAACTGTCTTTGAGTCGATGTGCAGTGCATATGTTTCGTCTTTGGAAGCTGGGCAGTCAAATGTTATTTCAAGAGTAGCTCGAAATGTAAGACAGAGAACAAGCAAGGAGAATCGGATGCAAATGAAAAGTTTTCAAAGTGCTATGCAAGTGGAATATAAGAGAGACGAGGTAACCACTTCTTCACTTAGTTCCGTGCAACAAAATCCTTTTGATTGGATGAACTTTTTGAAACTATATTGTCATTTAACTGAGGAGGAAGCTAGTAAATGTTACGAATGCCTTTGGACTTTTTCAGAGCGAGACATTGGATTCATAAGTTTGGGTGTATTACAGCAAGTGGGTATCGATGAGACTTTTTTGCAAGTCAAGGTTCTTGCTGGTTTGAGAAATTATGTGAAAAATAATCCTCATACTTGAAAGTGTTCTATTTTCCTTCTCAAAAATAAATATTCATATCTTGTGTATTCAGAGCATTTCTAACGCACGTATCGTTTGGTTGAATCAATTGAAGAAAACGTCATTCATTTACTGTAATATAAGAACAGTACTTAAAACTGCTTTGAGTTACTCTATTCTATACAACATGGACTCATAATTGGGTACCGCAAAACGATATAGAAATATCCATGAATTTGCAAGAGTGAAAATACTTTTCTAAGAGCACTGTTTGATCTCTTGAAAGAGCTTTGACTGTCTAAAAGAGTGGTAGTGTAAGAAACTGGAATATATCTTTCTTAAACTATGATATCTCATAAAGAAGTGAGTTCAATCTTTCATTTTTTGAAGATAAATGAAATATTCAGGGTGAGAAAGAACTGTAAACTATCTCAAAAATACTTTTATTGAAGTGATCTACCATAAGTAGCTTGACTTTACGACCTAAGGATATAAAAACTTGTGCCAATAGTTGGATGGACAATCTGTTTACAATAAGAAGCATTGAAGATCAAGAATTGCAATAATCTTGGCTAGATGGCAACATGAACAATCATATGACAGTTTTGAACTCAAATGAAATTTTTAACAGTTTCCTTTCCTCGCACGGAAATTTCGAGATTAACATTCTTCAATTTTTAAAAAATTTCTATAAGCATTTCTTCTCTTAATCGTCGTCGAAATTCTGACGAAAAGCCAAGTTTTACCCAATAGGTCAAACAGCACACTAATTTCATCTGTTGACTCGAGTTCTTCGAAGGCTATATGCTTGTTGTTGGAAGTTGCTTGTATATTTATTCTTGGACATACGCTATGATAGCCAATAACTTTTTGTCTTGTGATAATTGAACTATAAACTGGAGCTATTGTTCAGTCGAATGGTTGTACTATGTCATCATTTTTCTTAAATCTCTTAATATATACATATATATCATTGGTTGTCAGACAAAATGGATATTATGACAAGAGCCACTAGAGTTTCAACAACGCCTGCGATATAAATGGAAACTCCCTTCGGTTCTAAATATCCAAACTGAAATTGTGACAGTTGCATAGTATATCGTAAGAAAAAAGAATCCAAAGCATAACTTTTATCTCACTTGCTATATTGCAACGGAAGAAACTTTGAATTTTCTCATTTGAATATCGATGAAGATCGTACAATCTCAAATTGTTATAGGATCACATGCTTCTTTTAGGTAAAAAATAATTTTGTTACTGATATCCTCAGTTTTTAGAAAATTGAAAAAAAATTGTATGCGCTTTTCACAAAAACAGTTGGAATGGAGAAAGAATCGAGTATAAAACTATCTTTTATTTGGTAAATGTTAAGGAATTCAAGCTTGCTTGCGCAGTGTGTCATACAACCAAGTAGAATGAAAGTTTTAAAACAGTTATTTGGTTGCATATCACCGATAACCAAAATAGTAAATGAGGTGCTACATACGTCTTTTAAAAGAGATGAGAGAGAAACAGGTTCGCAACATACTCTGAAAAGCATTGAATATGAATAGCAGAACACAAAGCATTATAGCTCATAAAAGAGCCTATGGTTACCTTTTTTATCTCAAAATTAATTTTCAATACTATTTATCTTTACATAATCAAGAATCTGTTCAAAGTCAAGTCAGTAGGTCATTATTTCAATAGTGAAAATGTCTGAAAGCAACGATTCTGCAACTCTTGTTGAAATTCAAACTTGACAATGGTTGAGAGGAATGCTTCGAACCGATACAATTCATATATAGTAGATCGAAAAAAGGATGCTTTTCAAGTGACAAAAATACTCTGTGATCTTTACAAAAGCCGAAAACAATTCAGCGTTATATCAAGTAGTCATAACTATCGTTTGACTATTCCTTTTCCTCCACTTATGTTTGGCTCAGCAAAACTAAATGGAGTTGGTGGGAAGGTTTGGTGAAAATTCCTGTCGACTGTTGTTTCGGACCTTTCGAGGATAACTTTTTTGGACAATTTGAAAAGAGCTTCGTTGCTTTATGTAGATCTGAACAAGTTAGAGCCCGCAGACCTCATCGAGGAAAAACGAAACCTGAACTGGCAGTCTACTTTTTATTGTACCGATCAGCTTGAAGCATGACGAAGCCTACAGACACATTCCTCCCTATCCAAAATTTCTGATTCCAAAGCTATGGAAGACTTTGGGCATTCCTTCCGATCAATATCTTCTGGTAGCCTTTGATGAAGTTGGTGTTTTGGATACAATGGAACTCTTTTTGTACTTGATAAGGATGTGTTTCGACCATACATCGTTTTTTTGGTATTCTTCGTAGTTTGTGTAAAGAGCCCGACTTGTTTTTTATTCTTGTTGGGAAAAAGCAAGGGTTTAAGTATTAAGAATTATGTAGCTTTTGGACTATCAAAAGTTATACTACATTTTATTTCTTTATCACCTATAGACGCTTCTAATATCGTTGAATTTTTTGAAAAGAGCTTTCAAAAAACACCTAGTCCAGAACCAGTTTGTGATATCTTATGTAGTTCGTCATCTTCAGTAAATGAGTTGGCAGATTCATTATTGGAATGTATAGGTGGAGTTCCTGGTTTGTTTATTTGTACAATGAATATGCTTTTGAATTATGTGGAAATGAGAAACCAGCCTTTCAAATGAAAGTGACTTCCGAAGAATTTGTGCTGAACCATTTGTACAAAACTATCGATTCTAGACGAGGATGGAAGAAGTGTTTTTGATGTACTTTTAATGATGGCGCTCTATCGTATACCGTTTAAAGTATATGACAGATTGACCTCGGAATATTTTTTATATGATGCTGTTACAGAAATGAGATTATATCGATATCCTATTGACGAGAATACTTTTCAAATACTGATTCCAAGAATATTTCTTGGAATCTTCAATGAGCTATTGTCTATTTCTCCTTTAGAAAAGATACTTCTTGGATCACTCGATATGGAACCAGTAGATTGTTTCTTCTTTTCAAAGTGTCCTGTACTTGAAGGAATTATTGCACTAAGACTAGCTTTGAAATGTCCATTTCTTTCAGTTGTAATTTTTTGAAAACAGCTTTTTGTGTCCTCTGGCTTGGGAACTTTCAGGAGGTTCAGAGTAAATTCAAGTTTTTGAGCCATTTTTGAGAAGCTTATAGTCCACTCTTGTCAGTTATATTCTGGTGCTACAGGAATCCTATTAAACTGGCTAGTCGGTGTTCCAGTGTAAAGTACATTTCATAGTTTATGCCAGAAAGCGTGAAACAAGAAGTGTATAAGCCAGCAATCAAAACTCAAAATTTTGACTCAATTCACGATGAGTAGATGAGTCTACAACTAACTATCTATCAAAGTAACTATAAATAAGAAAGCAAACACTGTAAATAGCCTACCCAAATTTAATCATTTGTATATTCAAAAGTCTCACTTTATATAAAACGATATCCCCTGCAGAAAAGTGTTCCTTCTCTTCAACATTTGCATATAATTATAAATGTATATTCAAAAAACAACATTGATACGGTAGGGATGCCGATAATGAGTAGAATAATGTGGATGTTGAGTATGGGAAATATGTCCTCTCTTTCGCTTCTTCCTCTTCCTCGCTTCCTTCTTCCTTCTTACCTGGATCGGTTTTTTTGCCCTCTCCTTCACTTTTTTTCTCCACACTTTCACCCTACCTTCACTATTTTACTTATCCTTTTCAAAATTGTATTTAAGAATTTGTCATCTGTCGTCTGTTTATAGATACAAAGGTGCGCAGACCATCTGTTGCTATTTCTGAGCTATTCTTCTTCTTTAGTGCTGCTTTTCTCTTCATTTGTAGGATTTTTTCCAGTCAAGCTGTCTTTTCTCCCAATTCTGGCTCTAAGTTCACAGTAGGTAACGACTGACTTTCCTACAGTCAACTCTACAGTGCCTCCGAAATTCAAAAAGAAATTCCAATTATAGTATCTAGACAAACCTACTCTTACTCTTTTGAATAGCAAAAATTTTGTCAAAGATAGCTTATATATTGTCTTTCAAAGTGTTTTTATAGTATTCAGATACATTATTTTTCTAAGAGCAAAGAGGATACATTTGGATAAAGTTGCTCAAAGAGCCATATCATGGGGATCCCAGTTTAGTTCTATTGAAAAAAAATTAAAAATGTTATCTTAATAATAATAATAATATTGATCCTATTTTCTTAGTGGTCTGACTGGAATAGCGTCCCAGATAAAGGACCATCTGGCATATTGCCATCAATAGAATTTGCCACCTAGCAGACTACCTACTAGCTTGTTCAAGATAGCTACAGTGGCACTTGAAGCATTTCTCGACAACGACTGCAGCGACTACATTTGATTAACAAATAAAACATGGTCTCCTGTTCATTATTTTGACAAACAGGACAGTAGTGCTGTCAACCTACTAGTTTGCTTATCACTGTCATTTATCCATTGTGTCCGGAACCACCTTGAAAAGGAACTGATATAATCACTCTTAGGAACTTTTTGATGCTTTTATACGATATCAATGAGATATCTTCCTGATTCCAATGTCTTACCTCTGAAAAGTTTTCGTTATTCATTAAAACGAGACATCACAGCAAAGGAACGTGTCTTCGGATTCAAAAAATTTGGATAAAAATGGATAGAAAAGATAACGCTGAGTGAAAAAGGTCATTTTTTCCAAAACACTTGTGGTCCAGATACAGTGTTCCACATATAGGATGGAATTGAACAACAAGTTCTATTCATTATAGGCACAACTTTTCAAGGTCGACGACAAAGAGGCAAGCAGCTTGAACAGAAATTTTTCTGCAGTTCGAAAAATTTCCAAAAACCTGAACACAACTGATGGAGAAAATTTTAACAAACTCTTCGAACCTTATGGTAACACTGTTATGAATCTAGTGCTATCTATCAATATGTTTGGAGATCTAGACATTATGAATCAGTGAATGTGGTCCTGATTCCATTGCTATGGTTGTCCAGTTCCGTTAATAAATTTAGCAAATTCACTTTCTACCTTTGAATAAAGGTTTTTAGAAAGATATGTCAGCTAATTTACTTGGAACATACGAATTTTGCTGCCATCACTTGGACTGTTGGTATTGTGATTTCTGGATATGTGAATTGCTCCTGGACTTGGCTCTATTTAGAACAGTCATTACTTACAAGAAGAAGTGAGGTATTCAAAAAAAATGGATTCGAGCCTTCCATTTGGTCTAATGCTATATCTAGATAAACAAATTTTCGTAGACTATTCATTCTGTCATCTGCCAAAGATGTTTTGGAGAAATCTATACATATCTACATGACAATGAATCATATGAGCCATACACCAACCCAACGAGCGCTATGTATCATTTGAATCACTCTTTTTCAGTTAATTGTGAAAGTTTTAAGAGCCTTAGATAGATTCCATAGATACTGACATTTCTGTATCTATATCCAAAGAATTGCATGTTTTTGGAAAGTCTATCCAATTCTTGTCATACAGACAGTGGACTTTTTTGCGTAGTAGTGCCAACAATTCAACATACCTGTTACTCCAATGGATTACAGGTAGCTCTATTTGAAATGATTCTCAAAGGCATATGTTGAAGATGTCTTCAGTCGCTAAAATGCTGTCAATTTTTCTTATAATGAAAAAAACAATCACTCTAATAAGTTGAATGTATGTTTCTCCTTGATTTTGAAGAATAAGAAATCAAAATAACAGGATAAGAAAACATAAGTTAAGATTCTTTCCGAGTTTCTTATCATACTGACGAATTTTGTTTGTCACACAAACTGCACAATGATCGTATACAAAGACTTTCTTTGAAGACGAATACTAAACATTTCTTTTAAGCTAGTCCATAATTTAAAGAGATAGAAATAAAGCTAGAATTCTTCATGCCATGCAGAAGAATTTTGTGCTCGATTCGTTGCTATTCAAAAAGAAATTGTTTACAGTCACTAGACGTATTCTTCATGGCACAATGCATTATGTGAAGACTTTTCTGTTTAAACCATGCACGACTTTCAATCCTAAATACTGAATGAGATACAATATTATCTAAACAGGAGTTCATTGTGAATTGATGTTGAGTTTTGTTATGAAATGTGGCAACAAGTGGATCATCTAGACAGTTTTGTATGGGCCATTTAACAAATTCCCAATCGAACTTTAAGCGCCAAGTTATGATACTACTGAATTGTTACTTGTATAGATGAGTGGCTCATCTAGTCGTTTTGTGCATAGTAGACGAGTTGGGAATAAATATGTAAGTAAGAAAAGTACAGTAGTCTTTGGATAATGTAGAAACGTGTTAGATTTTGGGAGAAAGAATAGGGAAGGGAAGATATGGGGCAGTTTTTGAAGGTTTTGACTTGGAAAGCGGCAGAGTAGTCGCTATCAAACAACTGCCTACAAAAGGAATCCCAATAGAGGAAGTGAACTCACTCAAATCTGAAATTAAGTTGTTGAGAAATTTGCAAGTAAGTTCAGGTTCTCTCTCTCTCACCGTTAGTCCGAGTGGTTAAACTACTACATAGCACAGAAATATTGTGGAATATATAGGATTTCATGAAGAAAAGGAAGATGACAAGGTCAACATTATCATGGAATATGTAGAAGGTGGTTCGCTTGCAAAGACTGTAAACAAATTTAGTTCATTTCCTGAGCCTCTAGTAGCCTTTTATGTTGAACAAATATTGGAAGGGCTCGTTTATCTTCATGAACAGGGTGTAGTGCACCGAGACATCAAAGGCGCCAATTTATTGAGTACAAAAGAAGGCTTAATAAAACTTGCCGATTTCGGAGTCGCAGCAAGATTGGATGAAATTTCTTCAAAAAATAGTCCTGTCGAAGTAGTTGGAACCCCCTATTGGATGGCACCTGAAATTATTGAGCTTTCTGGTTGCAGTACTGCTTCGGATATTTGGAGTGTTGGATGTACAGTCGTTGAACTTCTCACAGGTTCTCCTCCTTATTCAGAATATACCGCTATGTCTGCTCTGTTTCATATTGTAAGTGATGCGCACCCTCCACTCCCTTCGACTGTCTCTTCAGAGTTGGAAGACTTTCTTCTCCGTTGCTTTAATAAGGATGTAACTAGTCGTGTATCTGCCAAGGAACTATTAAGTCATCGTTGGATATCCAAGTCAAAGGAGGTTCCATACGATAAATCGACGTATTCTTTGAGAAACGAGACCATCACTTCATTACAATCCAAGTTGACAAGTTTGCAACATCTGGAGAAGAGTAAGGAAACTTCAAGTGTCCAAGTTTCGAAGTTGGAGCAGTTTGAAGAACCCAAGGAAGAGGAAATCTTTGATGATTTATTTGTAAATGATCATTTATCCAATATTGCCGTCCAACGTGAAAATACTTCCAATGATAGAATGGACGTAACTCAACATTTGTGGCAAAGACTGCAACAGTCTCTAGATGCTACCGTAACAGCGGATGGAGGAACAGAACTTGATGTTGTGGACGAGTTGGATGACTTTGTTTGGTTGAATTTACGCTCCAACCAAGGAGAACAACAAATACTGGCAAAGGAAAGGGCTTTGAAATTACTTTCTGGTATGTTTGATGATCAAAGCCAAATGGAAACTCGCAAACAGTGTCTTTCGGAATTATTATCTTTGTTAACTACTTATCCCAATTTATCTCAATTTTTTACTAGTGAAGGCACATTTTCTTTGTTATTGGAAATACTTGACTATCCTCGATGTGAACAGCACAAATTGGAGTTTGTTTTACAACTTATGTTACATGTTTTATGTTCTTTTGATGGACAAGAAAGTATTCGTTTAGAAGATATTCGAGACTTGGGTCAATTTTTGAGCTCTATGGGATTTTTCCCTATCGCAATCAAGTTGATTGACTCTAGAATATCTGAACAAGTTCGTCAATTAACGTTTCAGATGTTATCTGTGATTCTCTCAGAGCGAGAAGAGAACATTCTGATGTTTTTTGCCTGTCGTGGTGCACCCCGGATCTTGTCCACATTCTTTGAAGAAGTAAATATTGAAGTGGATAAACATATTTTGGGTACTTTGAAGGCACTTTATTTTGTAACTGAAAAGTGGTGTCATTCCTTTGGTCGAGAATGGTGTCGTTCTATGGCAAAATATGGTTTTATTGAACGCTTTATGGGATTTTTTTATAGACTAACCAATTTAGAAGAAATACAAGATACGAGTTATGCCATGAGAGATGAAATGATGTTGATTAGTTTGCGTACTTTAGAAAAGTTTAGTTTATTTGTTCAAGGAGAACAGTCGGATGTAACTATTCGAACTCATTTTCAGTCAACACAAGTATTATCTCCCATGTGTCAACTATTATCCCGATTGAAAGGTAGTAGTTGTCTCGAGTGCTTTTTATCAATTTTCGAAACTCTTTGTCGGAATACGGAAACGCATGATATTTTACAAGAATGTGGAGCTATTCAAATTCTTGTTCGTTTACTTTCTACTTTATGTGATGAGGGTGGAAGTGATCCTTGTCGAAGGCATATTTTGCTTTCTTTGTATTATTTGTGTTTGGCAAGTCCAAAAAGAAAGGAAGACGCAGCCATTCATGGCATTATACCTATTCTACAGTCCATTATTCGGCATAGTGGAATTCTGTTTTCTGCAAACGGACGAAAGTTTATTAGTATTGAGACTACTAAAAGTGTAGAAATGTTGTGTTGGTTCGCCACGGTTCGTTCCAGAAAAGTCATGCAATTGTTGTTGAAGAGCAATGGAGTGGAATTTTTCTTAGATTTGCTTTCGGTGGTTCCAGGTAAAGATAAGGCGAAAGCTGGAAGCAGTTTGGTTGAATTATTGGAAAGAGAACCCAGTCAAGTAGAAACTATTTTGCTGCGAGAGAAAAATATTCAAAGGATTGTTCATCTGGTAACTACTTTGGGTCAGAACGAAATTGAGTATATGTTGGACTCATATGTCCGAATGCTCGTCTTATCTTTGAAAATTCGTGAATCTTTATATCAACATCAAGCAGTAGAGAAATTTTTCTCTCGTTTGAAACATCCCAAGACCAGTGTTCGTAAATTATTGTTGCAGATTCTACAGTTGCTTTTGCATGATTATCCAAGAGTGTTTTCCAGAGGAGAGAAACAAGTTTTGCTTGATTTAGAAAGAAATGATTCGGCAGTTATGGTAAGAGAACTTGCAGGCTCACTGATTCGAAGAATGGCAGCAGTACAAAAGAATGGAGTTGCTTCCCCAAGAGCAATATCGACAAATTGATTATGTCTTGGAGATGTTTTGTTGGGGGCTTCTTTCGTCCAGCAAGTTGGAGAGCCATTGTTTGTAAGGAAACTCAAAGACCGAACTTGAAAGGCTATATTCCTTTTCGATCATGTTCAACCTCTCATTCTTGGGAACCGAAACCTTTGGAATCTGTACCACTTGGATCAGGTATAGCCTTTTCTAAGAATGTGTATATGGACCCCGAAGAAGTAACGGAGCGAGTATTGGAAGTTGTAAAGTTGTTTGAAAAGGTGGGTGAACTTGAAGATTGTTGGAGCTATTCTTTATGGATGATTCTTTCCAGGTGGATCCCGGTAAGGTACATCGAGAAGCGTATTTTGAAAAGGACTTGGGACTGGACAGTCTGGATACAGTAGAACTTTTAATTGCTTTGGAAGATGAGTTTGAAGTTGAAATACCTGATGAACATGCAGAACAAATGAGTAATTGTTTGGATGTCATTCGATATTTCAGTACACACTTGTATGCCACATAACTAGAAAGAAAGAGAAGACAAGAATAAATAACTTTGATATATGGTTATATCTTTGGATATTATGCTCATGATTTCATTTCTTTTATTACAAAATGATGATGTCTGTGTGTAAGAGAGAGAGAGAGAGAGAGAGAGAAAAAGAAAGAAAGAAATTTTCAACTCTTCTATTTAAAAAAGACCATATTGGACACGAATGAACATTTACATCCGTTGAAAATATATTGCGTTGTTGATATTTCATCATTTGGATATCGAAAAGAAAGCCAAAAACAACTTTGGGTTACAGAAAGAATCCAAGTATACACTATGTCATCTCCACATTCTTCTCAAAATGTTGCCACTTTTCTATTTCTGATAACAACTGACAACTCCAATAACTGCGATAATAACCCATAAACATTGGATAATCCCATCTTTTCCATTGTTCAAGATAAGTGTCTTTCATGTTGAGATATTTCAAGGCATGATCGAGTCTCTTTGAAGATAACAATAACTGCCTATAGAAAATATTTTTCTCTTTACAAGAAATTGCCATTGACTCGAAACAACTTGAATGATAAAGTTGTTCTTCTCGAAAGCATATTCTCACCACCAAATCCATAGATAAGTTGTCTTTAAAAGGTAAGTGATCCAACCAACTCAATTTCTCATATTTAATCAACCAGTGCAGATTTTGAACAACAGACAGAAACTGAGCTTCAGGAACAATTTCCAAAGTATCGGGATGCAACACAATATCTTGTTCTATTTTCGGAATCAAAGGAGGGCCTAGATAAAACACTTTATTCGCATCCGTGACCATTTAGGCTATCTTACTTTTGTTTTTGATATGATAACTTAGCAGGGACTTGTCTGCAATGGTAAAGAAACAAGGACCTGATAATCTTTTACAAGGATCAGGGATCAACCAAAAATCACCTTGTTCGTCTCTTGTAGGAACAAAACGTATCATAAAAGCTCTAGAAAGTCGAATTCCTGTAAAACAACAGACTTGAAGAGTTTCAGCTAACTGATAAAGACTATAGAAGCCAGAAGCTGAAAGGCTAATGGTCATTTGAAGTTGCACAGAAATGATAACTTTTCCATTTTCTTTGAATGAAAAATGAAATGATGTCTGCAAATCTGTTGGACTACTTAAAAGAATCTTCTCATACTCCTCATCGTTCTATTTTCTTTGACAAGTTTCAAGTTGGTTATAAATTGCACTGTTTGGACGAGGTTGTGGTTGAGAAAGAACAGGATGCTCTTGCCACTGTCACTGCAGTGGATATCGATCGAGCAGAAGGTCGATATATTCTTGCAGGAGAGAGTGATGGTTCAATTTATTTATATGACCTATTTCCTTATTTTTATTCGGAGGAGAAGAATGGTATTACACTTCCTCGTCTATGTCAATCCAGAGATAGACAAATGAATAGACTTGGCAGTGTTTCTTGTTTACGTTGGTATACTGAAGACAATGGAATGTTTTTCTCTCTTCAATACTTGATTCAACAAAGTAGAATTTCCATTTGGGATACTAACTTGTTTACTGAGGAACAAGTTATTGAATATCAGGATATGCCAATCTATCAATTGACACCTTGTCCTGCAGGTGCTATGCACTCACTGTTGGCTTTAGGTACGAATAAAAAGGTATTGTTATTAGATTTAAGAGTTGGTCAAAGAGCAGTTCAGCAATTGGGAGGTTGGGATAGTGGAGTTGTTTGCCTAGAATGGTGTCCTCAGGTCGACTATTGTTTGGCTACGGGGACTTTGAATGGCGACTTGAGTTTAATTGATTGGAGAAAGCCTAAACATAATAATCGCTTGGTTGTTATGAATCCTTATCGTTCTTCTTGTTCAAATACGAGTCAACCTGTGCTTATCCAACCCATGAATCAAGGCATTGAAAGTCTACAAAGAAGACTGAGTTGGTCTCCATCATCTACGCTTCATTTTTGGTCCAAGTCTTGTTATCAGCAGATCATTGGATGCAAGAGAAAAGAGAAAATGGATAAAGTTGTGGAAATGAAGCCATTGGATGGACTATCGAAGCAAAGTGAAATGCTCCAACACTCTCAAGAGATTGCTAGTCATCGTGCTCATTCATGTTCTGTCCAATCCATTTGTTTTTTGTGGAATAGTCGATATCTTAGTTCTTTGGATAGAGAAGGCACTGTTCAAATATGGGATACGTTAACTGGATGTTTAGAACATTCGTTAACTTGCAGTTGTCTTCCAAACAAACGCAAAAGGAAAAACGCATTTCAGTGGATTTCATTGGGTTGGGATAACAAAACTTTGATATATGCTTTGGATAGAAATTTGTATTCCTTTGATGCTTTTCATGGGAATCATATAACTACGATACAAACAATAGGCAGTGCAATAACTGCTTTAACTTCCCATCCTTGGGAACCTTTATGGATATGTGGTTCAAGAAATGGTGAATTGATATTTTTTGGAGTTGAAGATAGCATTTATCTTCAAAAGCAATTGCCTTTAGGAGTCTCATTTTGTACACAAAAATAATGATTGAGATCGACATTCTTCTTTTAAAGGGAAAAGATGGAAAGAGCATTGCGAAAACCTGAAGACGAACACACCAAGAGAAGGAATGCGACTTGTCTGAAAATAAAAGAAGAAACTCATTTAAGACGTTCGGGTTCTTCTTCGAACGTTCATCACAGAAACGACGTCTTGAAAAGACGCTCTGCCTCTTTGAGCGCCTTATCTAAAATCGCCAACGGCTCAGAAAGAGCTAGTCCACGAAATACCAACGCAAAGTATAACAGCGATGGAAATAATATCAATGTGAATAAGGAATCGAATTCAGCTATGGAACACGCTGAGCAACAAAAGCTTATGCGAGAAACTGCTCAAGAACTACGAAAAAATTCTGTACTCTTAAGACAAGCTATAGAAAAAGAAGATCTCGTTGAAGTGTTGGCAAGAGCAACTGAAGTCTTACAAGCTTTACGTATTCCTACTATACATCCCCGATTGTATTATGAACTATATTTAGCAGTCAATAACGAACTAAGGCACTTGGAATGGTTCTTTTTCGACCAAGTGAAGAGGAATCAAATAACAGCTTTGAAACTGTACGAACAAGTTCAAGAAACTCCTCACGTGCTTTCGAGACTCTATTTACTTATAGTAGCAGGGACTGTCTATATGGGAGTGGAAAGAAAGTTGACCAAAAATATACTCAAAGATCTTATGGAAATGTGTTCAGGTGTGCAGAATCCTATGAAAGGTCTCTTTCTTCGCGGATATTTAACTCAGCTCTTGCGAAGTAAACTTTCAGAGAATCGAGAGGATAATGAAAATGAACAACTTGGAATAACCACACAGGAAGCCATCGAGTTTCTATTATGGAACTTTGGAGAAGCCAATAGGCTGTGGATAAGGATGCAGTATGATGCTAATAAGGAACGACTCAAAAGAGATCAAGAAAGGAGACAAGTGGAGACATTAGTAGGCTTGAATATTTCTACTCTTGCTCATTTAAGTGGTTTGAATGTATCTTTATATTCTAATGTTATATTTCCTACCATATCTCAACAAATTTGTTCTTGTCATGATCCGATAGCACAAGAGTATTTAGCTGATTGTGTGGTTCAAGCCTTCCCTGATGAATATCATTTGCAGACATTGTCAGAATTCTTGACTATGTGCATGAAGCTTATTCCAGGTGTTAGTATTCGACAAGTTATTGGTGGTTTAGCCGATCGTTTTGCCAAGTTTTCAAATATATCCTTAGAAAATAGAAAATTGGTGGAAGATTGTGGAACTTTTTTGGCATTTGAAAAGCATTTGCCAAGTATTCTAAGTTCTCAAGGCAATTCTTTGAGTTTACTGGACGTTTTGTCTACATTACTTTCCTTGACTCAATTTACGTTGAAAGCCTATCCTGGACAAGTAGATTATATCCATACTCTATTAGGGTTTGCTATTGATTCCTTAAGGAATAGTAACTTTTTGTCTAGAAAAGCACAAGAGAAATTCTCTTATCAAAGTGATGACACGAATGTCGGATCCACAATACAAAAGAGTTTACAGTCATCAGTTGTTTTGGAAGAAGGTTCACCAGAAGAAAGATTGATCGTTCGTTTGTTGACAAGTCCATTAGAAGAATATCGAAGTATTACAATGACACTAAAACTTGGAAACTTTTCTACTTTGCTATCATTTTTGAGATTGGAAATGCAACGTTTTGTTGCAGCTAGTCTATTAAGGAATCATGCAGAATATAGGTAAGTGTAATGGATAATACAAAGTCATGATGAATTGAGCATATTTGAATAGGCCTTGTATCGGTGCAGTGGAAACTTTAGAAAAGCTTTTCGAATTTATACGTCCTTTGGTTGAAGAGTCTCCTGGAGAAATCGAATTCATACAACAACAGAAGAATGCCAATTCATCACAAGTGCATCCCTTTCATGCACATTTACCTAGAGAAGTAGTCAAAGTAAGCACCACCAAAGTTCGAGTAGCTGAAGATGATTCGGGATATTTCGAACAAGTGCAAGTCTTGGTTGCCAGAATCGTATATCTTTTAGATGAAACGGATTCGAGCAGCTTATTTGGATTGTATAGAGTTATAAGAAGATATTTGTATCGCGGTGGACCTAGAAGAACTTGTATTACATTGCCACCTTTGACATTTGCCTGTTTACGTTTGGCTCATCGTCGATACAAGGAAAGTACTCTACCAAGTGGCATTCCATCAACAGTAGAATCAGAAAACAGTGCAGAGCATATTTTTGAGTTTGCTTTAGAAACTCTTTCTTCACTCAGTGAAGCCGATGCTGTTACAAGTTTACGTTTGTATCTTCAGGGAGCTTTAGCTTTAAGTCAATGTGCATTTCGTAATGATACCGTAAGTTGTGTTCTTCGTTGTTATTATAAAAGTACTCAAATATATTTAGCTATTATATGAATTCCTTGCTAGAGCATATTTGTTATACGAACAGGAAATTGCCGACTCGAGAGTACAGTTTTCCACCCTGTTGCTAATCATCGGGACGTTGCGTTCGATCAATAGACTGGAACCTGATAATTATGATACTTTGTCTTCCAAGGCAGTGAAACATGCAGCTAAATTGTTAACTAGAGCAGATCAATGTTTGGCATTATGTGCTTGTGCACAACTATTTTGGACACCATGGTTGATGGATGCCAGTCGTACTTTTGCTTGTCTTGAACGTGCATTTCGTTCAGCCAAATCATGTCTAGCCTTGGGTGAAAGATCACTATTGTTTGTTGACATTCTCAATGCTAGTATGAATTTATATGAAAGCGGTTGTATGGATATTCATTTGGAATTTTTTGTCGATATAATTCATCACGTACAAGAAGTAACCAATCGTATGGGAAACGAATCTTCCATTGGAAAAGCAGCATCTGCTCGACTAACTAGAGCAATGAATTATATGAGAAAAGTAGAACCTGAAAAGTATACAAATCTTCTTCATCATCAACGTCTCATATAACCCGCGACTTTTTACTATTCCGCATTTTGAAGATCCCAACGATAAAATTTGCCATCTAAACAAGCTGCAATGAGAATATGACCATCAGGTGAAAATGCACATTGTGCTACTGCTTGTCTATCGAATTATTTTCTTTACCGAATGTAATAAATATATACAAGATTATTCTTACTTGGTAGGAATATTCAATTCTTCCATTGGCTTGGATCGCAACTCATCAATATTCCATATACAAATCGTTCCTTGTGTATTTCCCGCCTAAGTATATACCTTTCTATACATATAAATATATAATCAATGGAATAGTACTTACAGCAAGTAAAGTTCGGTCCCAATTCATTCCAAAACGAATAAACCATTCTTCACTATGAGGCAAAGGAAAGTCTGCCAATACAGTATATTGATTATTCCATGGCAATAAAGCTATCAACAATGGTTTCAAGTCATTCATTTTAAAAAAACCTTCTACTTAGTACCTGCATCATCTGCTTGTGGTTGCCAAAGTAAAATACGATTGCTAGTACTTTTCGATACTATCAATTGGCCAACAAACATAGCACAATCCACGAAATTGTCGTGTAACAAAAAGGTAGAAAATAGTGGAAACTGTACAAATCGAGGTCTAAAGAGTCGTTTTCGCTTAAGTGAATCGTCCTCTATTGAATATCCATCCGGGCTTTGCATATCGGCACAGCGATGACTAGCCTCTATCTCGTACTCACAGTGCTTCAGTTCCCATATTTTCACACCCTTGTCTTTGCCACAAGTTACCATCCTTTCTCCCAATACATCAAAATCTACATACAAAACTCCACCTCGGTGACCTTGATGACCAGCAAAGATGGCGACCATGGATCCTGTTCTTATATTCCATAGACGAGCGGATTCGTCATCACTTGCAGAAGCTATGAGTGAACCTTCACGAGGATGAATAGCTATACAGTTAACCATTTGTCCGTGACCGACAAGAGAACGTTCTACAAAGCCTTGAGAAGCATTGATAATTCGTATAATTCCCTTTTCTCCAGCAGCCAATAATAACACATCATTCTTGTCTTTGATCATGGTCCAAGAACAACAATAAAAGGCTTCCTAACAAAAATAGATATAAGGAAACTAATAATAAAGGAAAAATAATAAACAGACTTTCTCATCTTCATCTGAGTAAGTGTGTACAATGACTGTTTCGCCACTAGGCTTGGCAAGGCAAACACAAACATAACGTGACCCACAAACTGCAAATAAAAAGCCTTCTTGGGTAGGAAAAGGACAAAATGAGACACCTCGAAGTGGTACGAGAGACGAGCCTATTTTAACTGAAACCGTAGGTACAAAATGACTATTCATCCAAGTTGATCCCAAAAAAGAATGAAGAAGAATGAAGTTTACTAATGATGATGGTCCACTCTTATCCAATTTATTCATCACAAGTTGCTAGAAAATACAACAGATTGATAAAAGTGATATGTATAGTCAATCTGTGAATCAGACAATTCGTAGTACTAAAAGATATCTGGACATTTCGACCAATCATGACTTTCACGATGATGCCAATATTGATGATTAAAGGTCCATTCATTCTTTTGTAAATAATGATTCCATTTTTGTTCAAACCAACTTGGATAATAACTTTCGCCATTCATTTCTCTTTTCTAGATAAGAACAATGCATAAGCATCTTGTAAATACAAAATAAACAATGGCTACCTTTCTCGCTGCACGTTGCTTTTCTTCTAAGCGAAACTTTTCATCTGAAGCCAACTTGTATTGAGCATTTTCTAACGCCCTTTGATCAGGACGAAATCGAGAGTCAGTAGGAGCAATATGAGCTTCTAACTCTGGGGTGAGTTGGTTCAAAAATACCGCATAGGATGTAAAATGATATCCTCCCGAATCTTCAGGAGGAGGACGTTTGCTAGCTCTCCATAATAGCTGCCTTTTCCCTAAAATTCAAACAAGTTCCCATAACTATCTCTCTATCCAATATTATAGAAGAAATATGCTTTACCATTCGACAAGTCTTCATATAGACTATCATGCCAAGTTCCAGACATTCTTTTTTGTACATTTCCACTTCTATCATATATAATACCTCGAACTTCTCCAAAATTCTTCATATCACTCAGCCAACCAGTCTTTCGAAGCTTTATAATAGCATAGTCTCCGGTGGTATGATTTTTCAACACCATCTCACCATAATTATCAATCCATACGCGTCCAATCAAGATATTATGAACGCAAGTAGTTGCCTTCTCATATGTAATATAATCGCCGAAACGAGGAATAGTAACTTGAACAGGTCCGGTGGGAAAAACTTCGATCGATTTTCCCCAAAACTTATTGGCAACCATATGAACTGCAGAATATGTCCAAGAAATTTTCTCTTCTGTTCCGGCCTTGAACGAACAATCAAAAAACAATTTCATATTCAAAATAGACCTTTATACATACCGTTGCAAAAGAGGCACTTATGGGAGGATGATGACTAACTTGTTCACTCATGAACTTCAAATTATTTTTTTCGGGAAGCCATAATTCAAATGTTTCTCCCAAAAGAGGATTGAATGGCTTGGCAATGCGTTGTTGTGCAGAACAATAATGACTTACAGCAAGTACAGAAACAAATAACAAGCGTTGGAAAGGATCTTCTGTCTCACTGGCCCTATCTAAAAGCTCAGAGTATTCAATATCTTCTGCCATACGCTGTAAAAAGGATAATGGCTCGTTGAAGGTTACAGGAATGGAAATGCGAGAAACGTCTTTACCAACAGCATCCTTTAAAACTGACCATAATGAAGGTCTCTTCACATCTCCACGATGAACAGGAAGTTTTGTTCTTCTATTTGCAGTCTTTTGTCTGCTGGGAGAATTTGAGTTTTTCAAAGATAATGTCAATCGTTCGTCGTATGAATCGTTATCTGTCGTAGCATCCAATTCTATGTTTCTCTCATCCGTTTCAGCATCAAAAAATTCCAATTCCGTTTCTTTATCATCCAAGTCTTCATCAAACGGTGGATCTAACGAGCTTGGAACGGTAAATTGAGTCGAACTTTGACGTATCGTTGGCTTGTGAAGATATTGATCTGTTCCTGTATCGCAAGTCGTTTCTAATACGTAAATACCCCAGCTTATTAAATCAGAGAAACCCTGAGTGGCAGTAATTATGCTTTGACCATTTTCATTGGCTCCTTTTGTACCATTTTGAATGTCTTCTTGTGAAAATATCTCTATCATGAGCTTTGCCAGTCTTTCACTGTTATTTATGGATGTTGTAGTTTCCAACTTGGACTGAATTCTCTTCAATTCATTCAACAAACCTTGTTTCATTCTTTGTAATTCTCTCATTTCATCGCTTCTTGGACTCACATCTTCTGACGGTGGTTCAAAGGGTGATAGTATTTCTTCAGTTGATGCCAATGAAGGATGATTTTGAAATGAACTCTGACGGAGACCTTCTCCATATTGTCGAGAACTCTCCACAGGGTTGCTAGATAACTTGACAGCGAGTTCACTTGGCTTTCTTTTCAAGAGATTTTGAAGAAATGCTTGGCTTCTCATTAAACTTGATAACCACTTCTCTCTTATTTCTTCACTGTCTCCTCGAAGGTGGTAAATCGTCTTCCCAAGGTCAATTGCAAACCTACAAACGTCAATATCATGCGGTACAATAGTGGCCAACAACAAGTTAATCTTTCCTCTACACAATAACTTTCCGCTTGACAACAATGTTTGTATATTGGTAGAAGAAATATCCGAAACTGGGCTCTTCTCTTCATAATAGGAAACGATACCGTTCTCTAGAATAAAAAGTCTTCTTTGCCAACCTTTTAAATAGTTTGTCCACTTCCAAAGATGTCCTTGTTTTCTGTTGAAAAGTTCTTGAACAATGTTATCAGAAACTTGACCCCCAGAGTTACCGTTTGACGTGCTGGTTGGTGGTGTAGGACTTGAAACGGACTCCAGCGGCCATGTTTTGGGTGCAGCAGAGCTCGGTCTTCGATCCCCAACCCTTTTCTTTTCTATAACTTCTTCTTCTGTTTTCTTACGTGTTGTTCTAATATCTTTCTTCAACTTGAACATGATGATTTTCCAATATCAACACAAGTTGTGAGGAGGGGAATCCATTATTCGAAATGGCGCCAAATCAAAGCCTCTTCAGAGGAAACGACAGCAGGCTAATCATTCCATTGGACATGCCGCTTCCAAAGCCGTTTCTCTTCTTATCCTAAGAGAGTGACTTGATACATAATTGAGAATTGATTCATGAACATCCTTTCAAAACAAACAAGGGCAAATCTTTATTTTCAGAAACTAGAGATGGGAATAGTAATAGCTTGTATAAGCAAGACAAACGATACATCCATCAAAAACAATTGTATTGTTTCCCAGTACAATTCCAGTCCACTTTCTTCTTTCAAAAGCAACTAGTTTATTCAGAAATATTATAATGGATCGAATTTTTTTGCCTATTTCTTATCCTATTTTCTTTACATATCTCGGTGTATGACATGCTCCTCACTTTTGTCTCTTTCCAATTCATCTTCGTCTTGCATCACATGTTGTTCTTCTTTTTCTTTGGAAATATTTGATTTGGACAAAATGCTCAGTTGTCGTAAACGATCCCGAATCCCTTGAACAATAGTTTCATACATACTGAGTTGCTCTTGAAGAGAACTCTTTTCTTCTTCTGTATCTTCTAATGTCTTACTCATTTGCTGTTCCGTGAGCACACCAAGTCCCTTTCCTTCACATTGTTCTGCTAGAGAAGTTTCCCACTTGGCTTGCGTCTCCATATAACTATCATCTGATGAAGGAGGTTGAGATTCATTTGTTTGTTGCTCCAATGAAGATATTGGTTTTGTTTCAGTCAATGATACCAAACTCAAAGCTTGCCATAACAAATCAACGGGTGCTTTCCAATCTCCTTCCAAAATTTCATCTTTTAAGATATTCGTTTCCTTTCTTTTCAGCCTCCGCATCCAGGATTGGATCAAAAATAACGCAGATAACTTGCCATTATTGTACAGTTCCTGTTGTTTGTCTTGGTCCAAGTCTAAATGAAAACTATCAATCTCCCCTACACATAACCACCAATTTCTAGGAGGTTGCATATGTTCATGACTAACTTCTTCTACATCAGCTATTCGAAGCCTCAGAGCAAAGTTATTCTGTACAAGACACCGAATGGAAGCAAAAGCAACATCGAATACAGAAACAATACGTCTCTTTTCTCTACTTACATGTTCCCATCTTTCTCGCATAGCAGCAACCAAGTCTCTCTCTTCAGGATCTGCATCATCCAAACGAATAAAGTATCTCATCTGTGCCAATATTTCCCAAGTATCCGCAACCATTCCTATGCCATTTCGATCCGGTAACTCATCTACAGGAAAGTTGTTAGTCAAACCTCCATCCACATACAAATGTCCATTATATTCGACAGGTTCTAGTATAATAGGAACACTAGAAGACATTCGAACAGCACGACGAACAGGTAAATCTGGATCAGTTTGATAACGGAATTTGCGTTCACGTAAAGTATCCAATTCTGTTGCTACACAAACCAACTCTTTTCCATATTCCTCATACAGTTGCTTCAAAGTGATGTCCGGATTCCCTGTCTTCTCTGCTAATACACTTCCAATAAACTCTTCCAATTTCTGTCCTGACGAACCGCCACGCATACCTAAAACTGAAGAGTATTCAGGAAAGAAAAGTTCTTTGAATCCTGTCTTTCTTAAAATACAATTACAGGAGTCTGCATTATGGCCTACTGCAAGAGCTGCGGCTATAGAAAAGTCATATCATAGATTCTATATCCAACCAAAATAAATAATCAACTAACCTGTTAAAGCACCTGCTGAAGTACCTGCTAATTTGGTTATTTTGCTATAGTCCAATCCATGTTGTTCTAATACGGAAAGTGCACCGACATAAGCATTGCCTAATACACCTCCTCCACTAAAAGCCAAAGTTGTTGTGGTACGAACTTCCTCGTCGACATCAGTACAATAGGCATCATATCTTTCCAGTTCTTCGATGACCTTTTGATAGAGTGCTTTTCTCTTTTCTCTTTCTAGTCTTTCTCTATTGGCGCTACGAGTAAAAGAGTCCAACAAATACATGCGGTCAGCAACACTTGAAACTTTCACGTTGGATAGCAGAGACAATACAAACTGTGTTTGTTTATCAAAACTATTAATAGGCAACCACTGTGACAATTTTTTCCAATCTAGTGAAAACTGCTTTCCAGAGTCTTTATCAGTCAATACAGTAGGATTTGGTTGGTCAGTAGACTTCCACTGATAGTTACAGTTGGGACAAGACCAGTTGGGCGCTCTCAAAAACTTTGGTGGTTGACACCTCAAAACACCTCTACGAGTAGTAGTAGACTTAGTAACCCTAAATCTTTTTAAAACTGAAATAACAGAGTAATTACTTTTACTAGGCGTTGTAAAAATGTTTACTTGGTGTAAAAACCGACTTTGCATGAAGTCATGATGATGATGATGAAATCCACTACTTCCACATTCCAGTCCACTTTTCCATTTGCCATAAGTTTCTAAAAATAGAAAAAACTTCTCTCTCTCTTTCGTTCAATCAATATATATATATAGAAATATGTTGTGTGCCTTTTAATTCGATATATTCTTCCGCTTCTCAAACTGTACAGTTTCTTCGAGTAGTTTCTCTCTCGCTTTTAATATCAACTCTTCCATATTCGCCATGGTCGGAATTCTTTTGCCATAATTTTCAACAACTACAAAACGCTTCCGATCACTCAATGGTCGACAGTGACGGATAAGGACTTCATCACCTTCATCACACAAGTTAAACTCATCATGCGCCTATTTATATAATCCATATTCTAAAAATCAACTATCCTAAACAAAAACTTTCGACTTACCATAAACTTGCGAAATCGAAAGGTTCGTACTTTCAGCCTCTTATAAAAACACGGACGACGAGATACTACCGTAGCTGTTTTATTCATTCTGGTACTCGATACTTTGCCATGAATCAACTCTTCAGGTCTCGGTCGGGTATAAAAGATGAGACGATTCAGCAATATCTCCCTATCCCCTTTCAGGAAACCAGCATATTCCTTTAGTGCAGAAATAATTTCTTCAGTAGACAACGATCGAATGAGTTCTATGGGTGCTTGAAAATATGGTGCTTGATAAATGAGCCTATCGCGATCAGGTTCGTATTCAAAATAGGGAGGCTTTATACGAAGTTCCGGATAATATTCGTGTATCAGCTTGGAACGGTCTACTTGGCGAAATTTGGAAGATTTTATGACACCTCGTAAAGGCGCTTCTTGTCTTTGTTCACTATCTGCAAAATGGGTTTCCGTTGGAGAACTCAACGAACTTTCAGTTGGCTGGTTCCTCGGCGATTCCTTTATAGGCTTTTCATTTTCACGATCAAAGGTAGAAAAAAAAGAATATTTAGTCTTGTTCCAAGTATGGTGCTTAACTTGATTATAAGTAGAAACAAGTCTTCCCGTTGAAAGTCGAAACAATCGCCACATGATGACGTATCAATCAACCAATAATATTCCCCAAACAATGTGAAACAATAAAAAGTTAAAGTTTCCAAAACAATGATATACATAAAATGAGTTTCTTAACAATGGTGACTTTGTTTCATATGTGGTCATTGGATAGAGAAATTCTTGTCCAGAAGAATTCGTATTCACTTGTTGCAGTAAACAACTTCTTGTTGAATGAACAAACGAGTATCTCTATTTTTATCCTCCGTTCGATATTCTACACTAGTTTCCAATTTTCGTTCAAATAAGGAATCCAATGCAAACTCTCAAGTTATGGAGCAACTTCTTGGAAACCTCAGGGTTGTTGAATTCACTTGTCACACGGAGAGATTACTTATTTCAACAATAGGTCAAAGTAGAGGAAATAGCCAAAGGTGGTGGTGAAAAGGCAATAAAGAGACATGAAGAACGAGGCAAATGGTTTGTACGCAATCGTATTCAAAAACTATTGGATCCTACGTCTCCCTTTTTGGAACTTTCACAGTTGGCAGGTTGTTGGATGATCAAGTTATCACAAACTTGTAACTGAATTCACTTTTGTAGCTTTTCAAGTCTATGATAGCCCAGTTCCTGCAGCAGGATTGGTAACTGGAGTGGGTCTTGTACATGGTAGAAAAGTTATGGTTATTGCGAATGATGCAACTACAAAAGGTGGAACGTTCTTTCCTTTAACGGTAAGCATTGATCGAAGTCCTTTATCGATATTCATTGAAGATATTGTTATGAAGGTGAAGAAATACTTGAGAGCCCAAAATATTGCAGAACAATGTAAACTTCCTTGTGTTTATTTAGTGGATAGCGGTGGTGCTTATCTGCCATTGCAAGCAGAAGTATTTCCTGATAAGGATCATTTCGGAAGGTATGCATAATTATTACTCTTTCCATGAAAATTTTTGGTTAGAATTATATTTAGAATATTTTATAATCAAGCTAGAATGAGTGCACAAGGTATTCCACAAATAGCAGTAGTAATGGGAAGTTGTACTGCTGGTGGTAAGCAACGAATATTTGGAATTGTTTTTTTGGTTTTAAGTATGTGTTTAGGCGCATATGTGCCTGCCATGGCCGATGAAACTGTGATTGTGAAGAATCAAGGAACCATTTTTCTGGGAGGGTGAGTAAGATACTTTTTATTATACAAGCATTTTAAAGTTGTGATATTTAGTCCTCCTCTTGTAAAGGCAGCGACTGGAGAGGTAAGAGTCATTGAATCTATTAGTATTACAGTGTACAATGACTGTCTAAGGTTGTGACTGCAGAAGAACTAGGAGGAGCTGATCTTCATTGCAAAAAGAGCGGAGTTGCTGATCATTATGCATATAATGACTTGCATGCGTTGTCTTTAACCAGAAAGATTTTATATTCTTGTTTTGCCAAGGGTAATGGATATATCTATCTATCTTTTTTGGGTTTTGGTTATTGGTCTTTGATCTATTCTTTTTATAGAGTCCACAAGAATAGGCTCCTCATCATATCCATTGCAAACTTTTGAAGAACCTCTCTATCCAACATCACAGTTGTTAGATATCGTTCCTGCAGATTTGAAGACACAATATGATGTGAAAGAGGTTATTGCTAGAATAGTCGATGCCAGTCATTTCACAGGTATATATAAGCTATGACATTATTCTGTTTTACTTATATTTCATATCCCTTGTGTAGAATTCAAACAATATTATGGAACGAGCATCGTTACAGGATTCGCCGGTATATATGGATATCCAGTAGGAATTCTTGCCAATCAAGGAGTGTTGTTTCGTGAAAGTGCTTTGAAAGCTGCTCATTTTATTGAATTATGTGATTACAGAGGCATACCTCTTCTCTTTTTGCAGAATATTACTGGTTTTATGGTGGGTAAAAGCTATGAAGAAGGAGGAATTGCAAAAGATGGAGCGAAAATGGTGAATGCAGTTGCCAACGCTAAAGTGCCTAAGATAACTATTCTAATGGGTGGAAGTTTTGGTGCTGGTAATTATGGAATGTGTGGTAGAGCTTATGAGCCCAATTTTCTATTCAGTTGGCCCAATTCTCGTATTTCTGTCATGGGAGGTGAACAAGCAGCATCGGTATTAACTCAGGTATGTGAAGAATTGGATAGGGAGCTCTATTATATTCTTTCATAACCAAAAATACTATATACAGATTCAAAAAGAAGCGATGGAGAAATCAGGTAAAACCTGGAACCCAGATGAGGAAAAAGCATTTCGTAACTCTCTTGTTGAAAAATATGAACGAGAAGGTTCTCCTTATTGTAAGTAATATTCAGGAATACTTGTTGTTTCCCTGCAAAGAACTAAATGATACAATGAGATGCATCTGCAAGAATATGGGATGATGGCGTCATTGCCCCTCAAGACACACGAAAGGTGTTGGGTAAGAATTGACAGAATTGAATATTAAGATGATATTGGGAAACCGAAATAATCATGTTTTTATAGGCCTCACCTTGTCGGTAGTAACAAATGGCCATAAGATGGCACAACAACAACCGTCGTCGTTTTCATATGGTATATTCCGAATGTAATGAAACTTCATTAAAGTTTATCAAAATTGAAAGTGAATCTTCGTATCATTTAAAATATCTCTTTTTGAATATATTCATGACGATTGTCCTGTATATTAAGATGAACTTTTTATATGGATTACTCACGATGCGAAATATGGATAAGAAGATTCTGTATGGCTGAAAACTTCGAGTTGTGTGATTGGAAAAAAATGCACTTGAATGGCGCCAAGTTATTCCGTCACAAAAGCTATGAAGTTAAGTCAGTTAAAGTAGGATTTCTCTTGTCATCTAGTGAAAGCACATGTGTGAGATTAATTTCTCACAGCTTGTTACGAAACAGTTTTAGAACGTTTATAAGAGGTTTTGAAGGGAGCAGAATTTTTACCAAGTGCAAAAGGGCTCGTTTTTCGTACTGGGCTCTTTTGAAGGCAGAAGAGGGAACAACAGAAAAAGATAATGTAAAAAACCAAGCCATGCATATTTATTGTTTTTCTAATTTTGCACGGCTATCTACAAAAGCTGTTCTTTGTCTATTGCTTTTAACCTTTGTTTTGACCAACTACTGGTGGGTGCCTCCTGGACTTGAAGCCTTTGCTTTCGAAAACAAGTCTTTGATTCGCGAAAATGCTTCTTCTACCTTAAAGCAACAGGAAAAAGATGTCATCGAACTTTTTCAGAATGCGACTCCTTCCGTGGTTTTTGCTACAACTTTTGTGGAAAGGTTAGATTTCTTGTCACCCAACATAATGGAATTGCCTGCCGGGCAAGGCTCTGGGTTTATTTGGGATACAGATGGACATATCGTCACCAATTTTCATGTCATTCGTTCCGCAACTTCTGCTAAGATTACGCTATATAATGGACATATCTACGATGCAAAACTTGTTGGAGTCGATCCGGACAAAGATGTAGCAGTTTTGAAAATCGACGCTCCCAAAAATGAACTTCGACCTATTCCTTTAGGTCATTCTTCCGATTTGATAGTAGGTCAAAGTGCTTATGCCATTGGAAATCCCTTCGGATTAGATCATACCTTGACAACGGGAGTTGTTTCTGGATTAGGAAGAACTGTAAGTATGAAGGACCTATGTTTGCATTTGTATTTATATACAATGCCTTAGATGCGTTCTCCTACAGGTAAACCGATATCTAACGTTATTCAAACGGATGCAGCTATCAATCCAGGAAACTCTGGAGGAACTTTACTGGATTCTTCGGGGCGCCTCATAGGTATGAATACCAGCATTTATTCACCCTCTGGTGCATCAGCTGGGGTTGGGTTTGCTATTCCTGTGGATACGTTGAAACCTATTGTGTCCTCGTTGATTAAATATGGCAAAGTTATTCGACCAGTCATTGGTATCTCTTATTTAGATGGTACCCAATCTTCTGCTCTAGGCATTGACAGAGGAGTTTTAGTATTAGATGTTCAACGAGGGTCACCAGCAGAAAAGGCAGGATTACGAGGTACCAGTCGAAGTCCACTTGGTATCGAGTTGGGAGATATTATTATTGCGATTGATGGAAAAAGTATAGGAAATGAAGGTGATTTGTTTCAAATCTTGGAGGAAAAGAAACCAGGACAAACCATTCGTTTGAAAGTCGACAGAGATGGTCGTTTGATAGAACTTAAACTTACTTTGGGATCATCCGGTTAATTTGGAAAATTCCTATTGAATAAAAATCTGATTTATTGGGATTCCTTTTCCACTGCAAGCATTTTAAAAATATCCCAATGTGCTTGTATTGTTTTCCGTTGTTGTTGATATTTTTCTAACAATTGCTTGTTTTCATCCACAACTTGGGCTGGTGCATTCTGTAAGAATTTGGGATTGTCTAAGCGACTTGAAATCGTCGCTATTTCCTTTTGTAACTTTTGGTGTTGCTTCGTTAATCTTTCCAGTTCCTTATGAGGGTCGATATTTCCTCTCAAACCAACTGCTGTTATGATCACAGGAGAAGTGAGCACATAGATAAAGCCATCTCTATATTCCTCCAGTGCATCTGCATCGTGACCTTCTTGTGGTGTTGTAAATACGGAATCATTTAGCTCAATATCGAGAGTGTTCTCCGTCTTGGCCAAAACTTTCAAGGCATAACATTCTTCTTTCAATACCATAGCCAAGTTTTTGGCCTCTTCTTTGAGATAAATGGTTACCTTGATCTTTTGAGAAGGTGCGACTCCATAATCTCCTCGAATCTTGCGTATCGCACGGACAATGTCACGGAAAGATTCAAAACTAGATATGGATTGCTCCATTTCTTTGGAAACTGAACTGAATAATGAATGATCCATTTGTGGCCATTCAGTTATGATAAGTGCATTTGCCGATTTCGGTAAACCACATTGATAGATCAACCATTGCCACTGTGCTTCCGTAATAAATGGCATAAATGGATGAAGTAAGCGTAAACAATAATCCCACACAAATATCAACAGTGCAGCAATCCAAATACTATCACTAGATAAAGTCCTTTCTTGCCATCTCGTTTTAGCAATTTCAATATACCAATCCGCAAAATCATCCCATATGAATTCAACTATTCTATTGCCAGCACTTGCCAAGTCAAATTCTTCAACATGGCCACTGACTTGGGCAATCAGCTCATATAGTCGATAAAGAATGAATTTCTCAGCAAGTCCCATATGATGAAGAACTTGCCAAGGATTTTGAATCATTTGTTGATATGACGCTATCCATTCATTCTGATTATATCGTTGACGAATATTTTGTACAATAAAACGACCGATATTCCACAATTTGTTGGCAAAGTTACGATGGACAACAACCTTTTCTAATGAGAAAGAAATATCTTGACCTGCATGACAATTTGTCACCAGAGCAAGTCGCAAAGCATCTGTTCCATAATCTGCCATGACTTGTAATGGATCCAAAACATTTCCCAATGTTTTACTCATTTTTTGTCCTTGTGCATCTCTCACGAGGCCATGTAAATAGACAGTATGAAAGGGTGGCTTTCCAGTCAATTCATAACCCAACATGATCATTCTGGCAACCCAAAAGAACAAAATATCATATCCAGTTTCCATAACTGAATTAGGATAAAACTTTTGATAATCCAAAGTTTCCGTATTGGGCCAACCTAATATAGCAAATGGCCAAAGACCTGATGAAAACCAAGTATCCAAAACATCTGTTTCTCTTCTCAATCGAATATTTTCTGAATAGTTTGGATATTTTGCTTTAACCTTATCCAAGGCTTCTTTTTCCGAGCGAGCAACTACAAAAGAATCTTGCATAGAATCTGTTTCCATATCTTCCAAATACCAAACAGGTAAAGAATGTCCCCACCATAGTTGTCTTGAAATACACCAATCGTGAATATTTTCCATCCAACGCAAATAATTTTTTTCAAAACGGGAAGGAATAATTCGAATCTCTCCACTTTGAATAGCTTGCATGGCAGGCAATGCTAAAGATGCTGTCTTAACGAACCATTGTAATGAAATGAGTGGCTCAACAATTTCTCCACTTCGTTGTGAGCGAGGAACTCGAATACGATAAGGCTCCTTTTTCAACACAAGTCCTTGAGATTCCATCCAATTCCACAACTGGAGACGACATTCCATTCTATCTAAACCTTGAAAACAACCACAATTATCATTCATAGTTGCATCCCAATTCATAATATTGATCAGCTCAAGTCCATGTCTTTTGCCAATTTCATAGTCCAAATGATCATGTGCCGGTGTAATCTTTAAAGCTCCTGTTCCAAAGTTGGGATCCACCGCTTCATCAGCTATCACAGAAACTCTACGTCCTATATAAGGAACAATTACTTGTTGTTCTATTCTGTTCTTGTAGCGAACATCTTGTGGATGCACACAAATAGCAACATCACCTAAGATAGTTTCTGGACGTGTCGTTGCTATTGGAATATATTCATCAGGATTATCAGCAAAACAATACTTGAAGTAATATAGAAACCCATCCTCTTCAACCCATTCTACTTCCAAATCACTAACTGCAGTTTGCAATAGTGGACTCCAATTCACTAAATAATGACCGCGATAAATATATCCCTTTTCATAAAGACGAATGAATGCTTCTTCCACTGCTTTCGATAATTGCTCATCCATCGTAAATCTTTCTCTAGACCAATCGCAACTACTTCCCATAGCTCTCAACTGTTGAGTAATATATTTGGTTTTTTCTTCTTTCCATTGCCATGCCAATTCAAGGAACTTTTCTCTTCCTACTTCTTCCTTTGTCTTTCCTTGTTGTGCTTTCAACATTCTTTCAACCAAAGTTTGTGTTGCAATGCTTGCATGATCCGTTCCAGGTATCCAACAAACAGGATATTGTTGCATCCTATAATAACGAACAAGAATATCCTGAAGAGTGACAAATACTGCGTGTCCCATATGTAAGGCTCCTGTTATATTAGGTGGTGGCATGGATATAGTGAACGGAGTCTTTGAAGAGTCGTTATTAGGAAGAAAGTATCCACTACTTTCCCACCAATCATATATAATCCTTTCCAACTTTTCAGGTTGATAAGGTTGTTTCCACAAATCTTCCATCCCATCAAGAAAAGGCGCCTCTTTTCTTGTGATGACCATCCGCTTGATATCTTCTCTCTTCTTTTTCTCCTCTTCCTGAGTGAGTGCACGACGACTATTTGGACTATGGTTATTGTTATACTGACACTGAATCAACCAAACACCAGACATATTTCTATCACAACATCGTTTACAGTATCTTCTCCAACAGCGATATCTACCAAGTAAAGTTAATCCAGGTTTCTTGGAAGAATAGTGGCGTTCCGGTATGGAAAGTAAAATAGGAAGGAAACAAACAATAGTCATGAGAACAAACAAAAAGAAATGCAAAAAGTATTTTCTCCTTTAATCGTATTTTGCAACTTTCACTTTTCGTTGGTGCCTTATAGAGGGAATGAAGTTGTGTTTCTTACGAGATTCTTTCCAATCATTCCTGTGTAATTCATTATCATCATCATCATTATCATCAAATTTCATCATTTCCTTGATAAAGGTCTGCTATTCCATAATCCTTATCAAAATCAAGTAAGTAATCCACATCTACGGGTGAAGGAGGAAACAATCTTAATACTTGTCCACTGTGACTTGGTTGTGAGTCAGTATAATAATCTCCTTCTTGTGATGAATAAACTTCTGTTCCCATGACTAAATTTCCAACGTCTTCATCTAAAAAGGGTTGTCTTGGTTGAGTATCTCTTCCATAAACATGTTGTGGAGTGCGATGATGAGATGAGTCTTGTGAATCAGGAAAAGAAGGATAAGAATCTTCTACACTTTCTACCAAACTGCAGTCAATAGGCCCTCCACTACTTTTAAGAAATATTTGAAAGCGTTTCTGTCCTGGTGGCAAACCCTCTTCCGGATCAGGCACTTCTAATTCTGTCCCAGGAGGAGCTCGTATGGCTATCAAAGTATCGCCCTGTAGTGAAGGAATGGAACGTATATCTGAAACTGTAACATAAGCAAGCTCCTTTTGAGAACATACTAGTTCTCTCAATGCATTCTGAGTGTCGGCGATAGCTCTGTCCAATGCGTTTTCTTCTTCGGACAACTGCTTCAACTGTTCTACAATCGAGTCTTTATATTGTATATTGGCCGAATTCTCTTCCATTTCTTGACGTTTCCAAACAATAATATTCTTCTCTTTCTTTTCAATTACTCCTATACCTTCCAAAACTGGATAGGCAAGTTGAGATTCCATCGTTCAATTCATGAATCTGTCTTACCATTAGTGATATCATATATTCGTCTCTTTTGGACATTAAGTTGTTTAGTAATTTCGTTCAAGTCAATAGCTCCATCTTCACTATTTTGAATCAACTCTATAAACTTTTTGGTAAGGAATCCAAGAGAATTATCATAGCGACCGTGGTTTGAACGTCTTTGTGTTTGGGAGGCGTTTACGGAAGATTCTGGCGAGTAGTCCTGAAACAGTCCCTTATTGGACGGAAAATCTTCCATAAAATCCCAACAAAGTCTTGGCAAAGAGTTTGACGGTGTGTCGGGATTTGAACTAGGCGAGGTAGACTGGATACCTAGAACAACGCTTCAACGAAACTCTCCACAGAAACTTCAACTGACTTACTTTCTAATAAAGCATTAACGCTTTGATTGTAGTTCATCGTTTGTTCCCCTCTCAAGAAGTTGGCAGTCATAGCTAAAGGCGCCATATGTGTTTCCTCTAGTCCAAAGGTGTGTTCGTTAGCTGTTTGTGAATTTAACACGACATTCTCTTCTTCTTCCAAATATGAAGAACCTTTTTTACTTCTTCTCACACTTCGATTCCCCTCCGCGAGTTGTTTGGTCTTTTTCTGTTGCATGAATTCTAAGGGAACTGCACTTGGTTACAACCACTTAAGCCATACAACAACGGATTTCTCCGTGTTTACTTTTACAATATGACGAATTCCCCCTGTTTCTAATATTTCTTCTCTCAACCAAGAAAAGTCTTTATCCACTGCTAAGGCTTTTCTCAAAATTCCATAAGCGGAGTCCTAGTCGATTGTCTTCAAAAGTCCTCCAAAGAGCGGGAATTTTTATACAAATCCTTTTAGAATTATCGACTTGGGCTTAGTTTGTCTTGATTCCTATAATTCCATATGCTTGGGACTTTTTGACAATTCTACCAAAACCTGCTCTTTGCAATCTATCTATAACTCCTTGATATAGTCTTCCAGCTTCTCTACTATTTGGGTTTCCTATATAGTGATACATTTGTCCACTAGGACTTAACACCCTCGCAAGTTGACAGTAAAAGTCGTAAGAATACAAATCTCCTTGTAGAGATTGCGAAGGAGGGTCGTGAATAATCACTTGAAAATAGTTATCAGGCAATTTTGGCAATATTGTGGTGGCGTCTACGAGTAGGCGATGAACAACTTCACGATTGCCATTGATTAATGCGGAGGACCACGGATTGATTTGTTGCAACAACACCATACTCTCGTCTATTTCAATCGTTATTAGCTGCTCTATGTCTGGATATCTTTGTAACAACTCTATCGCAGTGTAACCCAGTCCTGTACAAATATCGAGTACTCTGCTTTTTGGAGCAAGAGGATAAAGGCAATCTATCTTAAGTTGCGTATCCAAACCGGGATTCATTGTAAGACTATCGGAATAGCCTCGGTGCATAGTAAAACCACCAATAATAGCTGTGGGTGGACTATCTCTCGTAATAGGAACTAAAGTGATGGGGCGCTTTGTTGAAGCAGAAAAGAAGGATACTCTTTGAACATGTGAATGTGCCACATCTTCTTCTTCCCATAATAGCACGCCTGGACGTATTTTGCAGTTTCTTATAGAGATACGCTTTGGGCGTTTCTTCTTAAAAGACTCTTGCGTTAACTGACTATTCCTTTCTATAAAAGGACGATAATGAGAGTCTATTCCTAAAAAATCAGTCAAAGCATGCCAACTGAAGAATACTGGACCAAAGTCCAAGTATAAGTGCAATCCTTGATCGATGACCTTCAACTGAGAAACCCACTTCCAACCAAGATGCACTTGCAAAGGTTTCTCTAGATCGATCCAATTCGAACTATCTTTGCAGTTAAACTCCAAGTATTCCAGAATATCCAGCGCTTCAAAGTGAGACAACAACAACTTTTTGTGCTTTGAAGTTTCGGAAGTTGCAATTTTATATGTTTCAAATAAGGTTTTCAAATTTTCCGAAATTCTGGACTCCACTGGAACAGCACGAAATTTTTGAATTCCTTTCTTGGAACATAAAACTTTGCTTTTCTGTGGACAACGCAAAACGAGTCGACCGCATTGAAAACAAGACGATGAAATAAAGGCATTCATCATTGAATTGTGTCAACATGGGCAAGTCTTGCAAAGGCTTGTTTGATGAATTGGTTCGATGTCTTAGCAACTCGGACTGTGTAAAGAATCATCCTGATAGGAAGACAGCGTTGAAGGATTGTGCAAAAAGTAATGGTAGTGATGTTTCTGATTATTGTAAAGGAGTGCGGGACTCTTATTACAAATGTCGTCGGGCAGCTGTAAGTTTTCGTTTTTGAAGTATTAGTGAAATATATTTATACATACATATATGTATATATTATGTATAGTTTGATATGAGAAAAAGAATTTCCGGAGTACCAGGCTATTAGTTGAAGAAATTGATTGAAGTTTTATGGAAACAAAGCAACAGTTACTAGGGTTTGTTAGGAAGTTTGGAGAGCAGCCAACAGTTTGGAACTTTGGTGATAGACTAGTGAATAAACACTGTTGTATAGTGTCATAGAACGAAAGAACTTGTTACAACGTGAATAATATTGAAGTGTTTTCAAGCAATCGTCCTTTACGGTATAGTTGGAATCCCTAGTGACATCTTTCAAGGAGTAATATAGTATTTCATTTGTTGTTTGTTTCAACAAACACGTTAGTTGTCCAAAAATGCTATACGTAAAATATAGAAGCAACTAGTATCCTGCACTCACTTTTGCAAACAACTATCAAATACTGGAAACATTCTCAATAGCCTAACTGTGATATATGAAGCAATGGTCTGACGATTGCACACTCAATATATGCCTTTATCTAGTTTTCTACAAAAGTTTTGACTCATTTCCAAAGCAATATTTATCTCAAGCTTTCAAAGGATCAAGGTAACATATAAAATAGTAAAAGATTTCTTACAAAATGAAGCTGCTCCAACCAATCCAGTTGTGTGGTGTTCACGTGTTGGATATCGAATCCATAATATGGCTGAATGGTTCTCCTGCTTGTTCCGAAAAGTTGTAACACAACTTCTTTCGAAGTCATGAGTTACTGTACTAGTCTACAAAAACCTCTGTTATTTATCAATATTGTTCAAAGTTGCTTTCTATGTGGAACTTCCAAACGTGACTGCTTCAAGTATCCAAATAACAACCACATGGTGCCAACTGTCGGAAGAAACAAATGGTTTACCTCCCCTTGGGAACCTAGTTTTAGCAAGTCCGTTGTTGTTTTATCTGATACAAGTGCAATAGTTCGAATGCAAGAAGCAAGTGAGGAAGCACCAAGCAAGCAACCTAACGACCCCAAACTCAGGAGATTCCACAAGAAGAGGAAGAGACCTACACAGAAAAATCCACTAAAGTCAGGGTCGCTTGATATCCATCCTACTGGAGCTGACCATACTCAAAGAAGAAATTTAGACAGCCAATACCGAACTCTTTTCACAAGAGGTATGGAGGAATGGAAACAAAAGCGTTGGTCAACTGCAAGGCAGTTATTTCAAAGTTGTGCAGAAAATGAATATTGCTCAATTGATACTCGTAGTCGATGTTTCCTATCCTGGGGAAGGTTAGAAGCACAATGTGGCAATTGGGAAGCGGCAAGATACGTTTTTCGAAAGGGTGTGGAGGTTGACTCTAAGAACAAACATTTGTTTCATGCTTGGGCTGTTTTTGAGGAAAGGTGTGGTAATGTAAGCAAATCTCGAGAACTTTTTGAACAGTGTATTGAAGCAGATCCTTCTGACGGAGTTTCTTGGCAGTCTTATGCACTTTTAGAAGAAAGGCAAGGAAATATAGAACATGCAGAAGAGTTGATGAAGAAGGGCTTGGAAAGAGATCCACATAACCCGTACTTATTGCAAGCGAGAGGAGTTTTATTTTCACGCAAATGTCAATGGAATGATGCAGTTGCTATGTTTGAAAGGGCAATTGCAGTTCATCCCAATTATTATCAGGCATGGCAAGCAATGGCAGTGGCACAAGGAAAACTTGGAAATAGACAAACTGCATTATCATGCTTTGAATCTGCCTTGAAGATTTGTCCTACCTCAGTTCCTACTTATCAAGCGTATGCAATGTTTGAAGCGGAATGTGGAAATTATGAACATGCGAGATCATTATTTCAAAAAGGAAGCGAGTTGGATTCCTGTCATGCTCCTATTTTTCATGCTTGGGCTAAAATGGAAGAAAGAATAGGAAATATTGACAAGGCAAGAGAGTTGTATGAGAAGGGATTTCGTTATTCAGTAAGTATCTTATATAGTCATACTTATTGATAAACTAAACTATTTATAGCCACAAAGCCTAGCTATATTACGTGGTTGGACTTTGTTAGAAAGACGTCTCGGTCACTTGCCAGATTCTATAGAATGGAAGGTCACCGATACCTCTCATACAGAAACGAGTCATTTAGGAGAGAGACTGTTCATGTTAGGTAAAATGGTCGAGGGAAAATCGGAATCCGACATTAGGATCGTTTTAGAATGGTTAGCAACAAGAGCCAGAAATGACCAAAATCTAAGGATAATATTACAACAAAGAGGAATGCAGGATTTGAGAAAAGTTTTACAGTGGGCTGAAAGACGTTCTTCAGAGGATATTCGTTTGTTTGTGGAATGGTTCAATGAACGTTATGAGGAAGATAGAAGTGTGGCAGCTCTTCTATTTGGATGGCAGTTACCCAAAAGAACGAAAGAAATTATTTCACAGGCTCCACCAGAGTGGTATTTTGTTTCTAAGCTTCCTAAAAGTTTGTCAGAAGGAGATGACTTGTGTTATTATCAGTCCAATCTTTCTGTAGACTATTGTCAACTAGTATACTTTTTGGGAGGATTTGCAGATCGTGTATCAAGCCGTGTAGCTCAAGTAACGATATTAATAGGATTGACAGCATCACTTCTATTAGGTTCAATTCAATTGGGTCTTTTTGAGGTGCCTCTTTCTGAAGTAGTAGATATTCGTTTATCACCTGTAGGAGTAGACAGTGTTATTTTACAGGAAGATATGGTTGGGCAACCCTTGTTTGAGGAAGAGTAAATGGCTTTTACTATACAATGTAAAGTGAAAGACTAACCAAATATAAAAAATAAAACCATTCTCTCTACCTCGTTGTCTACACTACCCTAGTATCAGTTTCTATCCGTCGAGTCCCCCGTGGCACTATATGAAGATAACTTCTTCATTCTCACAAGTTTCCACTGTTCCCAAACCTCCTCTGAAAGTTCCCTTGTTTCCATATTCTCCTCCAACAATTTTACATCTTGAGGCAACTGCAACCACAACTTTCCACAAACTATACAACGAACATATCTACCATTTTCTCCAAACATATCTACTTTGACTGAATATACCGCTTTGCAAGCTGAACACTGAATGTATTCCATCCTCTTTGGTTGCTCTTGTCGACTCTTCTTTTCCAACGAACCCGTATCACTATTTTTCCGCATTTTTTCCAAACTATTATTATCCAATGATTGAATGAGAGACAGTTTTTGAAAGAAAGGACTATTCGACTTCAAGACGCAGGAAACTTGTTGCAGACGAAAAGACTTTGTCGTTCTGGAGCGCTGTTTACGCAGTTGCTTTAGGAAATCAACGTGGTGCAGTGAACGACAGAATAAGTCACTATCACATACAAAAGATATTGTATTGAAAAAACTCTTTTTTATCACTTCCTTTGAAGTAGATTTACTACAACTGGTATAGCCAACAGCAATCTCCTCATCTCTCTTCCTCATCTCTACCATTCTCTTAATGATAACCACAAAGGAAATGTTCATCCTTTGTCTCTTACATATTCCATTTCTTCATCATCAATAACCTCGCACACTATGTTTTGGATCTTCTGGATGTTTTTCTGCCATATTATCGGAAGCTTGTATTGCACGCAGTACATTGCCTCTTTTGGACTCTTGAAGATCTCCTGCTAGTAATATCTCATCCAATATATAATACGCTTTGCTAAAGTTGAATATCAAGTCTAGTTCACATACGTTGCCAAAATACTTGTCTAAGCACTCAACATAATGATGTATGATCTCAAGAGTTATCAGTTCGTTATCCGTTGAGTCTACTCCAGCAACAAAAAAGAGACTCGCATATCTATGGGAAACACAAAATTATACCAAACTTTAACCCTTCACGTGGAAACGAGATACCTTCTATAAACAACTTTCAAGTCCCTCCACTCTATAAAGTTGCACATTTTACTGGACCTTGCAGTTAGCAGGGTGGCAAGCTCTTGAGAGGTCTTTGTCCGCTCCTTTTGGGAATAGGGTTCCAACCACTTTGCCAAACGAACCTTACCTTGACGGCTGATAAGAAGAAGAAAATGGAACTAATAATAAATATATAAGAGGCAGAGAAGAGAACAGTGAAACCAAAAAAAAAGTATCGATACATACCATTGTGGGAAAAGTAAATGGGTTTTCAACCAACTCCTCGACATTATCAATCGGGTAGAATTGTGTTGTTTTTCCACTTTCGTTGAAAGTCTCTTCCACAAAAGGGCAACTTTTTGGTTTCTTTTTCAACAGAGTATGAAAGTCAAGGTCTTCTAGTTTCTCACTCTTTGTTTGACGAAAGCTCCAACTTTTCTACAAGGCTTCTCAACCACTTGCTAATATAGTGAAGGTTTCCAAGTTGACTTTGGATCCTACAAGGAAAAACTCTTATCTCACGGCTTGAAGCACTTTGATTGTAAGAATATAAGGGAAATCAACTTAACTTTGTCTTGGATAGTTGCTAGTTACAGAATGGAAACAAAATGACGAGCACAAACGAGTCAAAACTCGCTCGATTTCTTCTTCTGCCAACGTCTTTATTGGACAACTTTGAGCAATTTCCTTCTACAGGTATATGAAAAAGGCCCGGTTAGAGAACCGAAACCTATCAAACAGAAGAAAACAACTAGTCATCTATATTGAGAGATTCATAATGGTGTTCAGATGGCGACCTTGAAAACTTTAATTCAAATATTACATAAGCTCTTCTTCATAATAGGACAAACAAGAAATGGTCAGTTGTAACTTCCTAATGGTTATTCTTATGTAGTATGTAGAAAACCAATCTACAACTTGGTAAAAAATTCTCTCTTCACATTCTTCTGTCGTATATTATTCAATAGTCTGTCTTCCTATTCGTAGACTATAGTATGCGCACTTTTTGGTTCTCTCTGACAATTTCTGGCTACTTGTAATGATGCTCACTTTAAGAGGCTATGCTTCATACAAGTCTATTGTTGAAGCATTCGGAGCTCTCGATTAAGCTCCTGGCCAGCGATTTTGTCATTCTCTTTGAACAACTGGAAATAAGTTTCTTGAAGAGTATTTGTTGGAGAACTTTGGAAAACTACAGGAACAGATGCGTAGTCAGTCATGTTTCATATTTCGTTCTTGTTGGACTGGAGAAAGTAGTTGTTGCAAGTCAAAGAGGTATACATGTTGTACAACTCTCTCTTTAATCATCAATCATATTTTTTGGACGTATAGAGCACGTTGTTTGATTGCCTCCGGTTTTTTACCTGCATTTTCAGTCAGTCATAAACCCAAACGTTTAAGGTACAACTTGTGTCTGTTTGCCAAACAACCTTATCCTTCTCCCTCTTCTGGCTCTGGCGGTATTACTTTTCTTGTTGGGAATATTTTTGCTCAAATGATGCAGTTATTGCTGGGTTTTAGAAGACTTACTCGACTAGTTGATGATAAAGATGTGGCCCCGTTGGAAGATGTTTATTATCCTGAAAGAGAGGAATGGTCCAGAAACTATCAAGTCTTAGTACTGGGTGCTACTGGAAAAATTGGGAATATCATTACCAAGAAACTATTGTTAAGAGGATACAGAGTTAGGTATGCTATCATCACAACTATTTTATTTGGTTTCAAAGGCCATGATTAGAGTATTAGTAAGAAATTTGTACAGCTCCACCTTGGATGCAGTTGGAACTGGATGTACTTTTGCGAAAGGAGATGTGAGAGAACTTTCAAGTTTATATGACGCCATGGAAAATATCGATAAGGTAATAACTTTTCCAAGAATACTATTTGTCTAAGAGTAGTTCAGGTCATTTGGGCTGTTGGAACTTCCGATTCACAAGAAACGGAAACTGTGGAGTTCAATGGATTACAAAACGTGATCAAAGCCTTGCATGATTCCAAATTTCAACAGTATGGTAGTGAGGAAGTGAGTATTTTTCGATATTGTATTATCATTCTTTTTATTTCTCTAGTCAGCAAAAGTGACTCTATTCAAATTTGATAGAAAGACCGATTTTGAGAATTGGAAACCCGTACTCGATGAATTTCGTAGTCGCTTAGCTTCTGTTGGATTACAAAAGAGACCGCCCAAAATTGAATATATGCAAAACAGTAGAAACAACGCAGTCTTTACAGGAAAGATTTTTGATGCAGACGGTGGAACTGCAGAAATTGCTTCCAAGATAGACCAACACAACTTGGAAGAGTTTGAAGGTCTTATCATTCGTTGTATTGGAGATGGGAAAACATATGGCCTTGAGTTAAGAACTCGTTCTGGAGACAACGCTCAAGTGGAATATTTAGTAAGCATTTGTCCAATGCTCAATGATATACTTATGCTTTATTAGGCACGTTTCCGAACTGTTCCAAATAAATGGCTCACAATAAGACTTCCTTTTTCTAAGTTCGTGGCAGTTCCAAAAGAAGGAATTTTGAGACCAGTACTTGTCACAGAAGAAATCAACTTGAGTGACGTTTATCAATTGGCAATCAATTTTGTAAAAGCAACAAGGCAGGACGAAGATGATGGCTTTTATCTTGCTATTGACTATATCAAAGCTTATCGAAAACAACAAGAACCTGAATTTATAATGATATCTTGTACAGATGTTGGAAAATATTTGCGTCCGGATAAGCTCAAGGTATTTATCTCAGTCATTACTATCTAGCAAGGTCTCAAGTAAATGTGATGAAAGGAATTGGATGATGACAATCCAATCGTTTGGAAACTTCGAGGAGAGATTGCCCTTCGCAACTCGGGATTGACGTATTGTATTATTCGTTCTGGAAGATGTATTGATCGACCTGGTAAATATATAGACTCTATATATATATAAGCTATAAACTTACCAATTTCTTCCAATGGTAGGTGGCCTTAAGCCAACTATCGTTGATCAAGAACCGATACAAGACGACAAATATATAAGTCATGCAGACTTGGCAGATGTGGTATTGCATTCCTTGAACAATCGAAGAGCTTGTAATGTAACATTCAATGCTTACGAGAGTAATAGACAAGCACAACACTCCTCTCTAAAGCCATTCGAGGCAACTGATATTTCAACAAGTTTAGAACAGTTGAGAGCCAATACTTGAAGTTCTTAGTTTTTGGTTAGTTTTGAGTGTTCATTAGGGTAAACAAGGGAAATTGGATTCACAAGGATGTCTAAAAGATTAGATTATACTAAACGAGTTGTCATTTACTAGACACTTTAGATATCAAAACGAATTGTACAACAACAACAACACAATGATTGACCAAAAACAAAAGCAAATTTCCATTTTTTTGAAATAAATAAACCACAAAAGAAACTAGTCAGTTCCACTCTCCTTCTAAGGCTCTATACTCTTCCAAGAGGTGTTGATTCTTCTTGCGACAAAGAAAAAGCTGCGACTGTACTCTTTCAATTTCTTCGTTCAACTTTTCTCTTTCCATATCGGTGTCCTCTGCTCTTTGTTTGGCAGTTTGAAACCTTTCCATAAAGGACTCAGAAACGCTTGTTGACTCTGCCACTTGGTTTCCCTCTCGCAGCAATCGAGAATATGCAAGCTCCAGTTTAGCATTTTCTTCTTCTACCTGAGCAAGTTGCAACTTTGCATTGATAAGTTCTCTTTCAATCTCTTCGCTCGAACAATCAAGTGGCGTTGGAAACACTTTTGTTGCAGCTGCTTCAAGCCAACCCTCCATAACAGCTTTCCTATTTTCAAAGAGTAGCTCAAGTTCCCTTATACAACTAACTACCGCTTCCTTCCATTCACTGAACTGTTCATTGGACCAGTCTACTCTGTAAAGTTGTAACAACCTTATGGCACAATCTATTTTTTGCGTCCACTTCGTCACGTCTTTTTCAATCAAGTTGGGGGATATGACAAGCTTCCTAGTCTCCGTCTGAATATGTTTCAGGCCATCTGAAGAGTTCGACTCTGGTTCATTCTCTATAGTATCCATTATCGACCTGACATCACTTTGAAACACTTCCCACAAATTCCCTGAAGATTCTCTTTCGTTGGTCCTAAAGAGATTTTCAAGTTCTCTATCGACATTTCCTATGAGCTAGAAATAATATGTCAATATATATAAACACTCCAATGATCACAACGAGTAGAAATCATATTCCTTTTGCAAATTGCTACGAGTGTCTATATATATATATATATATATCCTATTTATTCCGTTCTTTAAGAGATAATCGTAAAATCAACCTATTCGTGGTTCAAAAATATTGGCTTCAGGGTTGAAAACAAAAGGTTTGGTTCTCATTCTCCCACGAAAGGCACGATCCCAACGAGGTCGTTCAATCATGCTATCATGAGGAGAAGGTCGGTTGATTTCTTGACAAATATCTACACAAGCTTGAAGTTTCTTAACTTGGATACTCAACAAATTCTCTCCGAGCGCATTTCCTTCTAAATTCTCATCTGTAAAGGAACACAATTCTCTTTCAATATCGCGCAAATCGCTGTCTTGTAATGGACCACGAATACATTTCAAAGACCAATACGGTGATGTTAATGGATAATCAGGACAAACAGCCACCAATCCTCTCAAATGTATAGATTCCGATTGAATCTCTAAAAGAAATTTGCGTGTACCAGTTAATGAATAAAAGGAAGAATTGGTCGGGCCACTTGCAAACTCCTGATTATCAATAAGCTCTGACCAAGACTTTAACTCTGAACGAGGATCTCCCGGTAGTTGTGCCTCTTTCGCATTCACAGGAACAATGAGACGTTGAAGACTCACCAATTGGGTGGAAAGTGATTGTAGAAAGTAGTTCCGAGCTACTAATGCCTTTATCACGGCACCTAATACGATATGCTTTGAATAATTCAATGCATTTTGGAGCCATTCCTTTGCATCCTTCGTAGAGGAAGAAAGATTTAACTCAAATGGAAAGCCAAGTCCACATATAATCTGTGCCCAAATAAAAGGTCGAGCTCCACCAACTTTACTAGGTTGAAACTGAAACTTGCCTTCTTCGAGGTAATGATTGGTTGGATTCGGAGAATGACTTCCATCATCTCCAGGAAATAAGAAAGCAAATTGTTCCGTTATTAAATTACCATCACTTGCATTTCCACTACATGAAACAACTACAATCTCTAAACACAACAAATAGGAAAAAGTGACCGTCACTGTCTTTTGCAAAGTAGAATCCAAAGCTCCCTTAGGTTGGCCTCCCAACTCTAACTGTACTTGTAGAGGATGCATTTGATATAAATTCTCATGTTCCTTCCAACGAGTGCTGAATGCATCACAAATACTCTCTGCAGCAACGGTATCTCCAACGATATCCATACGAAAATGCAAATGTTGCTCTGATTGAAAAGTATGTTGAAATGCATAAGCTTGGCGTGCCAAAACATACAAAGGAAAAGGTAGAAGAAACATCCTTTTCAAAGAGTCTTCACAAAGAAAATTAAAGAAACGACCAGCAAACCCATAATCAAAAAAGAAAGTTGAAACACGATTAGCTGCTACGTGAATCTTTTCAATCTCTTTTGGAAGATTCTCCAAAAACTGTCGAGACTCTTTCAGTTCGGATTCCATATCACTTTTTCTTCGCTTCAACTCTTCAACTTGGTTCAGCAAACTTTGTCTCCTTTCTTTTTCCGCTTCCAATCGTTTCAGCATCACTTGGTGCTCATATTCGAAGCTATCTAACCCTTCCTCCGATGGAACGCTGAGACTAGCTTCTTCCAAAGTAATGAGGGAAATTTCATCTATCAAACCACGGTAACTTTGACAGCTGGCGATTTCCTCCTTCAACTGTTCTCTTTGATACAAATAATTTTCCAAAATAATCTGGGAGTTCTGCACTTGTTCCTTATGTTTCTGAACAGCAAGCTTGCAACTTTCCAGCGATAAGTGACTCTCCCTATTCAACCACTTCAGTTTTGCTGTACAACTTGCTATTTTCAACAAAACTTTCGACTCGTCTTCACTCTGAATACCAACAAATAGCCGGCTTGCGTTACGCAACTCTTCACAACACATAACCATCTCGGAAACTTGTTGCTCAATCTTTCCTATTTCACTTGGAAGGTCAGTAGCTGCCTCGATGGCTACTTGTAAAGAACGATCCATCTATCCCAAACAATTTTCAAGGCCCGTCAGAATGCAACAACTCTCTTCTTTATTATTACGCTTATACCAAACAAATATAACAATGAAAATCGGTTACCCTTCATTCTCTATGATACTTCTTCTTGGAAACAGTCTTTCAAAAGATAATTCATTCTACTTTTACATGTGTTCCTTCCTTCAGAGCATAACAAATAGAGTCAATGGATGCATAGCTAAACTCAAGTGAAATGGTTTCCTTTTCATCAATCCCTATTTTGAGACATAACCTTTTCTCGATACCAAACGACAGCTGTTGAGGGAATCGTCGGGATGTTTTGACGACGCCATTCCATTGGCCATAGAACCTTCCAACGGAATTTTATATATCGATTGTAGATTCAACTATGGAACATTTCATTTGTTTCTGAATTGTAGACAAGAGATGAGTAAGACGGTAACAGAAAGTTGGGCTGCTATGGAACCGAAAGCAAAAGTAGTTCCCTATCAGTTGGAACTACCTGCTTTGGGTCCTAACGATGTCGAAGTTGACGTGGAATATTGTGGTGTTTGTCATTCGGACGTTCATATCATTGATAAAGAATGGGGCGACGAAGCTTCTCGTTTTCCAAAAGTTGCTGGTCACGAAATAGTTGGAAAAGTATCGAGACGTGGAAGTGAAGTGAGAGAGCTTCAAATAGGAGACAGAGTAGGAATCGGGTGGTATCGTCGTGCTTGTTTGTCTTGTCAAGAGTGCATCCAAGGATATGAAAACCTATGTCCTCACGGGGAAGCAACTTGTTTTGGTGCTTCTCAAGGTGGCTTTTCTAGAAAAACTATCGCTGATGCCAGAGTTGCATTTCCCATTCCAAAGGAGATTCCGCCAGAGTACGCTGGACCACTGTTCTGTGGTGGAATTACAGTATTTGCACCATTTCGTCGTTTCGGTGTGAAACCAGGAGACCATGTGGCAGTTGTTGGAATAGGAGGACTAGGGCATATGGCGCTGAAATTTGCAAAAGCTTTTGGTTGTAAAGTCACAGCAATCTCGTCGAGCGCAGACAAGATCAAAGAAGCAAAAGAATATGGTGCTTCCCAATTTATCAATTCATCAGATGAAAAGCAAATGAAAGAGGCGCAGGGAACCATAGACTTCATGTTGGTTACTGTTCCTAAAAAATTGCCTTGGCAACAATATACTGCTCTTTTGCGTCGAAACGGTAAGATGGCAATTGTCGGTGCTATTTTGGGGAATGTGGAGGTTCCAGTCATGACAGAATTGATGGTAAGACAACTTACCATATGTGGAAGTATTACAGGAGGTAGAGCGCTTATTAAGGACATGTTGAACTTTTGTGCTCTTCATCAAATATTTCCTAAATGTGAAGTCACGACTGTAGACCATTTGAATGAGGCACTAGATAGAGTTCGAGAAAACAAAGTGCGGTATCGAATGGTAGTCAAGTTGTAATCTAGGTATCAATGAGATAGCAAGGGGGTTTTAGAGTGTGATGCATACATAAAAATTGCGTTCTGGACGAGTCAAAATAATTTGTTTCTTTCTTCACAGTGAAAAGTAGTACGAATGAATTTCTTACAACATGAAATTGTCTCAGTTACGCTCTACTATCAATGCCGCCTTCGTGGTAAGATTCAACTGTTCTAGTGTAACGTCTAAGTCAGCCAAAACCTTGCGTGGATATGGAATAATCAACTGAAACTCCTCCTCAGACAATCCTGTTTCATAAACCACAAAATCGACTACTGCTTGCAATGGTTCATTGTCTTGAAATCTCCTCACAACTTTTCGTCCATCTGGTAACCTTAAGAGCAACTCTGTAACGTGTGGACTGTTCTCAGCAGGTTCATCTTTCAATACTGACTTTTTCATTCGTTGCCTCATGTGCTTGGTGGCCTCCAATGCCTCAAGTTCTTCTTGTTGTTTTTGCTCCATTTCTTTCTGCCAAAGTCTCTGGCGCTCTTCTTCTTCAACACGCGACAATCGTGCACGATCTGCAGCTTCTGCTGCTGCTAAAGCGGCATCCTGTTCCATCTTAAGTTCTCTCTCTTCAGTAAGATGAGGGTCAGTCATAGAAGCATACTGTGAAGCAATTCGACTTTCACTATCATTACGTGTTAAAGGTACTTCTGAAATAAAGTTAGCCAACAAAACTCTTATGAATTACTGGAAACTTGCCATTCGTATAAAATTCGCCATATCCCATCATCTCCGATGATGAAGAGGGACCTTCCTGGTCTTCCAATGACGCAGCAATAGCTTCAGCCAACTGTGCATCTTCATTCTCATCTACTTGTTGCCAACTATCTCTGGCCTCATCTTCAGCAGAGTCGTTACTCACAGGAAATGACCGAAGACTGTGACTATTTGAATGAACAGCTCCACTTCTTCGACTTCCTCGTGGTGCGGTCCATTCATCTAAAACATTAGTCTCGAGAAAGTTACAAAGATTTGATACTATATAGTTCTTTTCTATTCTATCATTCTCTTCCAAGCTAGGTTCCAACACTTTCTCTCCAGTGCGAGGATCAATCACAGCAACAAAAGGAAAGCTATTTACAGAATATCGCGCACAGAACTGCATTGCGTCCTCCGAAAGAACGTCACGTTGCCAAAAAATAAAACTCGACTGAATAAACTCTTTAATAGTGGAATCCTTTATGAGTTTAGAACCATGAACTAAGTCAAGCGTTTAGTATACTTACCGACCAAACTTCTCTATTCAACAAAAGACATAAAAAGTTCTCATTCTGCTGCAAATTAACCAAAACCCATTTGCTTTCTTCTCTTCCTTTCCTAATAGAGAGTGAGCCTAATTCCAGATTGTGCAAACTAAAGTAGACCTACCGTAGTGCTTGTTCATAAGAATCCTCAAAGTTAAGGTCAGAAGGGGGAGCATAGAGTTCACCCAACCTTCCTTCTGTCAAGTTTTCTGGAAAACCAACGTGATTAGGGTGCCCAGAATCTCTGTTTGTCTCTCTTTGTGGACCACCATTTGAACTTCTTCTTCTTGGTTCCCGTCTCCTCACTGGTATAACCTCTTCTTCATCATCTTCAACAGAAGGTGGTGCGTGAGGATGCGGCAGTGCATCTTCCTATGAATAACACTTAAAATTCTTCCAAACAAGACCTCTTTGTACTTACGCTGCTAGTGTCTACCACCGGAGTTTGCGTCGGGGTATGGTCAAGCTCTATTTGAGCTTCATTTATAGCAAAGTAGGATTCTATTGCCTTTTCTAAATCACCTTGGTTACTATCCAATAACTGTTGTGCTAGTTCTGGGTCAGCAGAGGTTACAGCTAAAAAGGCATTTAACTTGTCATCATCTTGAGGCATTATTTATTGTCCCAAATAGACAACAAATGTAATTAACCTTTTTATTTCTAAATGTGGTTGGTTTTGAAATGTTCCACTCCATAGGTATACACAGGTAGGAGTACATTTACGAATAAAGATATGGAAGAGGCAAAAAATGCCTCTAGGTTTCTTATCATAGTCACTAGGAAGAAAAGGTCATAAGATACACACGTGTTCTGGACAGTTTCTTATAACACTCATAGTAACTCTAACAACACTGCACAAGATAGTCTATTCCTGTAACAGCCTACCACCACTGGGAGGTTACTGTGTCAACTCTTTCATAAACACTCTTCTTAACTGACTCTGGAGAGACTCGTCCAAAGAATTCACAAACTTAGCTATTCCTTCATGGGCCTCTTGCAACGTGTACCTTTCATGTTGCTCCAACTGAGAGAACCAACTCTGCTTCAAAACTTCTAAAGAAAGAGTCTCCTCTATTGGCGAATTTTGTTCGAAAACATAACTTGTATGTTGCGTATTTTGGACGTATTTGGACCCCAGTTCTAACAGGGTAGACTCATATTTCTATTTCACTGAATAAGTACAACGACATTGTTCCATAACTGAAATAGTTCATTCTTACGTGTAGCAAATTTTCCAACTGCTTTCTCGTTTCCTTTATCTGTTGACCGAGAAACGAAGGATTTTCCTATTAAGTAAAAGTTGTACAGTAGGATAACCCTTATTACTGTTCATAAGACTCTTTTACCTTTGTCAATAAAAGTCCTTTTTGGTTTAGCGACTCCAAGACCAACAATTCACTGATACTATATAAAAGCAAGGTATGCAAGCAACATCAATACTGTAGTCATATCTACACAACAAACATACTTCTTATTCAGTAACTTGATTCCTGGACTAACGCTTTTTAAGCCCTCCCAATAACCAAGCTATGGAAACACCCTTCAACAACCCAACCTTACAAGATGCCGTCAACTACTTACTCTCGTCAAGTTTTCCTGTGCCTCCATGATTCCTTCTCTTAGACCTTGATTATAAAACATTGCAAAACTATCTCTATCAGAACTCGTGTGTTCTTCTTCCATGTTCTCCATCCTTCACACTACAAACTTTCAAGTTTATTCATTCATCCTTCGTCTCATTGTTCATCGTTTTGGTTTGGTGAACCAAACAATTCCAATCTACATTTTCTTCTTTTTCTTCCAAAAGAGGTAAAGAAGTGAGAAATAAACTCTTTCTTTTGAAAGATTTACTATTCTTCATTGTTTGGGCAACTGGAGGAATAAATGTCATTTCATCTGTATATGCGGATAACCATTCTTCTATAGAATCACTCAAAGGCAAAATATGACCTCGAACGACGGATACAAAGTGATTCCTAATATAAGGATGAAAATGTTGACTCAAAATGAAGTATTCATAAAGTGGAGGAGCATCATCCAAATATGAAACATCGGGATTCTTAACTAACGCTTCACGAATAAGCATCTCAAGAGAACCACTCCACTGTTCATCACTATCTATGGAAGCTTGATTCCAATCTACAGGAATTCCGTGAATAAATGTTGCTGTAATAATATTCATTAATAATGGAGATTCTGTTCTCAAAAGAAGCCATAATAACCTTCTCCATATCGTCTTTCTTCTCAACAATCGATCCCGTGCTGGATTCAACCACCAAAGACTCAACTTGAACAATGAACCAAGCGATTGACTTGTATCCGTGTTGTGTATGGATCGACAATCTAACAAACGCCCACAACTTTGGTATAAAAGACTATCCAGGTATCCAGTATCTTCCTTCCAACCACGATTCTTGCTCTGTAAGAAATGCACTTGATAAAGAGCCTTTAACAACAAACAACTCTTCTCCATGTCTTCTATTTGATGAGACGACAACTTGCGCAAATAAAATTCCAACCGACGAACACTAACATCTGAGAGATATATGGAGACTTTCACAAACAATTCTAACAGCTCTCCCAAACATAAAATATCTCCAACTTGTTTATCTTCAGAGGACTGTAAAATACATATTAAGAACTGCTCCACAGACTCAATTACTCTTTCAAATCGAATGCGTCGTTCATCATCACGAGCTCTTCCTTGTGCTTCTCTCCAATCCCTTTGAAAACTTCTCTCATCTATAAGAGGATCATTCAAAGCTGAATCACTTTCTGTGGGCTGCTGTTCTCGATGACGTGCGGCTTGTTGATATTCACTATACAATGCTGCATAATTTATACAATAGAAAGCAGAACAAAAAATGGAAGGAGTAACAATATTCCACTTTGCTGCAGCCATGCACAAATATTGACAAATATTCAGACAAGTCTTCAAAGAGTATCCGGAAACTCGGTGTAGACTACTTGTAAGCTCTGTCAAAGTTTCACGTATCCATCTTCGTTCTTGTTCATTTGCTCTAGGTGTATATTTGATCAAAGCTTTGGCTATTCTATTGGCTTCATTAAAATGGACAAGATCTGTCAATAGGACACATAAGGCCCTCGTATGTGCAGGTAGTATGACTTGTTTCACCGCACTTTTCCACTGACCCAATCCATTCTTCCCCAACTGAACACACTTCCTGTCTTTCTTTCTTCGCTGGAGCAATTGATTGACCAACTCAACATAATATTCTAATAGACGACTTTCAAACTTACGGATACGCAAAGTCTCCACGGACAAGGTTGTTCCTTCTTCCTTCCGTTCCTTCTGCGAAAGGATTGGATAACCCGGAATAATATCTCGGAATATGATTACCAGTGAAGTGATACTAAGGGTTGCAATATTTGAAACTGTTTCAACTTGTTCCTGTTGAGTAGGAGTCCAATCAAAAGCATATACAAAAAGTTGTTTCAAATATTTCAAGTTTTGTTGTGGTTGTGCCAATATTTTTTCAGATAATATTGCTATTTCTTTTTTGACAGTTTTTTCCTTAGCGGGAGTTAACTTGAGACCTTTGGAATAACCTTTCTTAGTCATTACCTCCAATTCCTTTTTTGATAACAATGCGGAAAAGTTTCCATTTTATGGTTATATTATGCATCAGTTATGGCGCCTTTACTAGCACTAGAAACTGTTTTAGCATACTTTTTCAACAAACCTTGTTGTGGCAACTTATTAACTTGTTTCCATTGCTTTCTCCTTCGTTCCAACTCTCTTTCATCTACTTCCAATGTCATCAACTTTTTCCTTGGTTCCAAACATATGATATCCCCTTCCTCAACCAATGCAATAGGACCACCTACAGCAGCTTCTGGAGTAACATGACCAACCATAATTCCATGAGTCCCACCTGAAAACCGACCATCCGTGATCAACGCAACATCCTTTCCTAAACCGGAACCCATGATGGCTGAAGAAGGTGATAACATTTCTCTCATACCAGGACCTCCTTTTGGTCCTTCATAACGTATCACAACTACATCATTCTTTACTATTCTTCCAGTTAAAATGGCATCTAGAGCTTCCTCTTCCGAATTGAATACTCGAGCTGGACCACGATGGATTTCCAATTCCTTTCCACTCAACTTGATCACCGCACCTTCGGGAGCCAAATTTCCTCTCATGATGATGATATGCTGACCTGCGGGGGCCAAAGCCTTTTCTATCGGAAGTATGACACTAGGAGTTGCATGATCTGTCCCAGGTAAATCAGGAGCATCCGCTAACAACTCTTCTATTCTCTTTCCTGTAACTGTCATACAATCTCCATGAATAAGGCCATGTTTCCATAGATATTTCATCACCATAGGAATGCCTCCAATCTTATCCAAGTCAGCCATCACGTATCTTCCTGAAGGTTTAAAGTCTCCCAATAAAGGTACTCGTTCTCCAATCCTGTTAAAGTCTTCAATATCCAAATCCACTTGTGCTTCGTGTGCCAATGCCAACAAATGCAACACACCGTTGGTCGACCCTCCCAATGCCATCATCACTGTGATACCGTTTTCAAATGCTTTTTGGGTACAAATATCTCGAGCTCGGATATTGTTCTTCATACAAGTAAACAATGCTTTCACTGATTCTTCACAGTCTCGCAACTTTTCAGGAGAAAGTTGATTGTCTTTTGTCATTGCCGTATGGGATGCGGAATAAGGGATACTTAAGCCCATGGCTTCTATCACAGATGCCATTGTATTTGCTGTATACATTCCACCACAAGAACCTGGGCCAGGACAAGCACGTTCTTCTATTCTTTTCAATTGTTGTTCATCTATTCTTCCAGAAGAATAAGACCCAATAGCTTCAAAAGTAGAAATGACGGTGAGGTTTTCTCCATTCAGATTTCCAGGTTGAATAGAACCGCCGTAAAGAAAGACCCCATAAGCATTAGTCCTCAATATAGGCATCAGTGCTCCGGGAATAGACTTGTCACAACCTCCAAGTGTCAACATACCATCTGCTAAGTATCCTTCATGCATACATTCTATGCAATCCGCAATCAAGTCTCTACTCACCAACGAATAACGCATTCCACTAGTTCCCATAGTTTCTCCGTCGGATATCACAGGAGTACCAAATATGAAACCTTTTGCACCCAACGACTCTACAGTAGCCAACAACTTATCTCCCAGTTGATCCATATGAGCGTTGCAAGGAGTAGCGTTGGTAAAAGTGGAAGCAATTGTGATGATCGGTTTTTCAAAATCTTCGTCTTTGAACTGAATGGCTCTCAACATGGAACGAGCAGCAGCACGCTTACTCCAGTCTTGAGCACCGGGTTGGGTACCTACTAAAGCTGCACTTCTATTTCTAGTAGGTTTTTGATATGAAATATTTCCAGTTTGTTGGTCCTGATCGACTCTTGTTGCTTTATTCTGTGCATCTTGATTGATACTTGATTCCTTCATCATACTCCAACTGGCATGGCTGTGTTTCAATCGGGATGATCCATCTTGAACAGCTAATCTTGGTAACCAATGAAGTGCACGTCTATTTTTCAAAAAAGTAGTTGGAGAAAGTGGTTTGCAACAAAAGGTCGATTGTGGCTCATGATAAATACCAAAGATATGACAACAAGTGAATCCTAATTCCATATTCTAAAATGTCATTTTTTACAATTGGGGGGTCGACTCATAGTTGTTAAAGTTGGGTTATTATGTATCATCGTGGGTTGTGGTGTTGTTGTTGGCATCCTTGTTACAAACTATTTTCAGGAAGCAAGGCTACAGTGGACATCTCCTCGCTGAGTTGGCCCTGTTCTCATTTGGGACCGTTTCTTCAAACCATTCACTCCCGATCTACCCAAGCTCCAGTAAGTGCCTCCTTAGAATGGGACGATAAACATCAAGATCAGCTGGAAAGAAGGGAACCAACTTCACAACCTAACTCATCTTTGACCACCAACGGTCTCTCACATTCTTATTTGCCTCCTTATCAACGACCCCAAGGCGATCCCAGTTTGTGGAACGCTGATAGTTTAGTTGTAAGAGAGGAGCAAAATGGAGTCCATGGCGCGAATCATTTCAACTCATCTTCATATTCTGATGCTAATCACTGTGAATATCAAGAAACCGCTGAAGCGTCTCTTTCTTCTATCAACGGCGCTCATCAGACTTCGTATACTTCCCATGAGACTATGACAACTCAAAGTATCTCCTATCATAACAACAACAGTAATAATAATAATACTATCTCAATATCGTTATCGACTAGCCATTCAGACAGTTCCCAATCGGTGCTATCCGCATTGAATCACAAGTTTCGAGGACAACAACCGGAATCTTCAGACTTGGCAAAGTTCATAGCACATGAGTCAGGGAAGTATTATGATTTATCTAAAAGCTATCGCCATATCCGACAAGAAAATGCTTACGTGCATGCCTTTTTGAAGACACGCATAGATTGTCCCAACACCACCGTCATTTTACCAGAAACGGTAGGAAAAGATCGCGTATTTCGGTTTAAAGAAAGAAATGTTGCCAATCTTTTCGATACCAAAGCTGTGGTGAATAGAGAAAGTAGTTTGCGTGGGAACGTCTCTGATTCCAGTCAGTTGAGTAGCAGCAGCTATCATAGTAATGGCACTAGTAGTAGTGTTAGTCATTCTGGAACTACGGGAAATAATGCATCGGGCAATGGAAGAAAAAAGAATCCACCTGGAAGATTAGTAACTCAACGCATATTAGAAGAAGAAGCTGATCAAAAGGAAAAAGTTCAAAAGGAATTTGAAGAAAAGGTTCGAGATGTGTTGAAGAGGAAAGGAAAGTTTTCATTGGATGAAGAAACAGCAAAGCAATTGATAAAAGAGTATAGTAGTAAAAAGTTGGCTTCTAGACAAAGCACCTCAAAAGGTTCCACTATGGAAGAAAGCAAAAAGGTGAAGCAATCATCAGATGAAGAAGAACAACTTTATCCACAAGAAATTCCCAAGAATAAGAAGGAAGATTCTTTAGAACTCAATGCACTTGATGAACTAAGAGCAAGACTGAAGCAAGTGGAAAAGAAACCAAACTTTACCAATTTGGTAGATATATCACAATTAGTTAAAGTATTTCCTCAAGATCATTGGTCTGCAGAACAGGTGAATCGTTTAGCATTGTTTATTCAACAAACACATGGACTTTCTGCAACTACTAGAATGGAAAGACTCACCAAGTTCATTCATCAACTGAATGAAGAAGTACGCAAAAGTCAAGAACAGAAACCTTTATTGGAAACCAAAAGAAGTAGAGGTAGAAAACCTTTTCAAGGGTCTAACAATAATAAGAAGCAAACGACCAGTGCAAATAGAAAACAAGGAAAGAAATAGTGCTTGCCTTGACTACTCTTTCATATTCTTTATTTCTCAACAAAGAAAATCAATGTTCCTTTTAAGACTATTCTGATAAAGAAAGAAATAAATGGCTCATGAGTTGATTTGTAAAACGAGTTTGGAAGTATTAAGTGAATATGTCCATGTTTGTATCAAGAACACTGAATATCTCTCCAAATACTTTATGGGTTCCTATTTTCATTATATTGTTGATAAGCATGCTCTCTCTCTTCTCATTCCATTCTATCATAAACATCTTCTCTTTGAAACCTGTTGAAACAATATTATTTCTAATGCAAAACAAAAAAAAACGTATTACATCGGTTCAACTATCCATATCGGGGTAGAAACTATTCTTCATCTTCTGAAGAACCATAAGTTTCACTTGTCTCAACTAGACGGTTTTCCTCAAAAAGTTGTCTTCCAGTTAGTTTCCAAGCAGTCTCTCTTTCTTTGTTTCTCAACGACAAACCAAACTCTTGAAAAAAACTTTGACGCCACTTTTCAAAGGTTTCCTTTGTGACTGGAGTTCCGTACTCCTTCTTTTCCATAGATGAGAATCAACAAAATCTTCAAGGTTCTTCACCTACCTCTTCTATCAAGGAGTGAATCAACAAAGACGACTCAAGTTTCGTATTCTCATTCACAGATGGAACCGACCCTACACAAGAAACTCTATCGATATCTTCCGCTTCATCTTCCTTCTCCTGTTCCAAAAGCCAATCCTTGGTTTTCATATACAGTTCGAAAATCATAGGAGCTCCCATCAAAAGGTTCATTTCATTCTTTAAAAACTGAAGTAAAGGAGAACGCCATGTTCCCGGAAAACCCTTACCAGGCTGAATAGTCATGGAAGGAGAGTCTTCTGGATAGGAAGGAGGAAGACACAAGTACAAACTAAATTGAACTTTAGGACGCTCTTCTGAGAAGTCCAACTTTATCAAGGGCCTTCTAGTTGTCTCATCTTGTTGTAAAGAAAAATCATCACCTAATATGGCTTCCAATGCTTCTATTTCTTCACGCTGTGCGTCATTGACATGCATCACTCGAGGATAATCTTTACTTGGAATGGCAGACTTGAATTACAATCAAATAACCCCATAAAAAATAGAAAAAGTATACTTGCACTTTCTACTAGCTAAACGAAACAAATATCATTCATTCTTTTACAAAGTGCCAAAATTCAATCATAATGAATACTTTTGTAATATCCCTGGATGATATAATTTGTATAAAAAGGATCCGAGCGGCAACTTGTTAGCTATCTTGCTATGAGAAGTGCATCAACGAATTTTCTATCTTTTGCTCGGTAAAAATCCACAAGAATAGCTACAGAAGAGTATATTTGTTTGGAAACCAGGGTTGAAAACTTTCAATACTAGTCAAACTCTCTCGTTCAATCCGTTGTCCAAATATCAAAAAGAAGCAAATGGCAATTTGCTCTCTAAAAGAAGCATCAAGAATCGTCGATCATTGGTTGGAAGAAATTGCTTTGGCTTTGCGAGTCATGTTGGCTACTTTGTTCCAAACAGTGGGTAAAAGTCGTTCCAGTTTGGTGTCAAGTTTATCCCAATTTTATAGAACCATTTATTTTAGCTCATCCAGAGTGAACTATGGTTATCTAGGTTCCGAGTGTAACACTAGGAAAACTCGTGGATCCCTGTTGTTGGGTCTGTTTGGACTTTCAGCTTTGGCCACTTGGTATTCACAAGATCAAAATAAGATAAAGTTGGACTCCCAAGTAGTTGGTGAAGAAGCAAAGAAACTGAATCCTGAAGATTTTGTCCCTATCCAATTGATCTCCAATACTCCTTACAATCATAACGTTGCAAGATTGCGTTTTGCTATTCAGTCTGCAGAACAAGAAGATTTTCCTGCTGTTAGTTTTGTTTTGGTAAAGACTAAAGATGAGCAAGGAAATGACGTGATTCGTCCCTATAATCCAGTTTCAGGAGTCTCTGCCAAAGGGTAAGAAAGGAACCTTGTTTTTATTCTTTCATTGATGTTTTAGTTATTTGGAGTTGATGGTGAAGAAATATCCTAATAGTAAGATGGGAACTTATTTACATTCTAGACAACCTGGAGATAGTGTCCTAGTCAAAGGTCCCATGAGACAATATCCTTATCAACCCAATGCTAAGAAAGAAATTGGTTTCGTAGCAGGAGGCACTGGAATTACTCCTGTATATCAATTGATAGATTATATTTTAAGCAATCCGAAAGATCATACCAAGATAACCCTTTTATATGCAAACAAGACTCCAGAAGACATATTACTGAAGTCTGAATTGGATGCCTTGCAAAGGAAACATAGTGATAGGTGAGTAGTATTTTATTTTTGAATATGATTATGAAAGAACAGTACAGCTGATATGGGATGGCTTTGTATGGATAGGCTAGTAATTCATTATACAGTTGATCAACCCAATGATCATTGGCAAGGTGAAAAGGGACAAATACAAAAGGACATGTTGAAGAAATATTTGCCTCGTGCATCTCATGAAAATCTTATATTTGTTTGGTAAGTTTTCCAAGAGTTTTTGAATGATATGTTTTACTATTGGCTATATATAGTGGACCGCCACCTATGATGGAAGCTATTAGTGGAACAAAAACTCCAGATAAGAAACAAGGTCCATTATCTGGTCTTTTGAAAGAATTGGGTTATTCCGAAGATAATGTATGGAAGTTTTAAACTTATGTTTTGTGTGAGAGAGTTGTGTGATTATGTTGATGGGAGTTGTTTGAAAGAAAGTTTTTCCCATAAAGTTTTTGTTGGTTGTTCAACAGAGAGAATGAGACGATTGAATGTGGTTCAGATAGGATTGTAATGGAATAGGATGGGAAGTGACTGTTTGTTTTGATGTCATAAAGAGTGTTTGTTTGTAGAGAGTAAATGGCTTCATCACCTTTTTTTGCTTTGGCTACTGCTGCGGAAATAATAAGGTCCGCGGAAAAGGATAAGGAGTATAGACTAGTGTTGAAAAAGTCCTTATCAGAAGTTTCTTCTCTAGTGCTTTCTCGTAGGAGTCATGCCCATTTTGTAACAAAGCACCTCTCTGGTATCACAGACTTGCTTTATTATGGGTTGACAACGTGGATAGGACAACAAACTCCAGGAGAAGAATACAGTGAAATAATAGCGTGTACTGGACAGTTTCCTCGTATAACTTTTCAAGGGTCTCTTCTACGTAGAATATTTTATAGTTTGATTCAAGCATATGGAGAAGACTTTTGGGGCTTTTTTTGTAACAAGATAGCTCAAAGAGTTCGTGCCTATATGAGAGATGGTCAACTGAGTGGAACCCAACCATTTCCCAAAATATATCTATATCTACTAGCTTTACTGGTTCTCACTAGACAAGAGGAAGTGAAACGGTTTCTTTCTAGGTTTCATTTAGGAATATTTTATATACATAGCAAATATTATGAATGGTCTAAGAGACTAGTTGGTATGCAATATTTTCGAGTTGCCAAAAGTCGATATCCACTTCCCAGTTATCGTATTTTGGGCTTGATCTTGCTTGTGCAGTTGAGTCTTGGACTTTTATTATCTACTTATCGTATTTTGAGTAGGAAGGATGGTTTCTATTCTTTTCTTCAATATTCTATAGGTGTTGGTGACAGTGGAGAAGATGAATGGGATGGTTTTCCTAATCAGCTTTCTTCCTCTGAAGAAGAAGAAGAAGAAGAAGAATTGAAGGAAATCGGTCTAGTTACAAATGTGCTCTTTGTTTGAGTTTTATGCGACATCCTACTTGTACTGTCTGTGGTCATGTCTTTTGTTGGCGTTGTATTATACAGTGGACTGCAACCAAAGCAGAATGTCCATTATGTAGACAATCCATTGAGATGCGTAGTTTAGTCACTTTATATCATTATTAATCAAAAATAGAATGATGGAAATTCACAATGCAACGTTGTCCCATCGACTAAATTCACTTCTTTTCTATATGTGAGATGATCCAAATAGATGGCTATCTTATTGCGTACATAAATGTGGAGTACTCCTTTGTGGAAGACACGTATTCCTGCATTTATAACTGATACTTCATTCACTTCTCCTTTTGGTAAGTACTTTGCTTATCTCCCGTTACCCATTCTTATACAGAATAGTGTTCGTTTCGAATAGAAACCACCTTGTGCACCGTCGTTATTTACTGCAAACAACTCCTTTGAATCCATCCAAGTTGACGATGAGTCAGCGAACCAAGACACTCATCGATAGACCCAAGTCGATGAAATATGATGCAGTGTTGGACTTTTTATTGCAGAAAAATCAACAGTTTCAAAGAGGTGTGGAAACTGGAGCTATTCTAGAAAACGAGAGCCAACCAGAATATCGTCAATCACTTGCACACGGTGGTCAGAAACCTATAGCTACTATAGTCACTTGTTGTGATTCTCGCGTCATACCTGAGGTGATATTTCAACAAGGTTTTGGGAAATTGTTCACTGTAAGAACAGCAGGTAGCTTAGTTTCCAGTCCAACTGTACTTGGTTCAATTCAGTTTGGTGTGGAAAACTTTACAACTCCACTTTTGATGGTAATGGGACACACGGAATGTGGTGCAGCTATCACTGGATGGAATATGTGTCATCATGAAAAACATCGAATACAACAACTTTCTCCAGCGTTGCAATCACTCATTCGTCCTATGGAACCTTTAGTGGAAGAAATACAAAGTCGGTATAACAATATTTCCATTTCGGAAGCTAGTCAACATTTAGCTGAAGCAATTGCCAAAGATGCTGTAAAAACTATCCTAAAGGAATTGCCAAGTTTGAATCAATTGCAAGCTAGTCATCAGTTGGGTATAGTATCTGCCTTGTATGATCTTCATCAAGGAAATGTGGTCGTATTGGAAAAGAGTTGGAAATAAAAAAGAGTATTCAAATGAGCGATGCCAAGTTGGCGTTACAACTATATAAAGCACTTATAAGAGTATTATGTTTCTTCCTTTGTTTTTCTCTTCCATACCGATTATTGAAAACTAGGAAGGAAAAAAGTTTCCAGAACAAAAAAGAGCACAATATATTTGTGACTTGACTAGAAAGGAGTTTAGAAAACATCGATTTGAAAGTGATGAGAATCAACGAAAGAGTCTGCTTGTATATGCCATGGATCAGTTAGAGAACATAAGACACCTTGAAGAAGTTTTTGAAAAAGGTGAAGAGGCTCATCATATTGGTATTCATACGGGTATCGTTCGAGTACTTGGTCAGCAGAGCTTTATGAAGAGACCTCGGCAGAAGGAGGATTCCACAACAAAACTCAACAAGTAATAAAGAAACTCGCTAGTCTAGAAGAAGAATATCTGGTTGGTTGCCTTTTATGTTTGAAAACTATGATTGCACAAGTATCACTATGTGTACTATAATAAACCCCCATTCCCTCTATATGATTATACTTGTTGTTATGAACCAGACGACTTTGGAAGCCAGTCTTTGATCAATACCAAATGCACGTACAACTCTACAAGTATCAAACAAGCCAATCCTATCCAAGCTCCACGTTCCAACCAAGCTACTATCGAAAAATCCTTTGAATTTTGTGGTTTCTTGTCTTCTTCACTTCCAGTTATAGGAGGTAGTCGGGAAGGAACCTTGGTTTCTTCAGGTAGAATTCCTGAAGAATAATATTTAGCGATACCCAGTCGAAACTTGTGAGGCACTGGGATTCTGTTTTGGAAAATTGGATATCCATTCCTGTAAGAAAACCTTAACTTTTTGGTATAAAGTCCTTCCATAGAAAGAATAGTAAAACCAACATGATGAAAGCAACACATACTGCACAAGTTATCGTCTTGAATCGATGCCAAAAAGGAGAGAGATGGATGAACGATGATTTCCGAGCTCTGCTTCTTTCCATTCTTGTCTTGTTCTGTGTCTATTCAACGATGGAAAAAACGTCCATCCCAACTAAACTATAACAAACATCATGTAGATTATCCTATTTTTGGTGGACTTGGTCTCCGTTTTGTCTTTTCTCCTCAACAAAGTGATGGATGCTGTTGGGCAGCAGAAGGATGGTTGAAGAGTCGTCGTAATAAGGTGATATTGCTTTCAGGAGCTACAGGTTGTATAGGAAAGCAAATATGGTTGGACTTGATGCAACATACTTCGCACAGAGTCAAACTGATTGTTAGAAAGGACTCGTTATCAAAACTGGATGACAACATATGGAAAATGTATTCACGCAGAATTCAAGTTTTGATGGTAAGCAGCTTTTTCTTTCTTTTATTTTGTATCGTTAGATCACCTCCCCATCACTTTCTATAGGCTGATTTAACAGACATTCTTAGTTTAAGAAACCAACTTTTGGATGTCGATTGTGCTATTCTAACGGCTACGAGTTGGGGTGGTGAACAAGCTTTCCAAGTCAACGTCGAGGCAACATTCCAACTTTTCAACTATCTACCAAAGGATTGTCATATTTTATATTTCTCTACTGCCTCTATTATAGACTCCAGTGGATGTTTGTTAGAAGAAGCTTATCGGTATGGAACTACATATTTACAATCCAAATATGTGGCATTGCAGAGAATGCTACGCTATCATTCTCATCGAAGAATAACTGTCATATTTCCTACGTTGGTTGTGGGACCCAATAGTCATCTAGCCAATGTGTCTTCACAAATCACGCCTTGGAAAGGTTTACTTCGACTCATTGATTTGGATGCTAGTGCTCATTTTATCCATGCAATAGATGCTGCAAAAGTCATCACTTATTTGGTAGACTTTAACCCAAAGCCCTCATTTTACACTTGGCATTCTTCTTCTGATCCTCCAAAAAAACTACCTGCAGTTATCTTGGGTCAACCTTACTTCACTGCAGATCAACTCATTCAGTCGATGTGTTCCAGTAGTAAGAAGAGGAGATTTTTTTCCATTCCGAGGATTCCAGTTCTCTCATTGCTTCCACCGTTGTTGATAGCTCGTTTGCTTTCACTATTTGGTGCTACTGTAGATCCTTGGGTGATGTATTGTTTGAAAAAACGACATTTTGTTTATCCAGATGCAGTGGCACCCGAAAATTTTGGTTTGGTTTCTCAATGGAGGCATATTTCTCAACTGTTGTCTTTATAGCAATGTAAGATCCTAATACAGATGGGAGTAGAAGCGTTTCTCACATTCATTCGGGTAACTTGGATGAGTTCCACCTTGTTACAACCTATCCATAGTGAAGAAGAATGGAAACAACTCTGTTGGGTATGAAAGTTATAGAGTTATTGTGCATAATTGTTTATTTTTGGTTAGACTGAGCAAGGTTGGAAGCCCAGTATCATCGGTTTTGGAGCATCCTGGTCACAACCTTGTGTCCATGTGAGAGAAGTATTGGAAACACTTGCTTCCGTAGCTCTAGAAAGAGGTCGTTCTTTAGTGTTCGGGTTTTGTGAAGTCGAGGAGGGCAACTCTTTTGCAACTGCGTGGGGAATAACAAACGTACCGTCGGTTGTGTTGTCACGCGATGGAGAGTTGGTCAACGTTCTACAAGGTGCGGACCCACCGACAATCACACGTGCTTGCCGAGATTTTATGGAAGACTGCCATCTTTCTTTGAATGAGAGACTAGAGTAAGTTTTTTTTCCTTGTTCGGGAACCTTTGTTTGATGATACTCTAGGAAACTTGTTCACCGACAACCTATTATGCTATTCATGAAAGGAACCCCTGATAAGCCACTTTGTAAGTTTAGCAGGAGAATGATTGAAATACTCAAAGGAGAAGGAGTGATTTTCGGTCACTTTAATATCCTCGCAGATTATCAAGTACGAGAAGGTAATGCATGAGTTCATCTTCACTGAGAGCTGTTTTTTTATGGTGATGTGCAGGTTTAAAACGATATGCAAACTGGCCCACATATCCACAACTATATGTAAATGGAGAGTTGATAGGAGGATTGGATATTGTGGAGGAGTTGTATCAAGCAGGAAAGTTGAAGGAAGAATTGCATCTACCCGGATGACATAGTACTAGCGTTTCTTTTATAAACAACAACATAGCTTCCTTGACTGTGATTTTTCCATCAGTGGAATGTCGAAAAGATATACAATGTCGTTAAAGAAAACTTTATCGGTCATCCTATCGTATGGATCTTCGCCATTCTCCACGTCTTGCTTGTAACAATTTCAGTATTCCTAAGAGCTTGTCATTATGAATGCAATGCGATGAGCTCATGAAAAAATCCGAAAGGTCCATATGTTGATCTTGGTTGCCAAGCATTTAGAAACAAAATCCTATCAAACCAATCATTTTTACCTCTCTCATATTCAAACGCTTGGATCAACATCTCAAGTTTGTCAACCTGCTTGACAAACTTAGCCTCTTCACTCAAATTGTTTTCATATTCGTTCCAAAGATCATAGAGTTCTTGACCTAAAAAGAAGTGACAATTTTGTGATGTCATTTACAAAGAACGACATACCAACCGTACAAGACGATAGATACTCGTCTCGTATCTTTCGAAATGCTTCAGCCTCTTTTCTATTTTTTTCTTCCGGAGAGATGCCATCGTGAGGGGTTATATCACCAACCAAGGACTCTCCTAGATCATGGACGAGTGCAAGCTTTACTAACCTTAAAAAAATTAATATCAGAATATAAAAAATAATTTTTACACTCACTTGTCACGATTGAGGTGGTTCGGACACGAACAAAAACAAAACAAAGCCATACGGTACATATGATCACTAACTGACTCTGGATACCGTATGTGGTGATCTACCCAGCCCTTTCTTTTCGTTTCCTAATAAATTTTAAACGATAAAATAAGCTAGAATACAACAACTTGTAAAATACCTTGAGTTTACCACACAATAATAAAAATTCTAACAAATTGCTGCTTGAAGCTTCATTCTCAGTAAAACAAAGCGGCTCCGTATCAGAGTTCATCTAATCCTTTCAGTTAATGATTCAACTTCGGTAAATAGGTAAGAAAATAATTATTTTTTAGTAGTAAAAGCAAGTTTGAAATAAAAATTTGAAACAATTTGCTTCCTTTTAACTTTTGGTAAATGTTAATTTCTGTTCGTAGATTAATTTCAAACAGGAAATTCAATAAATATTATTTTACTATAAAAGAAGTGATTAAATTAACAACAAATTCTGGGTAAAACTTGAAATAATGTTAAAAAATCTTCCGTGCCAACTACTTACAATAAAGATAATTTTTATTCTAATTTTTTGAAGTTTGTAAGGGTTTCGCCAAACTGCATGCAGTTGATTGGTAATACAGAAGTTTAAGCTCATGTAAATACATTAAGTAGATCAAAACTCGAATGCCTTGGCGAAAAGTCACCTTTACTCAAAAGGTTTTTGGACAAAGCCATAAATCTATACACGAATGAACCTTTTAGAAACTACTCAAACATATTTCACAAATAATTTTCTTTGTTACTCCCTTGGTGGATCCGACAAGACGCCTGTATTAATGTCCATTTCTGGAAATATCGCTTTGCTCTTGAGTTGTTCTTGTGCCCATAACAAAGTCTTCAGCAAATTTGGTAACCTTGGATCTACGCTTTGTTGAACATAAATCAATCAGAAGAATTGTTACTTCTTACCCTTCTCTTGTGCAAAGCTCGTTAGAATTGCTTGGTTCAGCTCTGACGCCGTTTTCTGTCTTTGTGACTGCTGCAATAGAAAACCCACTGGTGACGTAGCACGATCTTCAAACGCAAGCAAAGCCATTACTCTTTCAAGCTCTTCCAAGAAGACGGGCTATAAAGAAGTAAACCAGGTTACAGTTTTCCTCTTCACTATTCTTCACTTACGTTTTCTTCCCCCTTTGGAGCCAATTCTTCTTGTGCAAACTTGAGAGCTTGTTCTATATTCCCTTGTCGGATGAGCTCTATAAGTTTCTGCAATTGAAGATGAAAAAATAGAGAAGGATTGGAATCTAGTATCTAGAAACACCAATATACGGTTTCATTCAAGAAACAAGCTACGTCATTCTCTTACCAAAGGATTCACGTCATTCACCAACTCGATTGCCTTGTCAATTTCTCCGCGTTGTACTGCTGTTCGAATAGCCATTCTCTCTGCTATACTTTTAAGGTCCACACCCGGATCCAAACCCGTTTCCTCGGAGAATTTTTCTGCAGCGTCCTTATACCCTTCAACAACCAAATAGTTCATTACAAGCAGATTGAGATCCCTGTCACATCACTTGCTTTCAATAACGGTTTTATTAGAACATAGTATTTACCTCCTATCCACCTGTACTTGTGATAGCTTCTTCTCCCATTCTTCCTTACTAAACACCCGTCTGTTTGTAGTGGATTGCATGTCAAAACCCAATGCAAAATTTACTTGTTGATTGATTGATGATGGACAGAAACATTGTCTACTTGTTCAGAGTCATGAACACTTAAGCCCATGACGCATGTTTTTAAGAATATTTTACTGAAGCAACAACTTTCATCGTTCAGTCTTTAAAACTAATCGTACTAGGAATGAATGGTGCAGGTTCAATGTTCCAAATTTTCTGTGCATATTGTTCCACTGCTCGGTCTGACGAGAAATAATAAACTCTAGCCATAGCGCATACAGTCTTCTTGATCCAACCTTTTCTATTTTTGAAAGCTTGGTCTATTGCATCTTGAGCTTCCAAGTAAGAAGGGAAGTCTCGACCAATCATGTAAAAGTCATTCTTGGGTATCAAACACGAAAGGATTGGTTCAGCAACTTTTTGATTACAAAATGTGCCATTTGCAATCTCTTGTTTCACTTTTTCCAGTCTCGGGTCGAGTTGAAATTCTTCATTCCTCTTTCGAGCATCCAAAACTTGGTCAGAATTCAAACCGAAAATGAAAATATTTTCCTTTCCAATATTTTCCAGTATCTCGATATTGGCACCGTCCATGGTTCCCAATATCAGTCCACCGTTCATCACAAATTTCATGTTACTTGTCCCAGAAGCTTCCATACCCGCAGTCGAGATATGTTGAGAGATATCACTAGCCGGTATGATCTCTTCAGCCAATGAAACATTGTAGTTGGGTAAAAAGAAAACTTTTAAAAGATCACCGATACTGGGGTCATTATTTACCACACTACAAACACCATTGATGAGTCTGATAATTCTCTTTGCTTGTGCATATGAAGCCGCCGCTTTTCCAGCAAAAACAACCACTCGAGGAACGATGGATTTTCTTTGTTCTGTATCCGACTGTTTGATAAAAAGATATCGATGAATGACTCCCAAAATATTCAACAACTGTCTTTTGTACTCGTGAATTCTCTTTACTTGAATGTCGAATAATGCATTGGAATCAACTTGGAATCCAAACAGTTGGGATATTCTCAAAGCCAACTGTTGCTTATTGAACCTTTTTGCTTCTTCTATTTGTCTCAAGAAATCATCACTTTCTTGAAATTGTTCCAATTGACTCAACAATCTTGTATCGGTTATCCAGTCATCCGTTTCCAACCATCGCGTGAATACCGAAGACAAAGCTGGATTGGCCTCCAATATCCATCTCCTTGGAGTTACTCCATTGGTAATGTTAAGAAACTTATCGGGAGTCATCACTGCAAAATGAGGAAAGAGTTGTTTCTTTACCAATTCGGAATGTAAAGCAGCCACTCCATTCACTCGATGAGATCCGACAACTGCTAAACTTGCCATTCGAACCATCTTTGGAAAACCATCTTCGATCAGAGAAACATTTTCAAGTATTTGCTCATCATTAGGAAACATTTGAGATACGCATTCCAAATGTCTTCTATTGATTTCATAAATGATTTGCATATGACGAGGTAATAAACGTTCCATGAGAGGTACTGGCCACTTTTCTAAAGCTTCCGGTAATACAGTATGATTTGTATAAGAGAATGTCTGAACGGTCAAATCCCAAGCTTCTTCCCATCCAAGTCCTTCCTTGTCAATAAGTAATCTTAAAAGTTCAGGAATAGCAATAGTTGGATGGGTATCATTCAACTGAATAGCTGCTTTGTTAACCAGTTGTTGTATAGGTAGTTGAAGCTTTTTAAATCTTCTCATAATATCTTGTAAAGTTGCCGAAACGAAGAAATATTGTTGCTTCAATCTGAGTTCTTTTCCAGCTTCCGTACTATCATTTGGATACAATACCGATGTTAGTTTTTCAGCCATTTGTTTCTCTCCGATGGAACTGAAATAGTCACCGCGGTTGAAAGCCTCCAAGTCAAATTCTTCAGGTGGACTTGAACTCCATAATCTTAAGTTTAAAACGTTGTAGGTATCGAAGCCTGGTACTGGAATATCATAAGCTATGGCACGTACCATTTGTCCACCTTCCCAATGAACTTGTAACTTGCCATCCTTATTTGTTACGATGACGTTGCCATAAAACTGTACGGGATAAGTAACATCCAATCTCTGCATTTCCCAACTAGAGTCTATCAGTTTTCATCTTTTTATCCAACACCACTATTACTTACGGGTTTCCCTTTGCCAACCAAAAATCTGGTATTTCTATCTGATTGCCATCTTTTATTTTTTGTTCAAACATACCATACTGATATCTTATGCCATATCCCCATACTGGATAATTCAAAGTTGCCAATGAGTCCATATAACAAGCAGCCAACCGACCCAATCCACCATTCCCTAAACCAGGTTCTGGTTCTTCATCTTCCAACGTACTCAAGTCGAATCCCAATTCTTTTAAAGCTTCGCGATATTGGTCATGAATACCCAAATTGATGAGAGCATTTTGCAACTGTCTCCCCATAAGAAATTCCATAGACAAATAATAGGCCCTTTTGACACCAGCCTCGGTAAAATATTGTTGTGTGTCGTTCCAAGATTCGATCAATCTATCCCTCACCGATAGTGCTGTTGCTAGGTAGGCATCAAACTTGTCAAAGTTGAATCTTGTTCTTGCTAAAGTGTGTTCGACGTGATCGACGATGTATCTCTCGATGGAAGCGACGTCTATCAAAACTTAGTTGGCTGGAGCGATGGGATGAGAACAATAATACCTCTTGACAAATATTGTGACATGAGACTGTATAACAATGACTTGCGACGTAATTGTTCATCTTCCTCGATAGTTTTCCAATCCTGTGGACTCGTAGTACCGCTGACCGAGTAGAGGAATCTACTTTCGGAAGGAGAAATAGTTCCCTTTGCTAAAAATAGTGATGATAGTCCATATATTATCAGAACTATCTGCTTACCTAAATCTTGAAAGGATAATGTGCGCTTGTTCTTGTCCATCACTGTGTTGGTTGAGAAACACACAATCGACAGATCCAAAAGTGAAAGTTGGAATCACAACGCAAAGACCCAACGATGGATGATGATTACAACAAAATGATTCCATCTTTATTCTTTAGAAATAAAAAACTCCCAAACTATCAAAGAAGTTGGATATGGATACAAAAGAATCTTCTTTCTTTCTTAATATCTCATTGCTCTTTTTCCATTGTTGACAACTCTCTAAGGAAGTATTCAATCGTCTCCATGAGTTGTCATTCGGAATCTGTTGCAAAAAAGACTCCAAGATGGGAACGATTGCATTCGTTAAGCGACACTGCACACTGATTTGATAACTTTTGGTAAGATTATCTTGTGCTTTTGATAAGCCACCATTACGAAGTTCATCCAATCGATGCATTAAATGGCTTTCCTTTTTGGAAAACTTCCTGGCAAATATGGCCTTGGAATACAACAGCGTATTCCAAAATATTTCTTCATTACCTTGTTCATCCATAGTAAAAGGATGTTGTCCATTGCAAGCAGGATTCATATCTTTGTGACAAAAGTAAACAGCTCGAAATGCTTCAGGTACAATAGTGGAGTGAAAATGTGGATGATTATAAGCACAAGTTGCAAAATAGGCCTCATCTGAAGTATCTGAAACTGCAAACACTGCCAACATCTTCTTAGCAAATGTGTCTCGCACTATAAACTCCGAAAACTCTCTCGAAAATATGCTCCAAAAATCGGATTTGACATAAGTAAAATTGCGCTTTTGACGAAATGGATGTTGGACACCAAAACTAATAAGAGACTCCGATTGAACCAAGTCATCGTTGAACTCCAATGCAGGGTCAAAATGAACTGTTTCGATTCGAAAACGAGTTGCTTCATCTGACCATTCTATTTCAGGATAAAGTTGAATAAAGTTCAACTGATTGGAAGGTACAAGACCAAAAAGTTTACGAATAAAGGTTGCTGAAACAAGAGGATAATCAGACCCACTCAGATTGATAAAGTAATCCCACTTGGAATCTTTGGTAAGTAAAAAGTTCATTGCCTCAATGGTATTTAATACCATGCTAATGCCTACATAAAAAAATAGTAAGCAAATGGCTATATTCTCTATAGGAAAACCATTACCTCGATACGTAACTGGTTCACTCTCCATAAAGTAAACATTATCTCGATAAGAATCATTCGATGTAATTCGTCTCATCACTTGTCTTCTTAACAATTCTGGAATTTTCTTATCTAAATGAATGGCATATACATTGTCAGGATGATACAAAGCACCCAATAATTTGTCAAGTCTTTGGACAGTTGATGAAGAGACTTGAATAAAATAGGCCAAATTTCTTTCTCCACGAGTATCTTGAGCAGAATGAGTAGAATATCTTGGAAGGAGATCATGCTTTGTTGCTGAAGATGTATTGTCTTGTAAGGAATTGTCCTTCTGTAAAGGCTGTGTGGTCTAAAAGGCGGTTGAGTTGTTTCCGTATTTGCCAAGTTGTAAATACTTACTAGTTGCTTCAACCATAACCAAAATATGTTGATACTTCTTTTCAATCGATACAAAATTCCTGTGGCTGTATAGGCATCAACTGGTTTCTGTTTGTTATTCAGGTCTGTGTCATTATTATCGCTATTATTATACTTCCATTGATTGCCAACCTCATCCAGTGCTTCGTCAAAAGATGACAATACAAGTTCCGAGCTGTTCTCTGAAAAGTGTCTAGTAAAAATTTGTTCTGATATCTTCCCTATGGTAGTTCCTGCAATAAGTCCCAACAGAAAGGAAGCAGCTAGAAAAAGAGAGACCAAACAGATAGTGCGAATTTTGGAGTTTCTTCCCTTTCTGTGAAAAACATTCATGATAAGGACAGCTTTGTAAATACGTTATGCCTTTTAGTAATCAAAACATGAATAGAGGTACAACTTTTCGTTCTTTTCTTGAAGCAAAATTGCCCTCAACGACAAATCATTGGCTTCCACGTAATGGCTTTCTGATCGGCATCCTATTGTTGGGCTTCTTGGTCAGTCAGTTCTTCTATCCATCGTCTTTTATTGTACAAAATGCAACGAGAATATTTTAGGCCATATTGGAAAATTGAGATATATCACGTTTCCTAGATACGTTAGTATCCTCTCTATGTTTCCCTTCCTTGTATGTTTTCTCAAAACTGGAAGGACTGAGAAACTGAGAGCATAAATAACCACGAACTTTGCCGTCGCGGTCTTTCTGTGGACTCCATACTCCAGTATAACATAATAATTGGTGAACTTGATGGATATCCAAACTGTACTCTTGAGCCAAATGAGCAGGATTCCAGTGTTTGGGATCCTTTCATAAAATTGAGTTTATCAAACAAAGATACAAGTCAACTTACGTTTTTCCATCGCACGAAGAGTTGGTCCAATTCCTTTTCCGTTAGAAAGCCCGGTGCACCAGAAACTGCCTAACGATAACCAAAGGTGCGTCATAAAAGATATGCACTTCCAGAAGTTTAACCAACTATACCTTTTCACTATCCCTATCCTTGGGCCCTGTCTTTATTTCTTTCTTTGACTTTAGTGCCCAGGAAGGATGTGCTTCAGGCACTGTTCGAGTAACGATGCTACCGCTCAATAGACGAAGCGCTTCGGAGACTTGGGTAGACGGTTGGGTTGGTTGTTCAAAAGAAAGCTTCGTCTTTTTCGCTTCGACTAGAAATAGATGAAAACCAAACGTTGTCTTTACAGATTGTAGCTGGTTTTCTTTGGCAGACAGACAGGCAGCTTCAAAGTCTTTTTGAAGACTTCCTCTTGGAACCCAACCCAAGTCTCCTCCTAAACTCACCTTGAGATATCCAAAGAGAGTTGTGTGCAGGTCACTATTACCTCTCGAAGAAGAAGGACAAGCAGAAAATTCCCGTGCTACTGCAGCAAAAGACTTGCCTTTTTGGATTTGTTCTTCACACTGTTGTAACAATTTCTCGTTTGGTAATAAAATATGTCGTACTTTAACTGCTACAATATCGGTACTAGTCGGTGTATGGACTTGTAGTTTGGCAGTTCTTCGTAGGACATTTCCCATGAAAGAAACTGATGACAATTAGGAAAGCATGATATTCTATTATTATGTATGCAAGCATATGGAAGAAATAGGTAATATCGGAACAAAACAAAGAGTTGATTATCTTTTCGGCAGGAAGATAGTGGAACAAAGGAGTTGGATAATAAATGTCTATAAGAACAATTATTGGACTCGAAAGGATGTGGACTGCTTCTCGTCACAAGGCGGGACGTTTTCCTATGGTTGCTTACCGCAGTTTCTCAACCTCGGTACAAAAAGATTGGAGTGCCTCACTTCCTTCTAATGTCCGTATAGTTGAAGTTGGTCCACGTGACGGCTTGCAAAACGAAAAAAATTTTGTACCCACTCGAGACAAAATCAAGCTCATCGACAAGTTGACGAATACTGGATTGGAAACCGTAGAAGTGACTAGCTTTATATCTCCGAAGTGGTAGGTGGATTTGAAAGCATACTTTATGTAGATATGTATTCCTCAACTGAAAGAAAAAAGGGTACCCCAATTGGCAGATGCCAAAGAAGTGTTTACCAGCATTCAGAAAAAGCCTGGAGTTCGTTATCCGGTTCTTGTACCCAATTTAAAAGGACTTGAAGCAGCTCTCGAGGCAGGAGCAAAAGAAATTGCAATATTTGCTGCTGCTAGTGAAACATTTTCCAAGAAGAATCTTAATTGTAGCATAGAAGAGAGTTTAGATAGGTTTCGGCAAGTGACTGAAGAAGCTAAAAAGCATCAAGTTAGTGTACGAGGATATGTTTCTTGTGTTGCTGGTTGTCCTTTTGAAGTAAGTTATTCCTTTTGATGATGATTTTGTTTTAATATTCTGTATGTAGGGATCGATCGATGCCGAACAAGTCGTTCGAGTGACTTGTGGACTTTTGGAAATGGGATGTTATGAAGTCTCTTTAGGGGATACAATTGGAATTGGCACACCTGGCGATTTTCATCGTATTCTTCAGGCTTTACGACCGCACGTGTCTATGAATGCTCTAGCGGTTTGTATTCAACAAAACATTTCATATTGATTGCCTCGTTCATTTATGGGTTAGGTTCATTGTCATGATACTCGTGGCACAGCACTTGCAAACATTTTGACAGCATTGCAATATCAAGTTAGCGTAGTAGATGCTTCCGTTGCTGGTAGGTTGAGTTATCGAAATCATGATATAGTTGACTCCTTCTTAGGTCTTGGTGGTTGTCCTTTTGCACCTGGAGCGACAGGAAATGTTGCTACAGAAGACGTGATATACATGTTGAGAGGAATGGGTATTGATGTTGGTCCAGTTGATTTATCAGCTTTGATTGCTGTCGGGCAAGAGACTTGCCAGTTGCTTGGGAAGAATAATAATTCCAAAGTAGCGGTTGCATCACAAGCAAGTCGAGTAAGAAGGGCCAACCTTTGAGTGCGTACAATAGGATTGTCCTATTTGGGAAATACATTGTATTATTTAGAATCTAGTTAACTTTATCAAGAACTAGGAAGCTTTCACCATATTATATATATATATATAGAGAGAGAGAGAGAAATATATGTTCCATATTTTTCGGATAACTTGTTCAAGTTTCAACGACTATAATAAGCTCCACTCTCCCTCATACTCCGTTGAACTTGGGCATAAAATGCAGCCTTGTTGTCTCTATATAGATTGGCAGCTTCTTTGTTTAGAGGGTCATCAGGATTAGGTTCCAAGAATAAATACTGAAGACCATATAATATGGCATTTAAGGAGAGAATGGGTTTCCAATCTTCACGAAGAATATTGAGGCAAACGTTACCTTCTTCATCAATATTGGGATGAAAAACCTAACGCCCGATTAAAGAGCGATGTACTGGAGCACAAGTAAACCAAACTTATGGCTTGTCTTACCTTGGTTTCACATTTTACTTTGGGAGGGTCGTGAGGATAAGTGGGCGGTATTTTGAAGCGAAAAGCGAAACAACCATACTTATAAATTCCTTCGTCTGGTTTACAATAAACTATAAATTCCACAATGTTATTTTTGTCTGGAAAATAAACACTAAGAGTCTTTCCAGTGTCCAACTCGGATATGTCTATTGAAAGATATTAATTTGTTACCCACAAGAGTTTATAGTGTCTTACCTTTTTGTAGCCGCAATTCTGCTGCTGTTGTTTTATTAGAACTGGTTTTGTTTTCTGTTTGTTCTTGAGCCGATTGTTTCTTCTGTTTTAACGAGAACAATTTCAACATCACCAATACACACACTCACTCTTTCAACCAATGAATGGATGGAGCCATAGGGTGTGGTCATACTTGAGGCCACTTGTATATTCAACAAGGTTAAAACTGAATGCTTTCAAGTCAACTTTATATCCATTTACAGTAGTTCGTAAAGGTTCGCCTAGTAAATACAACTGCAAACAGTGCAACTATTTCAAGACCATATGTGGTGGAACAATGGTCTTACTATGGGCTTTCTATACTAACGACTGTTTGTATACTATACACACATCGAGTATTATAAAGAGTTGGTCTGATGTTTTGTTTGTTCATTCGGAACCAGGAAAGTATTACAAGTATGTGGTCATAGGTACAGGAGAAGCTGCTAGGGAAGCTGTTGAAGTGATACGTACAAAGGATCCCAATGGTTCCCTATTCATATTGTCTGATAAGACTATGGAAGAGTACAGCAGACCCAGTTTCCAGTCTTTGTTGAGTTCTTCTCTTGTCAGAAAAGAGGAAAGGAACCAGCACTCTTCTGAGAAAGAAGGCTCTTTCTTCGTTGAAACAAGTCAAGTAGGAAGCAATAATTTTTCTGATTTTCAACCAACAGTATCCGATAGAGTAGAGAAATTGGATATTGCTCATAACAGGATTCTGCTAAGTGGTGGAGAATGGGTTCGTTATGGAAAGTTGTTATTAAGTCCTGCTGATTATTTGGAGTTGCCTTGGGATATTCTGGTTGCCAAGGACTGTACTAACTATGTTCACTGGAGAATATGGGAATTAGATAAAGAAGAGTTGAATAAGTTGTCTAGTGGTTGGACTGCCAAGTCGAATTCTTTGCCTCATATTACTATTGTAGGCGGTGGTTGGTATGCAGTTGCTTATGTTTGCAAGTTGAAGCAATTAGGGTTTCCTATTACTATGGTATTCCCAGAACCTTCTATTTCAGCACGATATCTTCCAAGATATCTTTGTGACTACATTTCTAGCAAGTTGAAAGCAAAAGGAGTGGATTTGGTTTCCTATGCTTTGATTCGCTATGTTTCCAAGTCACCTTCTTCAACCGAGAGCCATCTTCATGTACATATTTCGAGAACTTATGATTCCACCAATATTGGCTACTTTGATACCGACTATCTTTTTTTTGTTCCTACTCATATGTCTAGTGGCTTGTTGAGATGGTCAGCTGATGTAGAGGACATATTAGAGATGGATGTTTTGAATGGTGGAATATTATGTAATGCAGAACTTTTGGCAGCTTCGGATGTTTATGTTGCAGGTTCAGCTGTATCCTTTCCTAATCGTTTTATTGGAAGAAGAAGAGAACAGGTAAGATGAATCGAGAAATTGGAGTCCAAGTGAAAGGAACTGCTTAGGGTTCTGAACATAATCTATTGAGTGGCCGAGTAGTTGGTGTGAATATGAGTGGAGGTAGAGAGTATTATCGTCACATACCGATGAGAGAAATGGAGTTGAGTGATATTTGCATGCCAATGTTTCTATTTGGCGATATCGACTCTTCTTATGATAGTGCTAGTTACTTTCATGTGGACCATTATCTTCGTCAACAAAAGAAGATAAGAGATTGGAATGTCATTCCTATTGGTGGTTTATCGCGTTATTTGGATGGAGTTGAACGAGGAGTTTTATTCTTTTTGAGAGATAATCAAGTTGTTGGCATATGTTTATGGAATGTGACAGATTCCAATTCTCATCAAATGGCTCGCACCCTTGTACGAGATGCAGGTAAGTCAAAGATATATTCGATATTGCCTGTAAGGATAGAAATGTATTGAAATTTTAGTTCCAGTATCTGCATCCAATTTACGTCAAATAGCATCTCAGTTGTTGTTGTGTGAAACAAAAGATGAACAGTTGATTGAGAAGAGTAGTCTTGGAAGAACAACACATCCATATCAGTCTCATTATGGTGGACCCTTGAATAGGAATCATAATCATTCCTCTCTTCCATTCTATTCAACCAAAACATCAAGCTCCAAGCATCTGACCACTAGTTTAGATCCGAAAAAGAATGAAATATTATGGGAAACCAAAGACTATTTCGTTAGTGGAAGAACACAGAATGACTTGAAAAATCAAGCCTTTAGAAAAGCCATTTTGGGTTACTAATTCATTTTGAACTGGAAAAATGGGCGAAGAGGAGTGTGAATAAGAAATGATTTTGCTTTCGTGATGAGCAACCAACCAGACAGTTAGTTGACTTGTAAAGTCTTGAAAGAGATGGTGTTGGGAACCCATCAAAGACCACCTAAACAGGAGAGCTTGGAGAAGGTAACTCTTGATAAAAACACGGATACCCTATCTTCCACTTTCTCTGCTTCGGAAAGACCAACTTGTATACCAAGGATGGGTCTAAGAGGTCTTTTCAACTCGGGAAATACTTGTTACTGTAATGCAGCTTTGCAGGCTTGTCTCTTACACAATCCCGCTACGTTACTGTACGCACTAGAGTGCAAGGCGTTCTATAAGGATCTTCTGAAGCACGCTTGCAATAGAGGTAAGATCAGCAAGAATAAAGAAAATTTCTTTTTGCCTATGATGGGGGTTTGGTAGATGCAAAGGCTGTACAGCAGTATTCCATACACTCGTTAACTATAGAGACAATGAACTTGTTACAGAAATTTGCTACAACAGAAGTAGCTCCGTTATACCCAAGAGAGTATGAAAACGCAAAAAGTTATAATGGAATCTATGATAGATATGTTTAGGTTGCTTGTATCGGTTCGCTCCAACAATGTAGAGTTTGCTGGTGGTGTGCAACATGATTCCTCTTTGTTTCTCAAGTATCTTTTGGAATGTTTGCATGAATCTACCAAGCAACTATTATCAGACCCTAGAGAAAGAATTGAACAGTTAGAGGGTCAAAGAGTGAGAACAGACTTTGTTCGAGGAGGAAAGACCTTAAAGTTTTTTCTCATATTGATAGGAAGACGATAGTGATGAAGAAGAGTGGATGACCGAAGAGGAGAAGCAGGCTTGTCCTTTATGGTTTGTCGTTGTGAATTGCCAAGACTGAGAAAACTTATGAAGTGATGTAGGAGTCCGCCTACCGATTATTATGAAAGAGAAGTTTCATTTGTATCGGAAATCTTTCGAGGGAGATTATTGAATGAAGTAAGTTGTCATGGCTGTGGTCATGTTTCTCGAAGAAGAGTGAGTTGAATGAGTGATTTGTATTTCTGAAAAACAGTGCATTGAGACGAATCTTGTTAGGAATTATTCTGGGACCTTGCAGTAGAAGTACCCTATGGAAAGCGTTCGATTCATCATTTTCAGAATGCAGCTACTCAATTTCGAAATGACCAAAGTTTTGATAGTACTGAATATTGTGCTTCAGAATCACATAGGATTGTTCCCCGAAAGCGAGCCAATTCGAGTTTAGGTATCAGCTTCGGTAACAGCAATAACCATTTCAGTCGTGTGGATAGTTTTAGCAATAGTCAATGGCTTGGTTGGCTCTTAAGTCCTTTTCGGGATACTATTGACTTGAGAACCATTTTGTGTCATTTCTTTGTTCCGGAAGATATTGTCAAGTCCGAATACAAGTGTGCAAAATGTCGCAAGTCTCAACAGATAATCTCTCGAAAGAGTTCTTTAATAGAACTTCCGGAAACTTTGATTATTACTTTGAAGCGTTTTCGATATGAAGGAAATCGAGGTTTGTATTGTATTTCAAATGATTTACCTTTTCATGAAAGTGCTTGAATAGGTTTTAAAGTTAGTACTCATGTGCAATTCCCATTGGATGATTTAGATCTTGGAAAGTTTTTGGCGGTGGATGCAGTTTATGAAAAAAAGAATCGTTCAACACGATATTATCTCGGAGGTGTAGTGTGCCACAAAGGTAATCTTAAGAATTTTTTTACCTTTTCTATATGTTGTTAAGGTTGAATGGTTTTGTTAGGCTCTTTATTTAGTGGTCATTATATTGCTTATGTGAAACTTCCTCCTGTATCACCAGCAACTTTATCACATTGGTATGAATTTGATGATGCTTGTGTTCGACAAGTAAGTAGACAACTATGATATATATATATATATGCATTCATTTTGTAGATTTCTGCTAATGAAGTACAAAATGCTTCCTCGCAAGCGTATGTATTGGTATATTATAAATATTCATTAGAAACGACCGAACAAGTAAGAACAAAATGGAAGTTGAATTTTCCGACTATTTTATCATCTTCATTGCGTTGTATATTGGATCCCAATGAAAGTTCATTAGATAATACTACATTTCAATATCTTGTATCTAGACTTTGGATTTGGCGTTTATCTAGTTTTAGTCATCCTAGTTCCATAAGTAATGCAGTGGATTTATTATGTCCTCATTCACATATATCTAATGAACAAGTATGGAAAGACAAATGTTACAGAGTGGAAGAGTCCTTATGGAAGGAATTGTACTCTTGTTTTGGTGGTGGTCCTTGTCTTTTATTGGACAATGTGACTATTGGCTGTGATGAATGTTTATGTAGATTACGTCACTTAGAACAACGTAGAAAGGAAGAAAAGGAGACAGTGGAGAATTGGAGTCAGTGGGAGGATAACGGCATTTGGTATTTGATAGATGCTCAATGGTTCAATCAATGGCAACAATTTTGTATGGGATATGAAATAGAACCACCGGGACCCATAACAAATGGAAGGTTATTACGAAGAGATGGAAAACCACTCAAAAGTTTAAGTCCTTTGCAGGATTATAAAGGAGTGAATGCTGCAGTTTGGAACTTTTTGCAACAAAGATACGGTGGTTATCCCGAAATTAAACGACATAAAGTGGATATCTATTCTAGTGCTGTGACATAAAGTCAATCTTTTCTATTACAATATGTCTTGTATCCAAAAAGATAGTTTTTACTTTTTAGCCGTTGAACCACCTTTAGCTGCTGCCTTTGCCTTTCCCCGTACTTTCTTTGCTCTATTCTTTCTTTCTTTCCTTTGCTTACGAGCAGGTTTCTCTATTTGTACGAGACCGTTTCTTCTTAATCGATAGTTTGGTTCGAATCTCTTGGCTGCTGTTAGATTGTCATAAATCAAACCAAACCCCACACTTTTTCCACCTCCGAACTGAGTACGAAAACCAAATACAAATACGGTTGAAGGATCAGCTACCTTGTACATGGCAGCCAACTTTTGTTGCAACTCAACCTTTGGAATGGGAGACTGTCCAGGATGAAATACTTCTACAACCTAACGACAACAATAAGTTATACGAACACAAAAAAACGATTCTAGACACATACGAATTGTTTTCTCTTTAACAGTCGGTTGGTAAGGAATCTCCTCGTTCTTATAGTGTAGTTCTTTTCAGGCATGTCAAATTGTTCACAATTGGAGGACGACGTCGACGAATGAAAGTAAATGATGATAAGTAACATTCGGAAAGAGGCTACTCTATTTCATCAGGGTGCAGAAGCAGTAAGGAAGCGTGTTTTTCACTTGGTTTTATTATGAAGTATCGTAGACTCTTTATATTGCAGACTTTTTGGGTCGTCCTTCCTTGTGGAAGCAACGAGTGGTCAAGAAATATAGACACGAGTGTTTGGACCAAAGGATTCGAACACGACGACTATTGCAGGTACGAATAGAACAATTACGAAAACCAACGATGGTTTCAACACCAAATAGGAAGTAAGAACTTTACTTCGTTGTAGAAAGTTGCAAATTAGAGTTCCTGCAGTGTATTTTGTGGACCCTGAAGAAAGCATATTGATTATGCAATATATATCGGATGGCATTGTTCTGAAAAACTATTTGAACCAGAGCAACGGAAGCCAAGAATTGTCTTTCATAGCCACAAAAGTTGGAAAAGCCGTAGCTAAACTACACAATGGCTCCATCATACACGGAGACCTCACAACTAGCAACTTTTTGGTGGTCACAAGAAACAATGAAACTCTACTGTATTTGATAGACTTTGGACTAAGTTTTTATAGTAATACAGAAGAAGACAAGGCAGTGGATTTGTATGTTTTGGAGCGCGCAGTACTCACCACTCTAAAAGATGCTGCTCCATTCTTTGAAAAACTGATTGAGACCTATTCACAAGAGTCCAATGATGCTTCTGCTGTTCTTCGAAGACTAGAAAAAGTTAAAAGACGTGGAAGAAAACAGACAATGGTTGGTTGAAATAATATATTATGAACGATGAATATTTGCATTTTCTCCTCTTTTGCCCTGTAAAGGATCGAAAACTTCATAATCGTTGGAATGATCCGTTTCATCCTTCTCTTTCGTATTTTGAGGAAACTGTAGTCGATGAAGAAGCCATCCTTTATCTTCTTTTTCTGCATTAGACTGCAAAGTCGGTCGTCGAAGATTGGCACGAAATTGTTGCAATCGCTTCAAAGTTTCCTCTTGTCTATTTCCCAAGTTTGCATTTCGTCTCTTAGTTGCATATTTTAGTCTTCGAGCTTCTACTGGCGACATAAAAGGAGCATCTTGGATTACTTTTTCCTCATCTTTTTGTTGAGAATCGAGTGAAACGACCATTGTCTTGTTCTTTTGTTGTTTCCATTTCTGCTTCAATTGCTCATATTCATGAATTACTGCAGTTTGAGAATAATCGACTTGAGTTTCTTGGTGTTGTTCAGTTTGCTCACTTTGTTCTATATTTTCCACATGTTGTTCTTTCGTAGACATTGCTTTTGGACTCTTCTTTTCATTGAGTGATGATTCCACAGCAGCAGGTACGTTGGCTATTTCCACCTTGGGATGGACCAAACTTGGCTTTTCTAAAAAGGTTTCCTGTTCTTCATTATTATCAAAGGATAACAAGTTGCTCTTTCTCTTTGCTACTTTTTGTAATCGTTGTGGTTTTACATCCGATTGTTTCTTTTCAACTTTGGTGGGACTCAACACGATGTCTTCATAGGGATTGAACAATACCAACGTACTATTGATGTAAACGGGTTCTTGTGGTCTTTCGTGTTCATCGACAGGTGACCAATCTGCTATTCTTAATACGTTAAATATGGTATTTCCCACAACTTTACCGAATATAGTATGTTGTCCGTTTAACCAATCACAGCGGTCTAATGTGATAAAAAACTGACTATTGTTTTGGTTGGGTTCATCACAAGCCATAGCAACCATTCCTCTGTGTCTAAACTTGAGTCTGGAATGTATTTCATTAGGAAATGGAGCTCCGTAGATGCTTTGTCCACCAGTTCCTGTTCCTGTGGGGTCACCAGTTTGAACTAGAAAACCTTTGGCAATCCTATGAAATGGACAGCCGTCATAATAACCGGAAAGAGACAATTGAATAAAGTTTTTACAAGCTTTGGGAGCTTCTTTGGTCCACAATTCTATTTCGATATCTCCCACAGTCGTTTTCAATACTACTTTTCCACAAGTAGGTGGTTCAGCAACATAAATAAAACTCATGGAAGAAGAAGAGGAGGAGGAGAGACGACGTTAGGGAATGATTGATTTCGGTGCAAGTCATGAAGCATGACCTTTTGGTTGGAGAAGAGTTTTACGTTTGAAGCAATGCACTATTTAACTTATCACGACGGAAAGTGTAGTCGACCACATGGACACTCTTATCAGGTCACTGTACGGTTGAGTGGAAAGCAATTGGAAACGCAAGGACCGAAGAAAAATATGTTGACTGATTTCAGTTGTATATCTGTCGTTTGTAAAGACTTGAAAGAAAAATATTTGGACCACTACTGCCTTAACGAAACATTGGAAACCGATTCTCCAACTTCGGAGTTTATTGCTCAATGGATATATCAACAACTCAAGCCTCAACTTCCGCTATTATCTGCCGTGATAGTATCCGAAACCAACACTTCTAGAGCCATATATCAACCAGATACAACGGATGGTGACCAGATAAAATAATAAAACATCAACAACCACAACATTCACAAAAGTAATCAGGAATAGGAAACATGATAGTGTAAATTCTTCTTAAAGCCAACTCTACTCTCTCTCTGATGTTGTGCTGTTCACATTCCACAATGCCACGTCGATGATCTACGATAACATCTATGCTATCCACTTGAAAACGGGACTTGTCTTCGTCTATCACTTGCAATGCACCAAAACGTTCTTCTAACAATTTCCTACTCATCGATAAAGCAGAGTATAGAAAGTCTTCATCTTTTTCCTCTTCTTCAAACGATGAAGACTGTTTACTGCGATATACAGAAACAGCATCCATGGCCAATACAGGCGCTGAAGTTATCGAATGGGTTATACAAAGATAGACAATATTCTCCACCAATATATCGGTGGCATAATTGGTACACCATTCCACAGATGCCGATTCTCCATCTTCTAAAAGAGTCACTTGAATGGCTCCCAAAATATCCAATTGAGGTCTTTTCGTTTCTTCATCTATATCCAATACTGTGCCTTCCAATAAGTGATTCAATTCAGTAGCAAGTTGAGAAAATGGTTTCTTTAATGGAACAACCAAACGCTGTTGTATTCGACTCACTTTCAAACCAGTATAAGTGTTCAACTCATTAGGACTCATCAAAGTATAGTTAAAGTCTCGCTTTACCAAAATACCTGACATACTAGCACCATCTTCAGGTTTCCGTTTCGCTACTTCTCCAATCGCTTTGGCAACTTTTTCTGCTCGAAAAGTGAGGCGAACCGTTTGACAATTCTTAGGAGTATAGATACGAATATTCGGAACACTTTGTCCTTTGTTGTATTTCAAGTCCAAAGCATTTCGAAGCCTTCCCATTTCAGTCATTTCGCCATGTACCAAAACAATATGACCTGAACGCGAACGATCGATAAATTCGCTTGTTTGAAGAAAGTCAGAATGAGCAGAAAATGTAATATAATCGACACTACAACGTAATGGTACTTCCTTTCCATCCAAACGAGTTATAGTGGAAGGTTCAGATAATATATGTTTGGCCAAAGTTCCTTCAACTGAGTAACCAGGCAATATGATTCCGTTTCTTCTATCCGTACACCATCTTTCACATAGTTCTCTGGAAAGACCACTTTGTAACATTCCAGGAGATGCCATAAACACACAAGGACCCGAATCATCAAAATCTTGAATGTTCTTTACATTCAATACATATTTGAATGCAAAAGGATTGGAGACTTCGTAACGTTTCCTTATATTATCGTTCATCATATTGATATATGTTTGATATACCGACATACATCTCTTAGCTAAAGAAGAAGCATAATAAATAGGAATATCTTGTAAATCCGGATGAGCTTCCCAATACTCCTCCAAAATCAACAACAACTCTTGAGCACGTCCCAAAGCAAATACTGGAAGCAATACTCTGCCACCTCTTCGAACAATTTCGGCTACTTTTTGTGTAAATCGAGCTTCTCTAATCTTTCGTGGTTCATGTACTTGAACCCCATATGTACTTGATGTTGTCAGCATTTCTCTATTCTTTCAATGTTGATACATCTTACCTTTCTACTATTATAATATCTGGAGGAAATGGTGGTATCTCTGCTTCTTTCAAATGTCTATCTTCTTGTCTAGAAAAGTCTCCCGTATATAAGACTCGAACTCCAGCAATTTCTACTAGGAACATGGCAGCTCCTAATACATGTCCCGCGTTATACGCCCAAAAACGAATACCGTTCCAGTTCATTTCTTGATGATAATCAAGGGTTTCGATTCTTTTCATGGTTCTCGATAAATCTTGTTCGGAATAGAGAACGTCTTCGTTGGAACTTACTCGAACAAAGTCACTCAACAGTGTTTTGTAAATGGCTTTGGTAGGATGCGTCATGAATACTCGGGCGTTTGGATTACAGTTGGTCTTTTCCAACAGATAAGGCAACGCTGCGCAGTGATCCAAATGAAAGTGAGTTATTAAAATAAGGTCGATGGAACGTGGGTCCATTTCATCAAAGAAAGGAAGTGAAGCTAAACCAGAATAGGCGGGATGAACACCACAATCGAACATGATGGTCTTGTTCTTGTAAGTAAGTAAGACACAAGACCGACCCACTTCATTTCCTGCTCCCAAAGGTGTTATCTGTAAGAAGAGTTATTCGAAAAAGTAAAGAGAGAACAGGAAGTACGTACTTGCAAAGTTTCGTCTGCTAACAATTCTTGTGAGTTGAGAACTGCGTCATTCACGTTGGATGTTGGATCGCCCATAAGTTCGTAAAATAGAATAGAAAATGGGATGCCGAGGAGAATGAAAAGACTCAATAGGCTTCCACGAGTAGTACTCAATTGGAAACATTATTTAAGGTTATGTACGAAAACCAAGAATGAGGAACTCATAGAAAGGCAAACCAAAAACGATACTCTGTTGGATATTTTGTGTACAAGTGACCCGTTACCCAAAATGGATGAGTATTGTCCAACTCCCGTGCGAGTACGAGTCAAGAAGAATGTTGGTTCTTTAGGCTTTGTACAACACTGGAAAAAGAGACGTTCTGTTTATGTTCAAGATGATAGAGCAAGCTTGGAATGGTTGCAATACCCCGTGATGCCAGAGTTGGATGTCTCCAACTATGTGGAAGGTAGTTATCAAGAAGCTAGTGTACCGTTGGAAAGAAGAATCAACTACAAGAAGCAATCGTTTGAAAGAGACCTTTCTTTACTTGCTGTTCGTTGGTTTCAACGTAGACGAGGTACAGAATTGAAAAGACAGTTTTATCGCCATCGACATACCATATATGCTTCTTGTTGTCTTGGACAAGATTCGAAAGAACTGAAGAAAGAGTGGCTTGAAAGATTGAATATTCCAGAATCCGCTTTTGAACGTTTATCTTTCGAAGAAAGGAAGGATTGGTTTTCTTCAGAAGTGTGTCGACGACTTTTTACCAAGAGATATTCAGTCACTGTGGCTACTCAACATGCAAACATTTTAGCTCGTCGTTTGCGTTTGGAAGTGGCAAAATTGGGAAATATTGTCGTCTTGTATGAGAATACTTTGCTTGATGGTTCTATGGAAAGGAGAGGATTGGAATGGGGAGGTAATATATTTGGCATAGGAAAAGGTGCTCAAGATGTAATCATATTAGACGATAATTACTTTTCAGATAATTGTATCCACAGTCTGTTGGAGTTTGCCATTCGTTCTGTGGCAGATTATGGCCTGTTGTGTGTTCATGTCAATCTTCCAAAACTTTCAGAGGAATGGCAGTCCGTTCCATTTGCGGCAGAATTTCAACTTCGACAGTTTTTAGATGAGTTGGTAAAGTCTGCATTTGTTCATCAAGCTTATTTGGAACCTGTATTCTCTTGTATGTTGGAAGGGACACGTGCTCATATATGGCTTAGGGTTCGAAAGGATTTATATGGTCAACAAGGTTGGACTAGAAGAAGTGGTTTGCTTTATTATTGTCCCCATTGTTATTCGTACTGGATCCGAGCTCTTGAATGTACACCTGCAGAAAGACAAGATTATTACGGTTCACAAAATAAGTGGAGTAAGTTGTGTGAATATTGTGGCACATCTCCTTGGCATTTTGGAGGAACTGTATATTTGGAAGGTTTGTGTCAGACTCGTGAGTCAAGTAGAATACTACACGAACTTATTGTTCCTGTTTCGCGCAGTCTGAATGGACACAAAGCAACTCTTACTTTGGCCAATGCAGCGGATATGGAAGTATTGTTCTCCACAATGGCTGCAGAAAGTAGATGTTCTCCTTTCTTTTTAGATATAGAAAAGATGAATGCATTGTTTCAAATTCACAGTCCTGGAACAGAGTTGTTGTATACTGCTTTGAAGAGTAGAGGTTACGAAGCATTTCCATCACATACTAGTCTTCATGGCTTGAAAACCAATGCACCTTTGGATGTTGTTTGGGACGTGTGGAAGAGTTGGAAACTTTATTGTGAGCCAGACAGCAATCATTATCTATTATCTTACAAACCATTATTGTATTACCATAGCAAAGAATGGGAACAATGGCTCTCATCGCATCATACCGAACAAATGTTGGCCATTTCAAAGGATGAACGATTCTTTCGTCGTTTGCATCATCCCAATGAACGAATACAGACTCAAATTGTACCTACTTTTGTGAATAACAATAAGAATGGATAATATATTATAATTCATCTTCTAAATCTTGCCCTGGTAACTTGTTTGGATCCATTTTTCTCTTTCCGGTTGCTCTCTTTCCTGGACCATGATGTTTCTCCAGTGGGGGATATCTAGTAACCGAATGACAACTATTGAAAGCATCTTTATGTATCTGAAAGTCAATCTCTTCGGGTGAAATATGAAATGGTTCCGTTGCCATGATGCGTGATGCGGCATCGTGGGGCTTTATATTATTCAATCCATTCTTCTGTACCCATATTCTCATGATATCCCATATGAGTTCGAAAGGTGCATCGGTTTTCAGTGCGGTTGGTCTCAAATGAGAAGTAGACACTCGATATCCTCGTTTTCTTAACACTTCACGAATGGAGGCTTGTGGAGGTGGACTCGTTCTTAGCAATTTGGACATATCATTGCAATCCACAAACAAAGGAATATCAGCACATTCATGACAAAGCACTGTGAGAAATCCTTTTAGACGCTCTTTACAAGGTAAATAGGACCATTTGGAATCGTTTTCTAGTTGATGGAGTAGTTTTTCAACTACATTTTGTTGAAAGATAGCTCCTGTATAGATAGGTCCATAGAGAGAAAGTTCCGAATGACAATAAGGACAAGCGCCTTCTACAGGAGGGCCTTTGGCACAAACCACCTTTTCATTGGCTTCTCCAAAGTTTCTAATAGCACCAAGTGGTTGTAAGAAAAACGATGGACAACTATTACAGGCATATACATAAGCTTGGTGTTGTATCGAACGTTGTGATTGCAAACCGGATTCATAGACACGTACAAATACTCGCACATAAAAATCTACAAATATTGCTAGTAGGGGTTCCACATATTTACCATATCGACTAGCTGTTTTTTGTAGAAATGATAAAAGAATGCGAAGTCCAACTTCATTGCGATACGCCTTTGGCCAAGTACAAGGGACTGAGCCATAACGTGCAAAACAAATACCGCCTTGTACTCCTGCAAGTGAACGCATATCTGTACTGGTAACACATAACAAACCTCTATTCTTAATTGACTGCATAGCAGAATCTACAAATGGTGCAGCTGTACCATAAGGATCGAGATCAATAATATCCCATTGACTTGCTCCAAAACGATGTTTGTACATGACATCCGTGGCTTCTCCCAAGTTGGCAAATACCTTACCTTGTACATTCTCATTCAATAAAAGACTCTGTTGAATGGTTTCATAAGAAGCCTGGTCCATATCGTTTGCTATGATGGGAAACAGATGAGGCACTTCGGTTGCATAACGTATGGCACGCAAACCGGTGGCAGAAAACGCTTCAAAGACTGAAAAATGGTCCACTGGATTCTTCCAGGTTGATGAATCAAGTCTCATTTGAGCGTACTTGCAAGTCTTCTGCTTGTCATCGATCACTCGTTTGTAAGATAGTGCCCGGGAGTTTTGAAGCTTCTTATCTTGTTCCATTTCGTTTAAACAAGTTGAAACAAAGTAGTTCAACACGAGAACTGATAGGTCTCTGTTGAATGCTTGTGCTTTGTTATAAAATACTTGTCCACTGTTGTATACTACTTTTCCCTTGCCTTCGCAAATGGTTTCCTTTCGGCTTTCGACTTGAGAAGAATTTGTCAATACATCGTTTGCGTCATCAGCGTCACCTTTCATTGCTTTACTCTGTAACTTTAACAATTCTCGTTCAATCAACGAAGCTACTGTACTACAAGTCCTTCTTGGGTTGAAAACACAGCGACGACGGTGAACAAGAAGACTAGAGCTGCATCTCAATGATGACATTCACAACACAATTGATCAACATGACTATTATTTATCAATGACAAGTTTCCATAGAATTGTGTGAAAGAGTGAATAGTTGTGTATCAAAATGTCGATAAGAATTACATATCTAGGAACAAATTGTTTCATCTTGAACTCAATAAGCCAAGTTTGTGACGCATCTCTTTTTTTTTAATCAAAGTATTTTTGTTGGAGGTGGCATTATTGGGTAGCCATAGGAATATGTATCGAACAAGATTCCTGTGCAAAGCTGCCGAAAGAGTTTTTACCATGGTTGGTTTAAAACCCGAACCAAATGCTAAAGAGGTAATATTACATGGAAGAGAGTTGACTGCCGTTGATGCTGTTCTTTAGATTTTAGAAAAGTTGTATCAAGAGACCCTTGAAAGAGTTAAAGTGCTTCCAGAAAGGTCAGTATATCGACAAAACGTGGAGAAGATAACAAATTATCGTTGGAAAGTGGTGAAAGAGAGTGAAACAGTGGAAGCTATTGAAGAAAGAGTCGGGATGGGTTTGGTAGAAGAATTGATAGAACAGGCTAAGAGTGAACTGGAACTCATTCCAAAGTTTCAGGAGTGGAAACTTTGGGAAGGAGATCCTGACAAGATCAAAATAAATATTCTCGACTAGAGCGCTTGAAATTTGCAAAGAGCCAAAAGTTGGACGCAAGTCAACCCAACACTTTATTGAAAAACTCGTGGATCCATCATCGCCTTCCTCCTAAGTTTCTAACGGGGAACAGTGTAACTTTTGTATTATTAACTCAGTCTGTTTTTTTTCTAAACGAACAGGACTCCATTAATCTTGCTTTCCCACCTGTAGGCTGACAAAGAACAGTAGCACAGTTACCACACATCACGACCGTCTGAGCATGACTAAACACAGTAGTACTATATACTATTTGAGTTTAATCTTGGAGGGTCAGTAAGTATACTTACATTTGAAAACATCCTGGGCACTTCACATCCATAAAGAAGGAGTTGGGACTTGGGATGAGTCTTCGTAACTTGTGCTTTCGTGCCTCTACTGCGGGATCAGGGTGAAGCAAGTCTCCTTGTAAAACCTTGGGAAATCTCAGCAAAAGAGTTGTGAGTGAACATTCTTACTTACGGGCATGTTACAACGTAAAAACTAGTGCAGACAGACAGAAAACTCAATAACTTCAAGAAAAATCTGCAACAAAGACAACGACAAGGACGGCGCTCGAATCGTTCCAATGAAAATGAAACTTTGGATCGATATTCCTAAAATGATGATGTTGAAGGCATCTCTTTGAAGGAGTTGTGTTATGTGTGGGCGCTTCGTATTTGCTTTCAGTAAGAAGGAACTGGAAAACATAAGTGGAACAAAAAGTTGGATAAACGCAGAAAAGTATCACACTTCATACAATGTGGCTCCCAGTACTTATGTGCCTATAGTTCGAACTTTTATTCCAGACCAGCCAAAAAAAGAACAATTAGAGGTTAAAGAGGAACCTCAGGAACAAGATTGTGATGTTCTCAAGACAACTTTCGATATGAAACGTGTGTTACACGTTATGAAATGGGGATTACAACCTTTTTGGTCCCGCAATGACGCAAATACTGCTAAGAGTTGCATCAACGCACGAAGTGAGACACTGCTTGGAAAAAGTATGTTTAAAATTCCTCTAGAAGCAGGCGGAAGAGGGGTCTTGATAGCAAACGGTTTTTACGAGTGGCAAAATGTTGCAGATGAGAAAAGAAAGAGTCCTTATTTCGTTTCAGAAGAAAACGGTCCTCTATATATGGCGGTAGTTTATGATCTTCCAAAAGCAAAAGCCAATAAAGAAGATCAATTCACTATTATAACAGTGGATGCTAGTCCTTCCGTGGCTTGGCTACATGATAGGATGCCTGCCCTATTAAAGCTAGATCAGTTGGACGAATGGTTAGACGTAAAAAGGTTTTCTCTAAAAGAAGCCATAGCAGTATTGAAACCGTTTGACGGGGATCTCAAAGTACAGCGAGCGTCTCCTCTTGTAAACAGCGTGAAGAATGACGGAGTTGAGTTGATTTCGTATAAAAGGACTCGAGAGGAAACCAACTCTATCACCCATCAATACAGTATAGAGAACTACTTTTCTTCCAGCTCAAGAAATAAGCGTTCCAAAAGTACCAAAGAGTAGTTTTGCATGCTATGGCATTTTTGCTGTTGAATTACTTCCATTCAGAAAACTTGGCCATGGACACCCAGAGGCAGGCTTTCCTTTTTCCTGTGTGTACAAAGCGGCACTCTGTATTTTCGAGGAGTTCTAAGAAACTATATAATATTTCTGTATACCGTAGGAAGTGCTGTTATAGTTGTTCAAGTACTTCAACGAGTGTACGAGAAACCTTCCGAGTATATGCTACAGGTAGAAAGGCAGGAGGTGCACAGTTGCTTGAGAAGAAGAAACAGAAACGAGTCCAATCGGAGTCCAAAACTCAGGGGGATCCCGGAAAACCATACAAAGTTTTGCTATTTAACGATGAGACACATACAAAGTAAGTGTGAACTATTGTTTTTGTTAAAAACCTAAGTGGTTTGTCCAAAGACAATACGTACTTGAAACTTTATTGCGAGTTATACCAGGAATGACTCAAGACCAAGCAGTTGGTATTGTAGAGACAGCACATACTACTGGCTCGGCAGTTGTGGGTGTATGGATATTTGAACTTGCCGAAGCATACTGTGATGGTCTTCGTAGCAATGGGTTAGGGTCAGATATCGAACCAGACGCTTGAATGCTTGCTTGGGGTGTGTGCTAGTGGATAGTTCAGGAATATTTTGAAAATAAAGTCTTTCTTGCAAGGAAGCAATCCTAGTGATTGCCTTACCTTGGCGCTTTACCTACTAGTTGTTTCCAACAAGTGTCTAAATAACACCGATATGGAAACTATTTTTTAAAAATCATTAACTTGAGAATCTTCGAGGTACTATGTACACTAATGTGTTTCTTGCGAGAAGCTTTACAAAACTTCAAAATGAGAAAATGAAATGTTGCTGAGGGTTCCGCAACACTTCATCATGAAAGGGACAGGTGTGCGCACCTTTTGCGCCAAAAAAATCGAGTGGAAATGACCAATCAGAGAAAAATGCGAATTTGGCCCGTTTCATTTTGCTTAGGTGGGATTCTTTTTGTGGCTTTTTTTTCTGGCATTCGGGCATCTTGTGAGAGAGAGAGAGCCAAGCAAGTCTTTTGCACAATTTTGGTTTCCAAAATTTGAAAAAAGACAAACAGGAAATGATAAAGAACCAAAGCTTCTCAGAAGGTGCCTATCAGCAACGTCGAAGTTGGTTTGAGTATCTCGGTAATTGGGTAAAGCTGACACGAAAGAACATCGAACAGCTTGATTTGGAGAAGGCAGCTTCCGAATTCACGCAAACATCCTTCCTGGGTAGATTTATATGGTTTCTTCCACTTTCCGAGCAAAACCTCTTTAATAGCTTGAAACTGACAAAGAAATGCCTCCTGGACTTTGGTTGTTTGTCGCAAAAGAGCGATGCTGTGTTGTCGTGCATATTGTATGCCTTGAGTTCCATACTCTTAACTTTGTGCAACAAACACGTATTTTCGTCTCAAAAATTCGACTATCCTTGGTGCAGCTTGGGTTTTCAGATGCTAACAGCTGCTATATTCGTGTTGTTTTTGGGAAGTTGGGGAATGATTGACTTTGCTGGTTTTGATAAGGAACTTTTCATACGACTTATTATTCCTAATCTCGGATTCGTGGGATTTCTTTTCTCTGGCTCAAGATCTCTTCGATATGTAAGAATACCAATGTTATCAGTGCTAAAATCTTTGGCTCCAGTCGGTATCGCAGTCTTTGAGTCCGTATATTATCAAGAAATGCTTTCCATGTGCATGTTAGCTTCTTTCATTATGATGATTATTGGAAACATTATTGCTGGATATAATGATATAACTTTTTCCTTTTGGGGATATGTTTGGGCAGTTTTGAATGTTCTTTGCAACATTATATACGTTGGTACTACTCGTGTATTTATGCCAAAAGAGAAAAAGTACTCAAGTTGGTCAAAAGTTTATCACAACTCAATTCTCTCTTTGTTCTGGATGACTATTTTGGCATTTATTTGTGGAGAGTGGACTGATTTTGGCTCCAGTTTTGTTTCTAGCTCGACAACTTTCAAGTAAGCCTCATGGAATGTTTTCCATTTTAAGGAATTCATTTGCTGTCTTTTCTTAGATTGTCGTTTGTGATGTCTGGAATCCTCGGAATTGGTATCAGTGCTGCTTCATTTTACTGTATTGCTTCTACAAGTGGGACTACTTTCAGCTTTGTAGGTAAGCATTTTAATTCTATTGTAATTACTGTTTCATTACTTTTTTTGACAATTACAAAAACAGGAAGTGTGAACAAGGTGCCAGTAATTCTTTTAGGGTGAGTTTTTTCATTTCTTGTTTAGACAGGCATAACCATCTTTTTATTGTAGTTGGCTCATTTTTGACACGGAAATCAGTTTTGGTTCCTGGGTTGGAGTTGCCATTGGTCTCTTTGCTAGTTTTCTTTTTACCTATGCGAATACTCGTACCACCAAAAGTTCTTGTCGACATAAGAAGGTTCCCTCCTCTTCTAGTGCTATGACAAGTACCGAAACATACGCTAGAGTTTTATCAGAAGAAGAAAGAGAACAGCCTGAAATGAGTTGTGGAAAGCTGTATTTTAATGAAACGAATAGTTGCAAAGAATTGAATGTATTGTCCAATTTCAATCAGTCGACAAATGACGTGAAATAAACGAATTGAATATTGTTCTTTATAAAAATATTTTCATAGTTTGAGACTGTTACCGTAGTCATTGAGAAGATATAGTTTCTCACAACGGAATATTTCCATGTTTCTTTTGTGGAGTTGCTTCCCGAACAGTTGACTCATCTTTGTTTGCCAAAAGCACCAAGTCTTCACATATTCTTCTTCTTGTTGTACTTGGTTGAATAATCTCATCAACATAACCTCTGCGAGCAGAAACCATAGGAGACAAGAACTCTCTCTCATAGTCTTCTACTTGTCTTTCCTTTTCTTCTTCTGTGAGTCCTCTAAAAATGATTCCCACAGCACCTTTGGCTCCCATAACAGCAACTTCAGCTGATGGCCATGCATAATTGATATCTCCTCGTAACTGTTTGGATGACATGACACAATAAGCACCACCATAAGCCTTCATCATGGGTCAGTTGCCATACTCTCTCTCTCTCTCTCTCTCTCTCATAAAACTCAACAAAAGATACTTACCTTACGAGTAATGATTGTAATTTTTGGCACCGTTGCTTCAGCATAAGCATATAACAACTTGGCACCATGTCGAATAATACCACCGTATTCCTGTGGAGTACCAGGTAGGAAACCAGGAACGTCGACGAATGTAATGATTGGAATACTAAATGCGTCACAGAATCGGACGAATCGTGCAGCTTTCACGGATGCATTGATATCCAAAACTCCGGCAAGACTAGCAGGATTATTTCCAACAATGCCGACAGTTTGACCATTCATTCGAGAAAAACCGACGAGAATGTTGGGAGCAAAATGTTTGTGAATTTCAAAAAATTCTCCCGAGTCTACAGTTCTATAGATAACTTGGTGCATATCATATGGAGAATTGGGATCTGCTGGAACGATGCGATTCAAAAATGAGTCTTCTCTTGTAGGAGGATCTGTCTCTACTGGACGAAGAGTAGGAGCCATATCTCTCCATGAAGAAGGAAGATAAGATATTAATGTGCGTACTTGTGACAATGCTTCGATATCATTATTAGACAAGACATGAGCGACTCCAGAGCGACTTGTATGTACTGCTGCACCACCAAGTTCTTCTTGAGTTACTTGTTCTTGAGTCACTGAACGCACTACATCGGGACCTGTTAAAAACATGTGCGAAGTTTCATTCACCATAAAAACGAAATCTGTCAACGCTGGAGAATAGACAGCACCTCCTGCACAAGGACCCATAATAACAGATATTTGAGGTACAACACCGGAAGTAAGAACATTACGCTTAAAGACTTCTGCATAACCTGCCAAGGCATCAACACCTTCTTGAATTCTCGCTCCACCTGAATCATTCAATCCAATAACAGGGACTCCGGCATCAACTGCTCTATCCAACACTTTGCATATCTTTTGGGCGTGGGTTTGCGATAAAGTGCCGCCAACTACGAGAAAGTCTTGGGCAAATACACAAACGTCTCTACCGTTGATTTTTCCGTGTCCAGTCACAACACCATCTCCAGGAATTCTGTTATTCTGCATACCAAATAGGTCACAACGATGGGTAACCAAACTATCATACTCACGAAACGTTCCTGGATCGAGTAGCACTTGTAGTCTCTCTCGAGCTGTGAGCTTTCCTCGTTCGTGTTGACGAGCAGCGAGCTTAGGATCTGTCACTCCAGTGTTTTCTACAACGTCTTGATATTTTTCTAAGAACTTGCTTTTAAGCTTTACGCCATATTCTTTCTCTGCTTGTGCTGCGTTGACAATGTTAGGTTCTTGACTGAAAAAGAATGAGGAGGAGGTAAAAAAGCAAGCATCATGCAAATGAGATCGAATGATAGGACCACTACGAGTAAATAAACTCGCACGAAAGCTATCCACGCAAACTTGTAAAGTGTTGTGAAAGAGGTTTTGTGCTCGTAACATTTCTTCCTAAGACCGTCCAACAGAATTCTCTTCAATAGAATATATGACTGAATTTTTAGATTTTCAGTGGATTTTCTTTGAAAGCTTGAAAACATGACTTGTATAAAAAGCTATTGTAGACAATGGTTTTTGTTCCTCTCCTCCAAAAGTCCAACCACTTGTTTTGTTACTCTTCGAGTTGTTCATCCTACTCAAGCTTTATGTTGTGGTGGTTCACATCGTCCGAAGAGTTGTGGGAAGAGAATCATCCTGCTGAAGAGAAAAACTGCGGTTTCACGCTTATACCTTCGATCTTCGTTGAAAGAAAGGTCAAGTCAAGTACAGAGACCAGGTAACCATACGAAACAAGTGACCGAACAAAACGCTATTTTATTGCTCAAGGAATGGATTGGGATATTTTTGTTTGGGTTTATTACCACTTTTGTAACAATATATTTTTATTTGGTGACAAAAAACAAACGTTGGTTGTTGTTAATTGTTGCTTGTGGTATGCTTTGGAGTATTTCGATGGTTATTCAGAGACTACACATTCGTAGAATGTTGTTAGCACAGCGGGTATGGCAAGAAGATATGGAGAAATATATGTCGAAACTGGAAGAAAGGATAGAAAAAGGAGATGGTCAACTAGCAATGTCGATATCTCAGTTAGAATCCATAGCAAAGACTTGTGAGTGGATGGAAAGGAAACAAGAAGAACGAAAGGAAGAGTGGAAACAGTTTTTATGGGAATGGAAAAGACTTGGAGAAGAATGGAATGAAAGCAGAATGTCCTTGAATACTCGCCTATATCAACTGGATAAATGGGAAGAAAGATGGAAAGATATTCAGTCCACTTTAAAGGAATTGGCTTCTAATCTATCGGCTGAAAAGCAAAATTGGTCGAGTTTGTCTGAACAAGTCAACCAATTGTTTGAGAAAGTGACTTTGGTATCTTCTGAAAATCGCTTTTCAATGGAAAATAAGGAAACCGTGTCTTCTTCTATTTCTAATGGAAATAATAATGTGTCTGGTATAGTTCCTTGGAAAGAATCGAAAGGAAGAGAAGGATATAGCCATCTTTATAGTTTCTCGAGAGATGAATTTGAAAGAGAAGAAATGTTAAAACAGTTGGATGAAGAATGGATCGACGCTTATTGGGAAGAAAGAGATTATAAAGATAG